GTGGTCCTCTGCCCCCGCCGCCTATTCATCCAACCCTGGACCGCAGCATAACACCAACATGACTGGGCAGGAGCCAGATGGAAGCCCAAGAAGGACGATTAGCGATGTTCCTAACATAGACACTTTCGTCTCTCAGCCGCAAACATCTCGCTCTAATGATTCCAAGGCCTCAGACCATTCTTCGCCTGTTTCTGACAGGCCTCGCCGTTTATCTGACCGATCACGGGACCTCTATCTCCCACGACGAAGGCCTGGTCGCGAGGCTAAGTGGATTAAAGCGGAAAGAGGAAGTTATTTTGTTAACCCAGGGGAACTTCTATGTACCTTGTATTATGGACCCGATAAGAGGGAGATTGGTGAAGTTAGGATGTGCGGTTTGGACAGTATCAGGAGAAGCCGATTTCTTAGGACTAAGAGAAATCACGTCCTTGAAATCTGGTTTCAACATCTCTGTAACCTTACAGACTACAATAGTCTGTGCAAAAATGTGAGTAGTACATGCAAAAGCTGGCTTACCTGGTTACTTAAAATGAATTAAGTCGCTAATAGACATCATTTTACCAGACAACAAATGAAAGATATTGGAACGGCTGGGTTGAGGGGTTTGACGACTCTGAACCAGATATCTATCGCTTTGGGAAGGAGCTCACCCGAAGAAATCTTGTGGCTATATGTATTCCTGAAATACAGGGCCATGATGTATTACTTGCATATCCACCAAATTCCGAGGATTTTGGTTTCTTGGATGGCGACTTTAGAGGTCCTCGTGACGTCTTTCTTCATACTGCCGTGAGAAGTTCTTTGGGGCCCATTGAGCGACTGGCCTTTGGCAGTCTACAGGGACAGCGTGGTCACCTGACAGAAACAGCTACTGGGGCAGTGAATTCTTCACAAACTAACACTATTGTTGCAAACAAGCAAGCTTCTGAGGCACAAAGAGAGCTGGTTTCCTTAAATCGAGAAAATCGCCCTTCAATCATCGAGTCTCCTAACGCACGCATAGGCCTGGAACCGAGGCCACACGCAAAAACAGTTATATCACTGACGAATCGTCGCACTTCTAGTGGTTCAATATCAGGTCTGCAGAGGAGGTCACCTGGAATCGATCATATGGATATTGACCAGGGTCCTAAAGACCCCACAGCGGTTGCCAATAGCGACAACAAGCAGCCACCACTGGGCATTCCACTTCCGTTGGACTTGTGCTATGAATTTGAGAAGAGGTTCGGGGTGACATTCCAGACGTTGGCAACAGTGGCAGAGAAACGTTTAGCAGGGTCCTTCTGTGTACTGTTTCCACAGGGCTCAGCAGATATTGAAGAAGAATGTCAAGCCATTGTTGAGTTTCTCAAAGCCCACAATAGTGACAAACACAAGGCTATTGTTTACTCAAACCGCACTCCTGAAGATTGGGAAAAGTTTACTCAAGCGAAGAATGGAGTCACCTTGGTATGTTTCACCACAAGTACCATTACCCAAAAACGCATATGCTGACATTAGTCAGATTCATGAAAGCTTTCTGGACTTCTACAAGTTGCAGGGCCTTAACAACTTATGTCGTCAGTCGACATTCAACTTTTGGTCTTTCACATTAAGCAAAGAGTTAGGTGATAACGGACCGTATTTCCGGCGCATGCTTCAAACGGGTGGGGTTATTTTGATTACTGAAGACTACATGCTGAGCGATCTGAGAGGTACTATCGTTGTACTATCTTGGTTCGAAGACTATGCAAAGAGCAGGTATCCTGGAACATGGAAATTAATGCTCCGTCCGGGTGTTTTGGATTGGGTGCAAAAGCAGATTGAGGTCACCGTGAACTCAAGATCTTTGTAGGTCATTGTGTATCACCAGGCTTGATTATACGGTCTAATAAGAATCTCAGATGGCTCGCAATGTACCATCTCATTATGCAGATTATCGCCATCGGAGATGTGAATTCCCGGGATATCCTCACTGGCGCAGAGGTCGGCTATACACCAAACACGGTCATCTCTCCTTCAAAACTCCTAGGGTACGGTTTTCGTACAGACGACGAAATTCCAGATATCCCTAAGGATAGAACCCTGACCCAAGAACAACGAAATGCTGACCACCTCATTGAGTTTTACGCTGGCTGGGCCCTGGTCAATTGTTACCAGTTCCGAAAGTTCTTCGTGCTCACAGCCTCCGCGCTTCCGCGATGGGACGAGTGGCAACATCTGCAAATTCGCGTGGGCTCCCCAGCAATCATGAAATGTTTTGAAATCAACTATAAGTGGTGCTGGGAAAAGCTTAAGCATCCTGCGGCGAGATCGACATCCCATTCAGAGAGGAGCTCTCAGACCCCTTTTACACCCCAAACTCCTAGGGCTGGCTCGAGCGAGTCAGCTATTTCTAGAGCGACGCCATCCTATATCCCTCCCCTTTCGCACCACTATCCTCAACCATATCAGTGATTGGAAAGTGAGTGATCTGTTGGTAATTAAGAAGTGTATGCTCGACCCGGGGTTTCAATTGCGTTGTATACATTTGCGCTTGTTACATATCTTTAGGATACCACTGTAATGTACAACGATCCCACGATTTATGGCTATTATGCGCCGAGGAGAACGAGGAAATGATTGGATATAAATAACGCAACTCCAATGGCTGAGTATAATGGCTGAGTATAAGGAAACGTCACAAGAAACCAAGCAAAGCTGATATCCGAAACGCCATACATAAAACGGAGAATTCACGGAGACTGGTATACTAAAAAAAGCAAAACATCAAAAAATCGCTGAAGGCCAAGCATGCGCGTCACATACACGAAATGCGCAATGGTTACTGAAACCAATTGATAGGTGTCAGCTAGAAGCCTGCTGCTCTAGTCCGGTACTCACGGAAGTTTGAGATAGAAGGGTGTTCCTCCGAAGCGGCCTGCGCTCTAGCTTTCAGGGCCCTCTGCTTCTTCTCTCGCCGTTGCTTTTCTTCCCATTGGCTCTCCTCAGCTGCGATCATGGCATGGAAACGTCCGCCTTGTCCACGAGAAAGGTAAATAGGTTTCTCTTTACGAGCAGCCACAGACTCCGTTATGAGAACAAACTTCACGCTTGAACCTGGGGTTTCATACATGGCGTCGCTAAGAATAGTTTCCATTTCTGTTCGGAGGGCACGTGCCCCCGTGCCCATTGTGAAGGCGTTGGCAGCTATTTTATGCAAGGCTGGAGTCGTGAAGCGGAGCTCAATTCCTGACAGGGAGAATAAGGTTGTGTATTGTGCCAGCAGTGAGTTGCGGGGCTCAGTGAGGATCCGTACAAGTAAAGGTTGCGTCAGCGCGGAGAGCGCAGCGGTAACTGGAACACGGCCAACTAACTCAGGAATGAATCCATAGTTTTGTAGATCGGTAGGGTTGATGAGATCGAGTGCATTGAAGTAAGTTGGCTCACCATCAGGCGATTCGGGGCTAGCGGAAGTGAAAAAGGGAAGATGTTTCTTGTACAAAGCTTCCTCTTCTGACCCTGGTACTATAGGCACAGGCTGATTGTTTGCAGTTGCTGACTGTCCAGGCCGCTCATCTGAGTTGGATGGTGTCCGAACAGGCTGCCCAAAGCCGATGGAGCCGCGCGATATCCGATCCATCACCACCTTGTGTAGCCCGACAAAAGCACCAGAGAAGATAAACAGAATGTTATCCGTACGTACGTTGTAGACCTCTCCTTTGTGGGACATGCCCCCACTGTTGGAAGGTGGATACGGCGGGTTCCCCAATGGACTGTTTGATGGATATGTATTGGGGGTTCCACCTGCACGAGGAGCGCTCTTCTCCTGTTTCGCTTGCACCTGCACCGTCGTACCTTCTATAATCTTTAGGAGGGCCTGCTGGACTCCCTCGCCACCGACATCTTTGCCATGACTGACTTTAGCGGCGGCAATTTTATCAACCTCATCCAGAACAATTATGCCGCGTTCTGCCTGTTCGACATCGTAGTTGGCTGCAGCTAGGAGTCTGTGAACGCAAACCTCGGCATCTTCTCCAATGTACCCAGCCTGCGTAAACGGTGTGCAATCTGAAATGCTAAACGGTACTGATAGTATTTTAGCTAATGTTTTGGCCATGAGAGTCTTCCCAACGCCGGACGGTCCCAGGAGCAGTATGTTGGATTTCTCCAGTTGTGTTGCCGATGAGTCTGTGAGCTCGGTTTGGTTCAACGACGAACTCGGATCAAGTGGTGGGCGGCTAGTCCGTTGTTGCCCTGGAAATTCATCTGCTACATGTGTTAGTATATCACTAGGATGATCATGCAGTTCCAGTTCTTGTCGGGCCCGTGAACAACCTACCCTCTACAGGATGGCGGTCAACAGATTCGCGCCGCGCACGCTTCGCCAGCAGCTCGACCGCTTCCTCATCACGCCGCTGTAATTCTTGCACACGTTGATAATGATTGTATACGGCGACACTGAGTATCTTCTTGGCCCGATCCTGTCCAACTACAAACTGATCTAGGTACTGCTTCAACGTTTTGGGCGTAATCCGCGGAGCTCCGAAAGCCGGGGTCGAGCCCAAGGGCCCGGCAGTCGGCAGTCCGGGTTCATAGCTACCGCTCCAGGGCTGATTTGTGAAATCTGATCGATTGAATTGAGATTGTGTCGGGAAAGATGCAGAAGAGCTAGCGAAGCCACGTAGTGCGAGCCGAGCAATTGAACTCGGTGCACGCCGATAGCGGAGTATGAGGTGGTGGTGCGCCCTGAGAGGTGCACTGGGCCGTAGTGGCAGCCACAGCATGACCGGGCGGCAAATGACTTGTAAACTGATAGGCGCAAATGATAGGCGCAGAAAACGGTATAAGAAAGAAGACCGAAGGAGAATTAATTAAGATGTGGTGGAGAGTTGAGTTGTAGTTGGAGGTACATAGAGATGATGACGCTGCCGATAGTAGATAAGATGGTGTCAGATAGTAGCTTTCCCCGCAGCACGTGATCGATGCTTATCAGCCGACGCTATCCGCTCACAGCTGGAGACTACATATAAACATGTTATGATAACTTATATTAAGTATCTCATTCATTATTTGGCATCTAAATGGGGGTTTGCTAGCGGTGTACCACATTAAACTTCCACGAAGCCGCAAAGACTGCAAAGTCTTAGGTCATCTGGAAGTAAGAATATCGACATTCTGCGGTGTAGACCTGGTATCCAGTCTTTGCTCCCATCGTACTTCTTAAACTTGGCAACTGGTATAAGAGTCTAAGCCTGGCCTAGTAAATCGAGTATGGTCTCTTTTTGAAGGCTTCCAACGCCACAAACAGAAGAGGAGCGATATTTAGGTGACACACTCCTGGGCCGTATTCAACATAGCGTCTTAGCGGTTAGATCACTATTACTTGCCACGTACAGTCGCTGCTAGCAATACTGGCGGTAGGTTTGACGTAGGCAAGGAGGGCTTGTTGTCGAGACATATGAGCTTAGTTCCTCAAAGAGGGGGTAAGTGAACTACTTAGAGGCCGGGACTTTCACTTCGTTGCCTTGAACACGGGTTGCTGCTCCATCGTTTGCGAGATAAAACTGCGCAGTGCGGCCCAACGGTTCGACACAGAGCCTGCCTGGTTGTCCGATGCTGTATTTGGTGTAGTAGTCGCCTCGATTGTCGACATCTGTGCCATGTTCTTTGCAAAGCGATCCCTTTCTGTTTGTTCCAGTCGCTGCCTACGCTTCATAGCGCCAGGTTTATGCTTCAGCGTTTTCTGTTTAATGACATTCACCTGACTGCTGGGATCATTCATTTCATCCTGGGTTTCTGGAAGGGCATCGGCAAGCGATTCAAGGTTTGCAACGAGTTTCTTTGACGCCCGTCGACGTTTGGTAGTCTTTTGAGAGTTCTTCTCTATTTTGGACATTAAAGCAGCATGTTTAATCTGACGCTTGTCTTTCTTAGATGTCCGAAAATCATCATTGAAAAGACTAGATTTTGTCGAGGGAAGAGCGCCTTTCCCTGAAGCCGGCATTTTCGCAGCGGACTGCTTCTTGGTTGATCTAACAGGAGCCTTTGCAGATGTCAGAAAGCTCGAATTTTCATGTGAGAGGTAAGATGGCTTACCATTATGGGTTTCTATCGCTGGTGCCGAAAAAGTTGATCAACTCGCCGGGCTCTCCGAGACTTCACGATAATAATTCTGCCTCTGGTTCCGATGGGTGCGTGCTCCTAAACCTATTCTGGAATAGCCTGAAAGCTAGCTAATCCATGTCCCTGGCAGCCCCTGACCTCACCGCCAACGTGACTACTTACCGACTAAGAGGAGGTTTTTCCTTCTTTGGTATCCCTATCCCTCTAGGTTATTGAGATCAAGAAGTGAGGACTTCCCGTGGTACATACTCCGTAGACTAGAAGTTGGCCGGGAGTCAAAGCACTAAACTAATTTGTTAGTGTGACACATCCGATCACTCACCGAACCTGATCGCCTTTTTTTTTTTTTTTTTCCCTAAAATCCCTCGTTCTTTCTCCGAATTTCTCGGGACGAAAAGATCCACATTCACGGGTATTCAACCCGCCTTATCGTCTTCCACTTACATCAGAGAACCACATCGAGAATTCTGGTGACAATTTTCGTGTCTCATTCGCAGCACTACGTGGATGCTGTCTCCAGTACATCTTTTATCTCGCCGGACTTGCCTTCGTTCAATTGCCACTGTGATTGATCAACCTCGGTCCCCGGTTTTTCCCCAGCAAGAGACACTCTCCACTCCATTTTCGTCGTCTCTAGTCTACTCAAAGGCTTTAAAGTTCTCCAGACCGACCTTAACTCGGCTCACTTCTTGTTCATTTTCACGTCTATATACTACATTTGTGGACGACATTGCCAAAATGAGTTTTCTTACCCCGTACCAGCGCAAACACAAAGTCACGGTGATCGGCTCAGGAAACTGGTAAGTGCGCTCAGAGATAACGGTAACTGGGATAAGACAGCGCTGACATACGAAAGGGGCACCGCTATTGCCAAAATCGTCGCTGAAAACACCGCTAGCAACCCTGCCATCTTCGAAAAGGATGTTCAGATGTGGGTTTATGAAGAGAAAGTGGAAGTTCCAAAGACATCCCCTCACTATAACCCATCTTCGCCCTTATGCCAGGGTCCCCAGAAATTAACAGAGATCATCAACAAAACACATGAGAACGTCAAGTATCTACCAGGAATTAACCTTCCTACAAATTTACACGCCAATCCCTCGTTGGAGGACTCCGTTAAGGACAGCACCATCCTTGTTTTCAATTTGCCTCATCAGTTCATTATCAAGACTTGTGAGCAAATCAAGGGCAAGATCCTGCCATATGCGCGTGGTATCTCTTGCATCAAGGGTGTCGATGTGCGGGAAGATGGGATCAGTCTTTTCTCAGAAACCATCGGCAAGATTCTTGGGATCTACTGTGGCGCTCTCTCCGGTGCAAATATCGCCAGCGAGGTTGCACAGGAAAAGTGGTCTGAGTCAAGCATTGCTTACGATCCTCCCCATCTAGATTCGAAAGCCCCCTCGCCTAATCGCTCGCCTTCCTCGTCGACGGTGGATGTGGTTCACTTCACGCACAAGGACGTTTCGGGACAACTATCTAAGGTTAAACTGCAGGCGTTACCCTCCGAATATCCTCCCATTGACCATGCTGTCCTGAAGACACTTTTCCACCGTTCCTACTTCCATATCAGTGTGGTGAGTGACGTTGCAGGCGTTTCCCTTGGCGGTGCGCTCAAAAATGTCGTCGCCATTGCCGCAGGTTGGGTTGAAGGCATGGGATGGGGTGACAACGCCAAAGCTGCCGTCATGCGAGTCGGCCTGTTGGAGATGGTCAAGTTTGGTGAAATGTTCTTTGGCGCGACCATCAACACTCGGACATTCACCGAGGAGAGTGCTGGTGTTGCGGACTTGATCACTAGCTGCAGTGGTGGTCGCAATTTCCGTTGTGCCAAGCTGAGCATTGAAAGAAAGCAGCCGATCGGAAAGGTCGAAGAGACGGAGCTTAACGGCCAGAAGCTTCAGGGCACTTTGACTGCGATTGAAGTGAATAAATTCTTGAAGAACCAAGGCGTTGAAGAGGAATACCCCTTGTTGACGGCCGTCTATAGTAAGTGTCAACCTTTTTGTGTGTTGGGGAGATGTCACTAATTTGTCGTAGGAATCCTAGAAGGTACTATGTCTGTTGAGGATATCCCTTCTTATATTGAGCGGTAAATAAGACCTGAAGCTTTGTCTCCCATGATTTCTATTTCGGTTATTAATTCACGGGTATCTGTTTTCTTTTCGTTACAGCAAGCCGGAATCCGTTTCGCATGAATCGCAAGGAGTGAATGGTGGTGGCGCGAGCCAGGCAGTCTTGGCCAAATTGTGAGGTGGCAGGATGCAATGATGTCTGCTCCTCACAAAACTTTTTTTTAATATTTATTTACGTCTTGAGACTTGTCGGTAGGTCTTTCTCATGTTATTTTGGGTATGGATATTATAAACGCACATAGACTAGTGACCATAGAGCAATTCCCAGATATATGTTATTATTTCCGATGAAAAAAAGATCTGTTCTGATTGTGTGTTTTGGCTTTGCCGGATTGACTTCTTCTGATACTAAAATTGGGTTCCTCGGACACGTTAGTACGGAGGTCCAAGGTTACTTCTGCGGTCGAGGCCTTTGCACCTTCCCATGATGTCAGACCTCCTGCGGGGTTCAAATGCGCCCAGGAACATAAATGACGAACTTGAAAAGCTGGCTTTGTTTGATTTTGGTTTTCTTCCTCCCTCAATACTATTTATTCCGCTCTTCGTTCTCCTGCACATCGGCTGGATCAGCGTAACTCTACCGATCACCAACAGCTCCATCGGCCGGGCCGATACTTTTTTATTTATCCCCGCACTCACCTGGGGTCAAGCATCCAGGGTCACGTCACAGCTTTTCCTCTGGGTACTCTGATCAGCTGTACGAACAAACCGGCAATAACAATGCCTGTTCCACGCCAGGTTTATCTGCTCCCATTGAGAGACGATGGCTCCCCAGACGTGCCCGGGGGTTATATCTACCTTCCTCCTCCCACCAGTCCTCCGTACTCTCTTCGCTTCGTGGTCGAGGGAAGCAGCTCGATCTGCAGGGAAGGAAGGTTGTGGGTGAATATTCCTGAGGATGGGAAGCCCTTCAATCGCTCGGTATTCCGGAGTTTTAGGTAAAGCCATTCCTCTCTTTTCTGGCTTATTGGCTTTTCAGTTATTGACGCAGAAATAGGTTACATCCAGACTTCAATAAGAACATCCAGATCGATATTCCCATCACTTCTCCAGGATCTTTCGCGTTTTACACTGCCTACTCCCCGCTTCCGGACTTCTCCGTTGCTCCGGTTGAGACGTCCGAACCGGTCAATAGCCCAATACATTACATTGATGTTGCACCGAGACTAACTCTTGGTGGCCGTGTCCTTCCTCTCAATGCTCTCTCAATATTCTCTGTGATCTCTAAGTTCATGGGTAGATACCCAACGGATTGGGAGGAACATTTGAATGGGATCGGCCAGCGCAACTACAATATGGTTCATTTTACGCCCTTGATGAAACGCGGAACCTCAAATTCCCCCTACAGTATTTTTGATCAACTAGAGTTTGATGAGGCTCTATTCCCCAACGGAGAGGATGATGTAAATCAAATGGTTAAGAATATGGAAGAAAATCACGGGCTCCTGTCGCTAACGGATGTTGTATGGAATCACACTGCTAATAACAGCAAATGGCTTGAGGAGCATCCTGAGGCTGGTTATAGCGTCGAGACAGCACCATGGCTTGAGGCAGCATTGGAGCTAGACACTGCTTTGTTACAGTTCGGGGAAGACCTCCAAACTTTGGGTCTTCCAACGGAATTCAAGACTGCTGATGACCTGATTGTTGTGATGAATGTACTTCGTGAACGGGTTATAGGCGACTTGAGGCTATGGGAGTACTATGTGGTTAATGTTAAAGCGGACACCCGAAGGATCGTTGACAACTGGGCCAAGTCTCCAGAGATCGATTTGGAAAGCGATCAATGGTCACGGTTTGCTCTCAAAGGCTTCAAAAACCTAAGTTTTAAGGAGCAGGCGAGCTTCATCCGTGAGCACGCAATACCAACGTCCAAAATGATACTTGGAAGGTTCTCTCGGGCAGTTGATGACCACCTCGGTGCGGCCATTTTAACTGCGCTGCTTGGTCCTGGGGGTTCCAACCATGATGAAGCAGAGAACAGATTCACTCAATTGCTCGATGAGGTGAATCTGCCTTTTTACACAGAATACGATGCAGACGTATCCGAAATAATGGAGCAAGTCTTCAATCGCATCAAATACCTGAGAATAGATGATCATGGACCCAAGCTTGGTCCTGTTACTAAGGAGAGCCCACTTATTGAGACATATTTCACAAGACTGCCCGTCAACGAAATTACTAAGCAGCAAAAGTCGACGGCACTTGCACTTGTGAATAATGGGTGGATATGGAATGCCGACGCGTTGCGGGATAACGCTGGACCGGACTCGAAAGCCTATTTGCGACGGGAAGTCATTGTGTGGGGTGATTGTGTGAAGCTAAGATATGGCAACTGCCCTGAGGACAGTCCATTTCTTTGGGAGTTCATGACTAAATACACTCGCTTGATGGCTAAGTATTTTTCGGGATTTCGGATTGATAATTGTCATTCCACGCCGTTAGGGGTCGCAGAATACCTGCTGGATGAGGCACGAAAAGTTCGACCCAATTTGACGGTTTTCGCTGAGCTCTTCACGGGCTCCGAAGAAGCTGATTATGTTTTTGTCAAGCGACTAGGCATCAATGCACTCATTCGGGAGGCCATGCAGGCCTGGAGCTCTGGTGAACTAAGTCGTCTTGTACACCGCCATGGAGGACGCCCTATTGGCAGTTTTGACCTTGACTTGCCCACTGCAGGGAGCAGCCATGCTATAGCCTCTGCAGGAACTGATAATCAAGAAGAAGCTATCTCTCAAATACGCCCGTGTCCTGTCCAAGCACTCTTCATGGATTGTACACACGATAACGAGATGCCGGCCCAAAAGCGAACAGCGGTAGATACATTACCTAATGCTGCATTAGTTTCGATGTGCGCCTCAGCTATTGGCAGCGTCATGGGCTATGATGAAGTATATCCAAAGTTGGTTGATCTCGTCCACGAGACACGGCTGTATTCCTCAGCGTTTTCAGGACCTTTGAAGGGGGAGCTGGGCTCTGACGGTGGCATCGGGAGTATCAAGAAGACTCTGAATCAGCTTCACACTATGATGGGGGCTGATGGATACGATGAGACACATATTCACCATGATGGAGAATATATAACTGTTCATAGAGTTCACCCAAAGACACGGAAGGGTATATTCTTGATTGCACATACTTCTTTCCCCGACCGGGATGGTCATCCCATCCTAGCACCGACTCATCTCACCGGGACACGAGTCAAACCACTTGGGGCATGGAGGTTGGAAGTTGAATCCGGGGAAAACGCCAGAGCAGAAGTCTTGGCCGATAAACACCACTTACGGGGATTGCCTAGCGTAGTCCGAGAGACTAACGCAGTTAAGGTAGAGGAACGCGGGGATGATACCATCATTTCTGTTTTAGAATCCTTCGTGGCGGGGTCAATTGCTCTTTTCGAAACGTCCATCCCGACAGCCGAGCATTCCACAGGGCTGGACCGTTACATTACTGAAGGTGCAGATCAGGCATTCTCAAAACTCAGTCTGGTTGACCTTAATTTTGTACTCTACCGCTGTGAAGCCGAAGAAAGGGATTCTAGTGACGGTCAGGATGGAGTATATGATATACCCAATTATGGGCCGTTGGTTTATGCAGGTCTTCAGGGATGGTGGAGCGTCCTGGAGAACATCATTCGATACAACGAACTGGGACATCCGCTCTGTGATCATCTCCGGCAAGGCCAGTGGGCCCTTGATTATATCATAGCCCGTTTGGAGAAGGTGGCACAAAAAGACGGATACAATGCTCTGAACGATCCGGCATCCTGGCTACGGGACAAATTCAATGCCGTTCGTGAGCTACCCAGCTTTCTCTTACCGCGGTATTTTGCCATTATTCTCCAAGTCGCGTACAACGCTGCCTGGAAGCAGGGCATCCGGCTTCTTGGAGGGAGTATACAGAAGGGACAAGAATTTGTTCATCAACTAGGCATGGTCAGCGTCCAACAAACTGGTTACGTAAAATCCGCATCCCTATGGCCTACGAAAAGAGTGTCAAGCCTTGCGGCTGGTCTTCCCCATTTTGCTGTGGACTGGGCTAGATGTTGGGGTAGAGACGTTTTCATATCTCTTCGAGGCTTACTTCTCTGTACTGGCCGGTTCGATGATGCCAAAGAGCATATTCTCGCATTTGCTAGCGTCCTCAAACATGGGATGATCCCTAATCTATTGAGCAGCGGAAAGCTTCCTCGTTACAATTCTCGAGATTCTGTATGGTTCTTTCTCCAGGCTATTCAAGATTACACCACAATGGTTCCAAATGGTATAGAGCTCCTCGGCGAGAAAGTTTCCAGGAGGTTCCTGCCGTACGATGATACATGGTTCCCCTTCGACGACCCTCGTGCGTATTCTCAGCATTCAACAATAACGGAGGTCATCCAGGAGGTTCTTCAACGACATGCCCAAGGACTGTCATTCCGAGAGTATAACGCTGGCCCTGAGCTTGATATGCAAATGAAGCCTGAGGGTTTTCAAATCGATGTCAATGTTGACTGGGAGACAGGTCTGCTATTTGGAGGTAGCCAATTTAATTGTGGGACCTGGCAAGACAAGATGGGGGAGAGTGAGAAAGCCGGAAACAAAGGATTTCCTGGCACACCTCGAGATGGCGCAGCCATAGAAATCACTGGGCTTCTCTACAGTGCTTTGACTTGGGTTGGAACGTTATATGAACGGAGACTTTACCCGCACGGAGGAGTAGATATTGGGGATGGCAAATCAGTCACGTTCGGAGATTGGGCTGCCAAAATTAAGAGCAACTTCGAGCGTTGCTATTACATCCCCGTGAGTCCCAATGAAGACAGTCGATATGATGTTGATACAAAGGTTGTCAACCGCCGTGGTATCTACAAGGATTTATATAAATCCGGCAAGCCCTATGAAGACTACCAACTTCGGTCCAACTTTCCCATTGCTATGACGGTGTCGCCGGATCTCTTTGATCCCTCCAAGGCTCTAACAGCGCTTGCCCTTGCGGACAAAGTTCTGCTTGGCCCAGTTGGTATGGCTACTCTCGACCCATCTGATCTCAACTACCGTCCCAACTATAACAACTCAGAGGACTCTACGGACTTTACCACTTCCAAGGGAAGAAACTATCATCAGGGGCCCGAATGGGTGTGGCAGCGAGGATACTTCCTTCGTGCCTTCTTGCACTTTGACCTAGCTCGCAGGACAACACCAGAAGGACAGACAGAAGCTTATCAGCAGGTCACTCGTCGCTTAGAAGGGTGCAAGCGAGCACTGAGAGAAAGCCCTTGGAAAGGCCTCACAGAGTTGACAAATAAAGCCGGTGCACACTGCTTTGACTCGGTATTTTCTCTCTCTCCCTTTCGAGTATAAGCATGACCCGGACTGCTAACGATGCATTCATTAATGACAGTCGCCCACGCAAGCATGGTCGGCGGGGTGCTTGTTAGATCTTTACTACGATGCTTCAAGATATGCCTCGAAAGCAGCGTAGAAGCGAGGATTTTCATTGAGCAATGGAATTATAGATGGGTATACACATATATACTAGTGTAAGGTATTCGTTGAAGATATGACTTGCCGTAGAATTAATATATCTCATTCTTCTTGTCTAGTATCTTCATGGATTCGTTATCATACTGTGTACAACTGCATGGTGCTTGCCAAGGCAAACATAACCTCCGGCTTAGTCAGCCGTTTGCACAACTCATATTTTTGACTTACCGTTTTTGGAATCGCCAAAGAGCTTATTGAAGTTTGAGCACAATTAAGTCCGCAGAATTTACCGCACACTTTTCTGAGGTATTAGACAAAAGCGTCTCTCAGTTGCGAAACTTACTAGGATAGATCTCATATAAAGAAGGTTATCTGGACTTGCGACGCGGTGTGTCTATCACGCGATAACCCACCCTGACGTCAGTTGTTTTGCCTTGCGCATCTTTACCGTGAAAGTGCCGAACGCTTCCCATATGCATTGACGAAAACTGTGTCGCCCAAGAGACAGCGCAACGGGACCTTACTCTTCAACACATGTCTGTGACAGAGTCTGCTGCGGCAGCCATAATAACGGCTGCAATTAAAAATGACAAGCTTGGGGGCGGGCATGAGCCAACATGGGGCGACCAAGCAAAAGGGCAACGTGATCTCTATACCCAGCTCATCATTAGTTTGACATTGGGACTAAGTGCTTTCTTGTCTTTCTGTGTATGCCTTGCATCTCATGAGTTATACATGCAATGATGTCTAACGAAGCTATTTTGTGTAGGTCCTGCGACCGAAATGGACGGAGCTGTACGCCGCACGAAGACGACAACGTTGCGCAGCTTCGCACTTACCGGAGCTTCCTGATAGCTTTTTTGGATGGATACCAGTGCTCTACAGGATAACTGAAGAGGAAGTATTACACTCTGCCGGCTTAGATGCGTTCGTTGTAAGTTTCATTCCATTCCATGTACCAGTGAGACAACAAGCACTAACACTAACGTCCGATGATGTAGTTATTGTCGTTTTTCAAGTTTGCGATCCGATTTTTGTCAGCCGTCTTCATGTTCGCCGTAGTTATCATACTTCCGATTCATTACAAGTATACCGGAAAAAGGGGGATCCCGGGCTGGGATGACAACGATGATAATGCTCTCGGTGGGAACAAGGACAAGATGCCCGTGACTGACCCAGACTATTTGTGGATGTACGTGGTATTCACATATATATTCAGCGGACTAGCGGTCTATATGCTACTTCAGGAGACGAACAAAATCATTCGTATCAGACAGAAGTATCTCGGCAGTCAGACTAGCACCACCGACCGGACTATCCGCCTTTCAGGTATTCCCCAGGACATGGCATCTGAAGAGAAGATTATTGAATTCGTGGAGGGCCTTCAGGTTGGAAAAGTTGAGAATGTCACTTTATGTCGGGATTGGCGCGAATTAGACCGCCTCGTCGACGAGCGGTTGCAAATACTACGGAATCTTGAACGAGCGTGGACTAAGCATCTCGGATACAAACGACAGACTGGAGATGATAGCACGTTGCCGCTGGCACATCATCGGCCGCGTGGTTCGAGCTTGTTCTCTGAGGATGACAGCGAGCGCATACAGCTTCTTTCAGAGAGTGGACGAGACCACATTGCGGACTATGCGCACCGACGTCCTACAATTCGCTTATGGTACGGACCGTTAAAGCTACGGTACAAGAACGTTGATGCGATAGACTATTATGAAGAAAAGCTGCGGAGGATTGATGAAGAGATCAGAGTGGCGCGCCAAAAGCAGTACCCCCCTACCGAACTAGCATTTGTGACCATGGAGTCCATCTTTGCATCCCAGATGGTGGTTCAAGCTATCCTCGATCCTCATCCTATGCAGTTGCTTGCCCGGTTGGCGCCGGCGCCGGCTGATGTCGTGTGGAAGAACACATACTTGCCGCGTTCAAGACGAATGATGCAATCCTGGTCCATCACGGGAGCTATTGGCTTCTTAACCGTGTTCTGGTCGGTACTCCTCGTACCACTAGCGTATCTTCTCGAACTGGAGACGCTACACAAGGTGTTCCCACAACTAGCCGAGGCGCTGGCTCGCAACCCCATTGCGAAGTCCCTCGTCCAAACTGGTCTTCCGACTTTGGTACTCTCGTTGATGACGGTTGCTGTCCCTTATCTATATAACTGTAAGCCGGGCCGACTGAAAACTAGTTATGGATAATGTGCTAACCTTCATCCAATTAGGGCTCTCAAACCTTCAGGGAATGACATCGCGTGGCGATGTTGAATTATCCGTCATTTCCAAAAACTTCTTCTTCTCTTTTTTCAACCTTTTCCTTGTTTTCACAGTCTTCGGAACGGCAACGACATTCTACGAACTGTTCAAGCATCTTCGCGATGCGTTTCAGGATGCCACAACCATTGCATTTGCGCTGGCCAACTCGCTTGAGAACTTTGCACCATTTTACATCAATCTTATAATTCTGCAAGGTGTGGGCATGTTTCCCTTCCGGCTATTGGAGTTTGGAAGCGTTGCAATGTATCCCATCAATTTCTTTAAGGCGAAGACACCACGAGAGTATGCCGAACTATCCACGCCACCTACTTTCAGTTACGGGTATTCGATCCCACAGACAATCCTCATCTTAATCATATGTGTGGTTTATAGTGTATTCCCGAGCTCTTGGTTAATCTGTCTGTTTGGACTGGTGTACTTTGCCATCGGGAACTTCATTTACAAGTACCAGCTTCTGTATGCGATGGACCATCAGCAGCATTCTACCGGGCGTGCATGGCCAATGATATGCAGTCGAGTTCTGGTAGGCTTGATGGTGTTTCAAGTCGCGATGATAGGCGTGTTTGCCCTGCGCAAAGCTATCACACGTTCCTTGATCCTTGTGCCCCTCTTGGGTGCAACGGTGTGGTTCAGCTACTTCTTCTCTCGGAGTTATGAGCCACTAATGAAATTCATTGCTTTGAAGAGTATTGATCGTGAGGGCGGCGGAAATTCTTCCCCTTCACCGTCAACCTTTTCTTCTCCATCCGGCCTCGACCGTGACGCCCTACCAATCCAAATCGGTAGGCACGGAGTAGAAGTCAGGCTGAACAAGTATGTCAATCCCAGCCTCATTATGCCTCTCGATGGCGCCTGGCTTCCAGGCCGCAGCGTTGGCGAATGCCCTGGGTCTATATAAAATACATGAAAACACCAGACCATGCCTTGCGTGGTCCAGGGTACCCAATCAGTCTACAACCCACGTCTCATCTCTTTCCCCCTACGCCCCTTCCACTACTCGCTATTATGTGCTTTTTTCCATTTTCATTCATCATAGATATTATACCCTTTGTTAATATCAATGCTTCCAATGCCCCGAGTATATTATGATATACGATGCCATGCCATGCCCACCTACTATTAATATCACCTGTCTTCTTCTTGTTTTACTTATACTTCCCTTGCCTATTAACCCACCATATACGCCTGCATCTATTTAAATTTACCGCTCACAGATCGATCACCAATACCTGATTATTACTGTTAGGAGTGAGAATGTATACTCAGCAGTCGATGTATCTGTGGGGTTTTTTTTCGATTTTTTTGTACAATGTCGGATAATGCTCATACATTCATTACGTACGGTTTTTCAATGTTGCACTTATTATTTTCTTCATATATATATATATATATATATATTTTGATTGTGGAATTCTACATATTCCCTTCTTTATGCTGTAGATTACTAGTAGTTAAAGGCCGATTTTCTGCATCCGCCGATGACGTTGTGTGGCGCCCCTCACGTTGATTGGCGCGTGATTGCGATCGACTTTCTTGTTCTTCCAGGTTGTTCTATTCATGATCTGAAGTAGAGCTACTTTGAAATAGAACCATGATGAAGAAGATCGACTATTTCCTCACATTACGAATACTTCCGTGAATGCCAAGTGAGGAATGCAACGGCTTCATCATCGTGCAGCCTTACACAAGAGATCAACAGTCGACAGCTCGATAATTGTCACCATTCTTGTGAGAGACCCGCTTTCTAACTTTTGACTCGCTCACGGAGTCTGTTCATCTCCACTTGCTACAACGCTCAGTCGGCGGCACCACCGGCTTATCCTCGCAAGCTTCCATGGGCGATGGCAATCTTCATGAACCCAATCTATAATCACGACGAAAGTTTCTGCTCCCTCGCCCCTCGCTATGGCTGACTGTTGCGGAGTTCTCATCACATTCGCCAACTATGTGGAGCTTCCCCAATATTTGGCCCACTCTTCGTCGCCGCTCTTGGTTGAGGAGGTTCAATGCTGGAGGATGCACCGGTCCCTATATCGACGTCAAGACGGCTATTACGCGAGATAGAAATGCCACCCCTGGAGTCTCAGGAGACGATAAAATGGAATAGAATCCTTATGGCTTTCCTTTCGGTGTCCTGAGTTGTCAACGGCTCTCTCTTCCATACATTCCTCGGTTTCCCGTTTTGTCCACAGCTATAAGACAATCCGGCATTTTCTCCTTACTCCTCTTGTATTAGTGCATTCATCGCCTACTTTGTCTATAGCTCGTCTAGAAAGAATTGTACACCTATGGATTAGAAAAGAAGCGCTAGCCATAACGAAAACCTGGCATAGCTGGCCAACGGTGCAGGTCCGCAATTGATAGTAGTGTTGGAGCTATTTTCGTTCATTTAAACTGCACGCATCTATACATCCCGGCGAAAGTGCTTAGAGCTTCTTGCATTTCAAGCCATCAAAGCATCGTTATTAACTCTGACAGAGATGGCCCGTCATTTGATGTCTGGGAATGACTTCCACGGTGATGCTCGCGGCGTCGATAGAATTGCATCAGGCTCAATTAATGCTTCCCATGTGGATTCGGTGTTTTGCTCTGATTCGAGGCCAAAAAACATTCTCAAACCCCAGAGTGTCTCACAAGGGCCTATATTTCCGCGAATCGTGACTAGAAGGCTGCTCGATTTTATCTCTCGTGAAACCCGTCACTCTTTACGCCTAACCTGCAGATCTTGGTCTCGAACCATTGACAAGGCAATGCCCGTTTCTCGCCCTGCCGCAAATATTGTACCGGCTGAAATTTTGCTGCAGATATTCTTCATGTTGAGCCCTCGTGATTTTGATAATGCTCGACGGACGTGCTCTCAATGGATGAAAGTGAGCCTAAATGAGCGACTTCTGGAAAGTATGCTCAGACGAGCGGGCTGGTGGAATGCCTGGCAGCGGGACTGCCAGACCCAACGTTGTGATTCAGAACACCACAAAGAGAGCACTATGTGGAAGATGAGCCGGCGTTTCGCCACAGAATGTATCCTATCCGGTCGAAGGGTGAACGTGGAGAAGACCGGCTTCTTAACAACCGCAGTCGTTGACTTTACGAAACTATCCCGAGGGCACATTTTCACAGAGGCGTCATCATATTCGTTTTCCACGAATTCTAGCGGCCATCAGGATGGTATCGCAGCCATATCTAAGTTCCGTGTCAGTGACTGTGGCAATTATTTACTAGTAACTACGGGATGCAAAATCTACGTTTATCTTCTGCTTAGCCGGAACCATGAGAACTCCCTCCCTTCATCTGCGAATAAAAACGCGGATGTTGCGCCGATTACACGCATTGATTGTCCTGCTGAAGTGATGTCTGCTACGATTGATACTAGTACGCCCAGATTTGTCATTGCGGCGCTGCTCCATAACCGTTCCGGGTTGATGTGCAACTTAGTACCTTCTGGCGCTGCTCAACCAAATACCTTCGAATCCGCTGGTTTCACCTCTGATATATTGGATGGCTCTATACAACCCATGGAAATTACTTCCCTTTCTTACTATCAAGACATATGTTCTCCTGAAGACCTACCGCGCAGTGTGTCGGTCTGTCCCGGACGTCAATGCGTGGCATTCGGCTCTAGTTCTAGTATTGAGCTACGTTGGATTGATAAAAAGACGAAACAAGAAAATAAAAAACGTCTTGCTATGTCGCAGCCATCGGAAATCCTGCATTTCCTGCCTCATCGATCCGAGACGCATACAGAGCTGCGGCTCATCTCATCCCTTGCTGGTCCGGGATTGCCGGGTTGTAAATGCCACAATGTACAGCCTGGTGAACTGCGGTCGGCTTGCCCTTTCCATCTTTTGGCCGATATCCAATCTTTCGCTCAATGGAGTTCTGGAGAAACTAGCGATCTCGGGTTAGTGAGGGCGACTCATTGCCACCACTACCGAGCTGTTCCTATCAGCGATGGCCTACATTTCCTGTTCATCGAACCGCGCACTAGTCTGCTTTGTATAGGTTCCGATGCTCCTTTCGGTGGTCCTACCAGTCTGACGAGGGCTCTTATTTGTATCCCGCCGTTTGGAAAACTCCCGTTGGAAGTTGCAAAAAAAGGATTAGCGCCTACTATCTTCGCAGCCGGTTCGGATTTGAACTGGGGTCTGCGAGTGGTAGCTGCTTATCGGGACCGGATTGTCTTATACTCCGTTCCACTGGATGTCTTCAATGTGGTTCGAAGGGAACGTGAAAGACAAGGAGATAATGTCATGGGTGATAGTGATCTAGCACGAGACTGGTTTCTCGACAGCGAAAGGTCGCGAAAGGGTCATGGAAGCCTCGCACCGAACCAGAACGGTGACTGGGAATTCCTCCTTAGTGTGAGCTACAGGCCAACAGCTATGATGTGGCCATTCAAAATCTACGGAAAGGAGATTGGGCGGATGGACAACGTGGTCGAGTTGTCTCTGCAAACTGCCTACGGTGGTGCTCGAATTTGGGCGTTCGGTGCATCGGGTGAAATGAACATCTTTGACGTAGACACCTTCACGTCTAGCGCCCAGCAATCCGCCGATATCCCGTACAAGTCGTCGTACATTGGAGCCGATGGCAGCGTCGCTTCAGTGGAGATGGTCACGAGAAGTGATACTAACTTGCCATCTTCATTATCGTCGCACAAACGAAAGCATATCGAGACATTAGAAGATTTCGGTGGACAAAAGCCTACCACTTACCGATTTCATGATGCGATGCGTGAGGGAGATAATTCATCTAGTTCCCAGAATATTCATAAGACTATGACTACCAATGCAGCCACCAAACGGCGGATATCTTTCGCTGCGCGCATTATCGACTTCAGTATCCCAGAATCAGGCGACACATTGGTAGAGAGCGAATATACTTATGCTTAAAAGTAACTAGCACAAATATGTCTGTTTACTTTAGAAGGGATGTATATAGTCATCTCGATTCAATTTTGTGAAGACTGGTTTAATTTGCTTCTTGGACTCTATTTACACTTACTACTACACTGATAGACATAAGTGATAGCTATCAATATGCTTTATGCTACTATTAACGTTTATGTTACGGAACACAAATATACTTACCCATAGACAATATTGTTTTAAAGATTCTCCATCTTTCGTCAAGTACATCTAGAGAACCATGCGACTAGAGAAGCACACATCCAGAACTCTATACCCCCTTATGAAAACACAATAGAGTGCAGTAGCCTTCTAGGGATAGGCGGATGAGGCCGCCTATTTTTCCCTTCTTTTAGTTTTGGGTTAGATTAGGTTTGGGTTGTTAGGGTTTACGCACAGAGGACAAACCAGACAGCGGTTAGGAGGTCGGATCTAAAGATTTGGGGACGTTTGGTGAGAACTAGTTTGTAGGTTATTGTTAGTATTATGGTGCAGGGCGAATATCGAGATTAGTTCTAGCGTTCCTTTGTCGTTAGGGATGTATTTAGGGATATCCGCTGTGGAAGGATAATAGGGCTGTGGCCATTGCGATGGCGTTGAGATATGTGGAGTTTTGTACATAGGGAAATTGTGCAAGGATGGAATGGAGGGTATGGAGTATAGGGTGGTTATTTTGGTTTCTGGGGTAGGTCCTATTATTAGCTAGTCTGATCCATCGTATCCCAAGAGTAATCTCGGGCACTTAGCATCCGGGATCGTCAGACTAATTATGCTTATTCTTGGGCTCCGATGGAGTCGTAGCTGATTTACAACGAAAGAGTGTTGGCTCAATGGTGTAACACATCCCATGTATTGAAACCGAATCGTACTTTTATTCACAGAACGCTATCATGGCTCAACCCATTTTCCAACACCGGAAGATTATGGCTCAAAATATAAGCTTTGCTCGGACAATCAAGCAGTTGAAAAGATTAAGTCGAAAGATTTACTTTTATGCGTGGATCTAGTTGGCCAGTTTCTCTTTCCGAGTACGGACGGCCTGGGCGAGGTTCTCGAGCACAGCTTCCGTGTCCTCCCAGTGGATGCAAGCGTCGGTGATACTGACACCGTACTTGAGGCCGGCCTTGCCCTCAGGCGGGACCTTCTGGTTACCTGTAAGACAACAGTTAGCAATAGGATTCCAACACTCATAACGGAAATGGAAAGTATACCCTCATTGATGTTGCTCTCAATCATGACACCCATGATCGCGGTCTCACCCGCAGCAATCTGCTCCGCGAGCACAGCAGCCACCTTGGGCTGGTTCTTGTGGTTCTTCTGCGAGTTACCATGGCTGCAGTCCACCATGAGACGGGGCTCCATGCCCTGCGCAGAAAGTTTGGCCTTGGCCTCAGCGATGCTCTGAGCATCGTAGTTGGGGCCCTTCTTTCCACCACGGAGGATGACGAAGCAGTCGGGGTTACCCACGGTGCCGACGATAGAGACAACACCGGGCTTAGTGACAGAGAGGAAGTGGTGGGGGTGCTTCACCGAGCCAATGGCATCCACTGCAACGTCCAAAGATCCATCGGTGCCGTTCTTGAATCCAACAGGGAAGGAAAGACCAGAAGCCAGCTCACGGTGGACCTGGGACTCGGTTGTCCGCGCGCCAACCGCACCAACAGAGAGACAGTCGGCCAGGAACTGCGGGGAGATGGTGTCCAACATCTCGCTAGCAATGGGCATGCCCTTATTGGTCAGGTCGACGAAAAGTTGGCGAGAGGTGCGCAGACCCTTGTTGATCTTGAAGCTGTTGTCGATATCGGGGTCGTTGATGAGACCCTTCCAGCCAACGGTGGTACGGGGCTTCTCCAGGTAGGCGCGCATGACAATCAAAAGCTCATCCTTGTATTTGTCCTTGAGTTTTAAGAGACGGTCACAGTATTCAAGGGCCATTTCGGGATCGTGAATCGAGCAGGGTCCAACTACGACCAGCAAACGGCGCTTGTCGGTGTCGGTACCATGAACGACTGCGCTAGCCTCTTGACGGGCTTGCAAGACCGTCTGTCTGGAGGTCTCTGTCATCGCAATCTCATGTTGGAGAAGGTTGGGGGGTGTCAGAGGGTTGTATCCTCGAACTGCGTCCGTTTAGCGATCGACCATCCGCAAATTCATAATGCGTAATCAGGAGATTGACTTACTTCTCGAGTCCTCCAAATGATTGGTATCCCCTACATTAGGGTTTTCAATGAAGAACTGTGCAATGGAATGAGTAACTATTCAGACAATTGATATGATCGTGGCGGAGAATTGACTCACAGACATGGTGGGCGGCGGGGGAGATTCGCAGAGATCAATTAATAAATGCTGCGAGGGGTAGAGGGGCAGATATTAATTAATATCTCGGAGCAATTGAGGACAAGGAACAAGAGTCCGAAGCAATGAAACTCCGACCGGGGTATCTTAAAACGGTATGACAACAAAAATAGGTGAGTTCAGATGGGTTAGAAAAAATATTTTTTTTTCCATAAAGGAGATCTTACGATCCTTTATTTTTTGCTTGGGTAACGAACTCCTATGTCGGCGCCCGTGACGAGTCATACCTGCCTCATCGGTCACTGTCTCGCACGTGAATCCGGTCGATCGGACCCTTGTGCATGCCTCAGGTTGGTAAACCCCATTGGCTGGATTGTCATTCGCTGTTGGGCTCCGCCCACATCAACTCTAATTCCGTAAACCCAACGGACAATCAACGGGGTGGAGCATCTATAGAATTGATCACCCGGAATTAAATCCGCAAGTCCTTCACTGCATACCTCATCTCATCGACATTAACCCCTGCAAGAGAGTATATTGGAATGATATTTCTACCACTAAATCCATTATAGTCTCCTCTCAGACATCGCACGGTACGACCTACGTGGAATTTAGAGCTCTCATTTGGTCCATAATCTCCGTTCAGGGTAGCAAGAAGGGCTAGCATGAATTGAGGCTATCAATGATCTACACTGCTCTCCTTCCAATATAATGATAAAGTAGCTAAATCTACCGAGCAGTAACAAGGACTTCAGAGCGTGGTTGGCACCCTGCAGACCATGGGAAGACAGCCAGCTTCAAGCGCTTTTGTGCTTTTTCCCTTTCCTTTCTTCTGAGCTTAGGTGTGAGTTTGTCCTTTTCCAAGCATACCGCTCGGTCTCTTCCAAGCGTTGAATTATCTCTTGACAGACGTTTGTATGGTGGTCTCTGATTATGTCCATCTGCTGCTTACATAGGTTTATTCGTTCTTCTTGTGCCTCGAAAAGTTGATCGAGTACGCCGTGGCACTGTCGGTGATATGTTTCCAAGACACTATTGACTGTTTGCTTCTCAGTGTCTAATTCGCGCATAAGACGCTTCACCTAATTAGCAAATGCGCTAGATCTATTATCTATCATGCAAAATTTGTCTCACCTTACGAGAATCAAGCAACATGCCCTGCGTGTACGTTTGGAGTGTCTGTAGGGTTGTATCCCCTTTGGTCTGCTTGAAGTTTTTGCCACGAGTGCTCGATGTTATTGCTGTATTCCGGGAGGAATCAATAGAGGCCAGCTCTCCTTGCGACGGAGATTGGTATGGACCCCGGTCCGCAACATCGATTCGCCTGTGTTGCCTATGGGGGGCTGAGGCTGCTCTAAAAAGATCTCGGCGCACGCTCTTTGTCTGACCTTCACAGCCCCTTGATAAACTGGGTCCTTGTGCAAACAGATCTTCTATACGCACTCCAGAGCTCTCGCCACACACAGTGGGGACCAGCATATCCCTAGCATTGGACACTTCAACGAAACTCTCTTCGATACCTCCATCATAGACAGACTCATCATCAATGCTTCCAACTGGACTTTGATTTTCATCCTGTGTAAGCTGTCCAGGTTGGCCTTCACAATGTACCGTACCATCAGAAATCATAAGTTTATTCTCCGTATGCAATAGGAGTCGTGGGCTTCCATTTGGATCGACAATACTCTTTCTTGGCGTTGTCCTTTGATGCTCCGCGGTGTGCTCTTGCGCCTGTTGGCTATCGTGGTGCAGAAGAGACTTGGCGGAAACTGGACCACCGTGTTCTAATGTAGCTGCTCTCATTATACAAGAGCTCCCAGAGCTGGGGCCAGGCTGGCCGCTTCCACTGCATGATCTATTCTCAGTCTCCTTACTAGTGCTAATTGAACTGCTGTGGTTAGGTTGAATAACCGGGGTATCTCCGTGACGTGGTTGAGCATGTCGGCCTTGTGTCGAGTTGGTAGGAGACATGGTCCTATCTGCTCCTGCTTTTGTTTCCCATCGCCCGTCACCCAACAGCTCATTGGCTACTGTTTCTATGCTATCCGATATCATCTCGGTATCTCCTAAGATTCCCTGACAGTTGTTTTGCCTTGCTCCTCGTACTTCGTCCGGGCGTTTCTGGCCCATACAAAGGTCCAGTAACCTATCTGTATCTGAGCTTTGTGAGAGCGCATAGTCACCATCTCCATCCTCAGCATTGCCTACTAGATTTAGTTTATCAAGTAGATTTTCTCTAGGAAGTTTTTCAATTGATGGGGCCGATGATGCGGCTGATTCAGGGTTGCTCTGGCTCCTATGATCAGGAGGTGCATCGTTTTCCTGATTATTATATCGTTTACATTGTGATGACACCTCCTCTAGTTGGAAAGCTGCAGCGAGTTTTTCCCCAATACCTTGGCCTCTCCCTATATGCTCTGCCCCTAGCAATCGAGGTTTTGGGGGGGCTTGTGATGGCCCAGAAGCATTAGCATCTGTGACATAGGGGTGTGCATCAGCCCCATGATCACCTCCGCTGCTAGTGCTTCGGACTAGTGGCATCTGGCGATTTCCAGTAGATGAGCTTGCCTCGTGGAATTCATTGCCCCTGTTAAGTTCAGACTCGCCGCTCGGACGCAGGTCTTCATCCCAGTCAACAGCTGCCTTACGATGGGCGGCATATACCCTTCTATAAGCTCTCCGAGGATGGAAAATCAACGATTCCTGCGTATTAGACAACTGGGGCTTATTTCTTTTGTTAAGTGACAAGGTGCTGCGATTACGTCTGCTCATTAGTTGTGTATTTTGGTTTGCAGTTGTATCTGTTTCGTTGGAACGAGATTGCTGTGGCTCAGTAGACCTCTTGGCTTGCGAGATAGTATGAGTCCCACCATCCTGGTCAGACCCTTTTTCCGATACCATTGAATCATCGTATACTCTATTGAATTTATGCTCTTTATTCTGAAAGAGACTGTCCTGTCGTGGATTATTCATGTCGTCCTTGTCGGTAGCATTTGACAAGCATCCATCACCTCCGCCAATAGGCTCGTTCTCCTCACTTCCTTTCTGAGGGCCATCAGAACTGACAGTGTTCGATATCGTAGCTGCTAGAAAATGTTTTGTGCCTGAAGCTGGTGACATACTTGGTGGCAATGTATGCTTAACAGTATCTGCCTCTTTTCGGGCCCTCGCCTTCGAAAGGCGCTTAGACTTCCTTACTACCACCTCTGCCGTGTCCAGAGACACCACGGCCGATGACGATCTTTGGGGTTTAGATTTTATTGTTGAAACGCTCATTTCGATCTCTCCGCCAGCCTTAATGAGTGCCTTACGCAGCTCGGGAAAGTCTTCGACGGACTGTAAGATATCCTGTGATTTCAATAACAGAGCACCTTGCTCCCCTGATCCGAGCATTAGCTCTGCGAGTAAATTTCCAGTCTGTTGTGCTGTCAGTATCACTGGGATTGAGGTTATGAGCGAAATAGCCAGCTCACCAGTCTCCTAAGCTCATCGTCCCGGTGCCCATCGATAAATATGCGATGCAATACGTTCAATAAGCGTTGCTGTGTCAAGCGCGAGTAGTCTGTCGGTAATACAGCTGCCGATTCATCTTTGACACATGATCGAGGCCCATCCTATTTGGCAATCTGATATTAGGATTGTCGTGGTTTCTATAGTAGTGTGAATATGTGCAGACAAACCAGCAGAAGATATAGTCCTCGCTCCTGGCCAGCCTGAGTCCCCGAATTGAGCAGTAGATATGCCAGACATTGTAAAGATGTCACATCTAATGATTGGATGATCTTGGGAGCATTCTTGTCCAGTGCTGAAAGAATCTCGTTAACGTTGTTCGTCTTCAGAGGAGTTTCGTCACGTAACAAGCACTCAACCATATCACCCGAGAAACTGCATACTGTCAAAATTTAAAATAGAAAGATATATTTGAGCATTTGGAACTGACAATGTTCCTACATCTCCTTCGGTTTTCGTAGCTGCACTTCTCAGTTGAGTGATCAAGTTTAGCTCTACCATATAACGGGGGCTTTGATCATCGCGGTCTGCAACTGAGCACGTTTCAGACATTTTGTGCTTATGAGCTGATAGCAAACTATGAAGGAAAAGTCCCTCACGTAAAGGCAAGTTTCGTGGAGAATACTTGTGTGTGTGTGTGTGTGTGTGTGTGTGTGTGTAGAAGTTATGTGAGTGTGCCATCACATGATCCTGTTAATCAAACAGGAAACTTCGTCTACGAAACAACTTCGGGAAAGTCCAAAGAGTCTTTGGACTTGCCTGAGAGTTCCCCAAGGTGTCAACTCTCACTCCAGGCCACATCTGCTCATTGTTCATCTGTGAGATTCCCAGGGAAGGTCAAAAAGAGCTTAGCTCGTCGTAGGTATCATTATGAACTTAGAAGACATGAGTTTCTACAGCTTGACTTATATATCCTCCAACGTTATTACAATATTATAGTAGAATCATACGCTGTCAATAGAGCGTCAACATCTGACGAAACGTGACTGGTGTGCCCCACAATTTATGGGCACAGTTATTGACCACAATCATGATTGAAAGCTTTGCTAGTGAGAGTAATAGAAAAGAAACATAGAAAGAGAAGTGGTTGATGCTCTGGATCCATGATTATTCTTTGTCCTAAAGAGGTCAAGTGCCAGGGGGGTCCTATGCCAAGAGCCTTCGCAAGCGTCAGGTGCAACACACCTTAAGCCAAAAAACCCCAGATTTTGACATAGTAGCGCAGATGGCACAATCGCAGCTTATTGGAAGTTGCATACTACTTAAGCTGCCATCTGTCCGGTTCGACATCCTTTACTTACGGACTGTTCGCAACTGCTATCTATACTAATTCTTTCAAAAAACCAGTTCAACAAGGCATTAGCTTTGATTACCAATATAATCTGTCTGGTATTGTAATCAAGCACGGTCCTTGAAAGATCCGATCCGGGTCGGCAATCGTTCGCTCCGCGTTCCGACTCTAAAATCCATCTATGGAAACAAAACAGGCGATTAGGTGTTTACGTGGAAGGAGAAGCAGGATGGTCAGACGGCATGACGATTGGTCTGCTTATACTCCGACACGAGGTTGACTAACCCATAAATTCTAGCGGACACGCTATGCAGCTGAGGTTTCCTGTACTTATCTCAATTTCTCTGTTCAACTGATTATTAACAGGTTACCTTGAAATGGGTGTATCATATCCTGAAAATCAGCTCAAGGAAGACGACTCTGATGCCGTCCTTTCGTCCACCCCACCAACACGTGGAATGTTCGAGCGGTTATGGGAGTTGATTCCTGGGGGCCGCAGCAAGAATACAACATCCGAAACGACGAGTTGTGACCTCCCCGAGACAACGTCTAACAGACGGCGAGCGTCAGTCGCGGAGCATTCCCTCGAGAGAGACGAACACCTTTCTGAACACCTGCCTAAAGTTCCCAGCCGATGCGATGACCAAAACGAACCATATCCTTCGCAGGAAACCGTCCTATACCTAGCCTACGGCTCAAACTTGGCTTCGAAGACGTTCCTGGGAATGCGAGGCATTAAACCCCTCTCTCAAATCAACGTCATGGTTCCTGAATTACGATTAACCTTCGATCTTCCTGGGCTGCCGTACCTCGAGCCTTGCTTCGCAGCGAGTCAATTCCGCGACGCTTCATGCAAGGGAACGGATACAAACCATATCACTGATAGTGAATTGGAAGGAGATTTGACTTCAGAAGAGGCAGTGCTCATCTCACAACCAGAGCACAATTATCTACCCGATGATCCTCTCGTCGGTGTCGTGTACGAGGTCACTCTTACCGACTATGCTCGCATTATAGCGACAGAAGGAGGCGGGAATGGATACAAGGACATTGTTATCGACTGCTATCCATTCGCCGAATCTTACGACCCAACCGAGCCCATTCCTGACTGTCCAGAATCAAAGCCTTTCAAGGCACATACCCTTCTCGCTCCTGTCACGAACCTAGACGAGATATCTCGGCGCGCTTATGCGCAGCGAACACACTCCTTTGTCCGGCGATCTGGGCCCGCTGTGCGGAAGCCTGGCTACTCTCAGCCATCCGCTCGCTACCTCAACTTGATCCTCACAGGGGCAGCCGAACATAATCTCCCTATCTCTTATCGGGCGCATCTCTCTCGGGTACCCACATATCGTATCACAACTGTTGGTCAAAAGATAGGCAAGTCGATCTTTCTACTAACGTGGGGTCCACTTATGCTTCTGATACTCAGACTCTCAAGGATTCTTGCTGGTCCGGATGGTCGCAGTCCGCAATGGTTGATGAAGCTGTCGGATATCATAATAGCCGCAATGTGGGGTTCTTACGAAGTCATATTTCGTCCGCTTTTTGGAGATGGTGAACGGACTATAGAGTAGGAAAGATGATTTAATTCTCAATTCATAGATATACTCAAGACCAATCCAAGAACTGAATACATTATATTTTAAGTACAATTCCCGACCTCCTTTGTTTCATAAATGCCTCAGAACTGCTCGACTATCATTGAAATGCAATAATGGCAACTGCCGAGGCAATGCCAGCATCGGCAGATTGCCTCGCTCTAGGCAAAGAGTCTACCCGCGTATTGAAGCATGTTCATATATGAAAGTAGACAAAGGAAATAGTGACATTGGGTCTTCAAACAAGATTTTCAAAGGAGAAAATATCTAGGGTACAGATACAGGTGTCCTGAATAACATCTAACAAAACAAGCAGAGGCCAGACCATACACAAGAGCGACTGATGAAGGGACGGCGACGTGACCAAACCTAATAAGGTTGGGGTCAATTATTCAAGGTTCCCTGGCCGTCGATCCCTCACTTTTTGCAATTCATATAGCCCGTTGTATCATTCAGCGCCGGGAGACAGGGGGGCTGTACACAATCTTCCTTGTCTTGATCGGAGACCACTTGTAACGCTTAACCCAGACGCTGACAGCGAAGAGACCGGTAAGGAGGGCAATGGCCTTGACACCCATCTTCTTACGGTCGTCCATCTCAGGCTCGGCAGCCCAGTTGAGGAACTCAACAACGTCCTTAGCCATCTGGGAGGTGGTGGCAGGAGTGCCGTCCTCATACTCAACAACACCATCGAAGAGGACACGACCCATGGCAATAGCTACAACGGAATTAGACTAATCAAAAATTATAGGGAATTTGACAAAACATACCGGTTCCAGGGAAGTAGGGGTTGAAGTTCATGCCCTCCTGGACAGTGGCACCAGCTGGGGGCTCGTCAGGGTAACCAGTCAACAGACTGAAGATGTAGTTGCAGCCACCGTGACGGCCCTTGACGATCAAGCTAAGGTCAGGGGGCAGAGCACCACCGTTGGCAGCACGGGCAGCCTCCTCGTTCTTGTAGGGAGCGGGGATGTAGTCCGACAGCTTTCCGGGACGCTTCTCGATCTCGCCCTGGTCGTTGGGCTCGGTGTCGTATTCGTTCTCCTCAGCCATGGCCTTCATCTCATCGACGGTGTGCATGACACCAACGAACGAACGCCAGGGAACACGAGTCAAGGAGTGGCAGGAAGCGCAGACTTCACGGTAGACCTGGAAACCACGACGGAGGCTGAGAGAGAATATGTAAGCAAGAACTTCCTTTTGTTTAAAAATGAGGGTCGATCCAGTTCTAGGAGTACTCACGCCGCATGGTCGAAGGTCTTGTTCCACTTGGCGTGTTCCCAAGGGTAGTTGGTAGGGTGCAACCTTTAACTCAGATGTGTCAGCCATATATAGTCTCGGCTGCTAAGATGACGATTCGGTCGGAGCAACGGAGAGGACAAATGGGTGTTCAAGCCCGACCAATATCGTAACCAATCCACTCACCCTTCCTCAGCAGGGGTCGATGCAAAAGCTTCCTGTCCATAGAGATAGGCGGCGGATCCGACGGCGACGGCGGTTGCGACGGACGCAGTGACTGTGAGGTGGAAGGGGGAGCTGGCGGATTCGGCACCGGCGGCGGAAGAAGACGCACGCTGGACAATTCATTAGCGGTAAGCCCTTGCAAAATACTCCAGGGCAAATTTCAAAGCAATTGCCCTCGTATCTTGAGCCCAATGGACATCAGATATCGGAGAGGTGCGTACCGTGGATGCTCTGTTCAAGGACTGCCGTGCGATACCCCGGAAGGGCACGCTGCGCGAGACAGTACGTGCCAGCATACTGATTATATCAAGAACCCTCTGATCAATGGATAATCAGGAAGGCACAATAGCCAGGAAGAAGGAGAGGGGAGGGGGAGGGGGTCGTGGTGCGCACTGGAGAATGTGCTTTTGGAGGTGAAGTTGAGGTTGTCGGACGGTCAAGTTTCTCTTGGGTTTGGAATTGGCTAAACCCTCCCGTTGATTGGCTGGCACCACGGCTCTAACTGCCTTCGGTGAAAACCGCGACTTTTCGGAACAACAAAATTCGATCCATAAATCAGCAGCCACATGATGACAGCCAAACAAACCCGACAACTACAATGATGCCATTAACTGTTCGGAATTCGTTCTCTCTTTCTAATACTACATACTTGAAGATATTACTGACCCATGCCCTACGCCAATTGCTCATATGAGAATCTCACACTCCCGTCCACTCCCACGGCGTCTTCTGTGTGTTTTTGCCCTTCATTGTGCTTCCGCCTTGGCTTGAATTTCCGACATAATCCCCATACGCAAAGCATGGACAGCCTCCCGAGTATTACATCGGGCACTCTTACCATACAAAACTAAAGACAAAGCGGATAGTCGTCGAACAGTCCGCCCGCTGAGGCTCTTATGAGAGTGTTAGAAGTGATTTTCTGTAACGTATCCAGTAATTATTGTGCAAAAAAGAAAAGGAAAAAAGGAAAAAAGGAAAAAAGGAAAAAGGACAAAAGGAAAAAGAAAAAAGGAAAAAGAGAAAAAGAGCATAACTCACCATGCTCTCCAATGCTGCGTCACCAAGCTGTTTGGGAACAGCGTCCGGAAACATCTGATAATTGAGGATCATCTCATCAAAAGTGGGCAGCAGTAGAGTTTCCGTAGCTTGCTCCACATACTGCAGTGCAGTCTGGGGATTCTCGGGGTTCACTTGAACGATATCAAATGAGGTTCCCTCAATGATCCCACACCGACTCAACTCTTCCAGGCATTCTTTGTAAATTCCGTATATAGCTCTGTTGGATAGGTACGGTATGAACTGCTTGATATCGACCCGATCGAGGAAAGCTTGGTCCTGCGCAATTGCGATGCATATCAGCTTCTCGGACCCAGAACGTGCATTGTTGATTGATCTGACGGAATACTTACCAGAGCTGTGACCAAATTGCTCGTACAGATTACAACAACATTGGCATGGGTTTTCAATCTATCCAAGCCTGTGAGAAGCGCATTAACTGCACGTACAGCGTCGAATGGCTCATTTCCGCTCAGCGCCCGTTCTCTTCGAGCTGCAAGTGTTTCTATCTCGTCGATGATCACAGCGACAAAGGTATCCTCTTCCTCTTCAAGCAACGACTCAATATTCTCAAAGGTCTTGCTTACCAGCTTCCCGCTTTCACCAAAAAACTTGCTGCCAAGCGAGTGAGCGTTTATTTCAACCAGCTTACTCTGGGGATAATGTTTTCCAATGCGTATTGCAAGTTTCTGCGAGAGGCCACGACTAAACTATATTAGCTTCGAATAACCCGGGACTGCTTTGATTAGCGCACCAAAGGCTTGTTTTTCCTGTTCCCGGCGGTCCCCACAAAAGAATCAATCTATTCCAGTCGATCGTCCATCTGTTGAGTTTTCGAGAAGCGTATGATACTAGAAGGGTCAGTTAGCCGTAGTTGCTATGCCGCTAGCACTTTTTAAAGTGCCCACCCATCCTGGTGATTGCACGAAGCAACGTAGACTTAAGCGGCTGGTCAAACTGCAATCTATGACACGTTTGGGTTAATATCATGCAGATATCATGCAGATATCAAGTCACCGAATTTATCATACGACTCCCATAGCCCATCCAGCTCTCTGCTTGGTAGGTTCAGTACCCTTGCTTTTGAATCTTCGTCTTTTCCATCCATGGATTCCTCCAAAGGTTGGGTGTGTTGAGAGCTTTCTTGCTCGAATGGTGCACGAAGCTGATACGCCTGGACATCAAGTTCAACCTGTTGGACTCTATATGCTCCGGATTCTATGTCTTGCCCCGAGCACTCGGTGACGACCACAGAGTCTATGACTTGAGAATGCGAGTCGCTCAGGCCTTCTAATATATTATTAGTAACTGTGTGTAAGTTTCGCCTCGAGGCTCTCGTACCAAAGGAGGATATTTCCTGTCCGAGGTTGAGAACGACGAAATTGGCAACTAGCCATTTTGTGACCTCTTCCCTAATCTGCTAATTTAAGTCTTGCAACCCCCCAAAGGACTATGGTAGGTACACCAAGGGCAATGTACCAGGTCAGTGCGAATGATGATGCCATCTCCGTTGTTTTTGACACGCACTTCGACATGTAGGATTGGCAGCTGAAAGACTTCCATGGTGTATAGGAAACAGCGAGCAAAGATTATGTTGCGTGGGAGTTACCGTAAGGGCAGTATAAAACCAGGGGAGTGGGAGTGTACATTAGAGTAATATGGAGGAAAAACGTCGTTGGCTTGGATTAACTGTAATCATGGAGATTGTAGCTCAGTAGGCATTTTCCTGTGACATACACAGTATACCAACATCCCACCGCCCAGATCTGTCTCTATATGACCCAGCAAATTGGTACTAGAACTTTAAGTTCATCCAATATCACTAAGGACTAAGCTGACCTACTGAGGTTTCCGTAATATTGCTTGGAGGGTATACAGTATGTATGCACAATCTTATCCACACTCTCACATACCATTGATAAAGCAGCGAGCAGTAGCCGCCGAAGCAGATGGATAAAAAAACGGCCTGCCACCTTCCAATGTTACTGCCATGCTATTCTCATTCCGGAAAGCCTGACACTTTTTCTATAATTGCCCCATCAAGGTTCATTATACGAAGAGAGATGCAATGGCACCGTGGCAAATTGATCTACTAGGTAGAGATGAATACTCCTCATTGCTAATTAAGCGCCGTTCTCATCTGTCATCATTACAATAACATGCATTGAATTTTACTTACTTTAGGGAACTGACCTTCAATCATTGTTCATATTTAAGCATACGAACTAGAACTCATGTTTCCAGTTGTTATATAGATTAACAACTTCAGATCTATTTTGTTTAGGCCCCTCGATCACGTGGGAGTCTGTCCCTAATGGCTGGCTCCCCGGAAAGGGAAAGCCTCCGGCCGATCCATTAGAAACTCTGGGGTCCATTTTAAGTGCCGCCATAGTCATGGCTGTGCAAAGCATCAATGGTCCGTACATTGGGCCTGGACGTATTCCTTTCACGATGAGTCATTTTACCTATAAACATATACACTAGTTGTGGTTATTCAGAACAATAGTATCAGTTCAAGCCCCAATCGTGTGCATTGCCCCGCGGAGCCAACTAGTCGGTGGGAACTGCTTTGGCCGTCCGAGCTTTCGGCAATACCCATTCGATCGAGAACCCAAGGATCTTTCCTTTCTTCCGATGCATAACTATAGAAGCCAAGATGCCACCGAAAGTGAGCAATGGGACAGGAGTCGGTGGGAAACCACGCAGGGACGTGCTGGCTTCGGTCAGAATGGCCTCCATGGACGAAGTCTCCAGGGCTGCTCTCCCAGCTGGTATGCTCGATCTTGGCCGAAGGAAAAGCGATATCCAGTATAGCTAACGAATGGCAGAGATTATGTCCTCGGTCCTAGATTACCTTTCCCCAGTCGACCTGATTCGAGTAGCACGATCGTCAAAACTTTTGCGCGAGATCGCTTACGATGATACAAGATGGGTACAGTGGCTGAAACGCATGGACTGCTGGAACGAGCTGGAAGCTAGGAAACACGTTGAAGAAACATTTGGGACCATTGCGGATGTTGAGAGTGTTAGACAAAAAGAAGCCGCCGAGCAATCTCAGCGATCATCTCTCGTGGGCGCAGACACAGAAACTAAACCAAAAATAACTCTCAAATCACTGTCCGATGGTTTCGATCAAATAACACTGTCTACACCTGCTACCACTGGAAATGCGAAAGAACTGGAAGACGATCCAGTCTTGGGGGCGTTACAGCAGGTTAAATCAGTGCGCGGGGAAGCTCGCAATGAGTACGGCAAGATTCATGCTGCTCTTGCGCCTTTTTACAACGATATCACCACTGCAGGAGCCTCTCCAGATAATTTGTTATTCAAGGAATATACCGATCCACAACACCAAGCTCAGATTCTATTTCAATTGCAAGCTTTCGCCAAATGTGACTTGACGGAGGGCTGGCGTGAGAGGTTGTCATACCTGCAGGAAGCTATCTCAATGTTTGAAACAGCCTCTATCAAGGAATTCAGACACGGTTACGAAACCGAAGACATCGACAATAGAATGCGACAATATGCCCACGTTCTCTACACGTTGAACGGCGGGGCTGCAGCTGTCGAGCTCTTCATCCACCATAACCATCTTGTCACACGAAGGTCGGATTACGGTAAGCCAGGGGACTGCATCGATACATCATCTCAACGCGTGAAGCTTGACCAGACGCAGGCATTCTTTACCCGTCTGAGTGTTGCTTACAATGAAGAAGTCGCAATCATCAATCGCGCCTTTCCCCCGTCGTTGAAGGTTGCATTGCCGTTCATTGCGAAGGTCGGCCAAGATGTGCTGTACCCATTTTTGACCGCGATCTTCGATGAATTGCACCGCATCAACATAGAATCTTACTTGACCGCAGTTTCGAGCACATTCGCCCAATGCACGAATCTCTCTGATACCCTATTACCAATTCAAAGTTCAACTGTTAATTTCGAGGAGTTTTTGGAACATGTCATTGCTAAAGTATATGAGCCGCATATGGACTTATACCTTGCAGAGGAATTGGACCATTTTCGGAAATGCTCTGAAGCCGCAGTGGATGAGTGGGATAGACAGCTTTCTGAACAGGCTGCCTCGACAGAGTCATTTCTCATGTCCAATATAAATAGACAAGCCGATAAGAAGGATTTCCTAACGTCCTTCAAGAAGGTCATCATGGCCCCTGTCAATCTTCTTCCGAGCTTTTCAGGGACCAAGGCAAATGAGTCAAAGTCTGACGAGGAGTCTTCTGCTGGCGACGCTTCAACTTTGAAGGGCCAGAACCGATTTTCGACCATTTCCATGCCTACCACTCCAGTAGCCGAAGCCCCTACCACTGAACTTGCAGCCAAGGCCGCTATTATGAAATCGAAAATGGAAGGTATCCGTTCCCTTTTCAGCATCGAAGTTGCCTTGAGTCTAGTCCATGCTGCAAAGTCGGGCCTGGAGAGAGCTGCTCAATTTGTTCGGATCGGAGGGGACACCGGTGCCCTTACGAAGCAGCAATGTGAGGCGATATTTGTTGCCCTGGTACGCATTCTAGGGCATCGCCATCTTATCCTCGGCTTTGACAAAGCAGTCGACCATCTATCTAACTATCGACCCCGCGAACAAGGAGAGCGCGATCAGTCGGGTGTTGAACCCTTAGTGACTTTCTTGGAGCTCGTGAATGTTGGTGATCTCATTCTCCAGATGATCGATGTTTTTTATGAACAAGAACTCATTGGCAAGAAGCTGACTGATCGCAATGACTTTGTTGATCCCGCTGTAAAAGAGAAGAAGAAGTTTGAACAGAATCTCGATGAAAGAGTTGCTGCAGGACTCAACAAAGGAATTGATGTTCTTATGGAAGAAGTAGACTACATTCTGGCAACACGACAATTAGCGACAGACTTCAACCCGAGTATGTCCACAGACCCGTACCGGCAGACCATGGATGTAAGCGTGTCTGAAGCGGCAGTTGCGGTGGTTGATGTGGTTTCCTCGCATACCCAAATGCTTGTTGGGAGTACAGATAAGAGCACACTTGACGTTTTCAACCAAGAGGTAGGGCTGCGCCTTTTTACTGCCCTGTGCAAGCATTTGAAACGTCAAAGAATCAGCGTTGAGGGATCCTTGAAACTCATCAGGTAAGGTTTCTTTTCATAGGTCTTAATGACATTGCCTCGCTGACATAGCCTAGCGATATGAGCCACTACTTCAAATTTATTCAGAGATTCAAAAACAATGAGCTTCTTGTCTACTTCAAAGCTTTCCGTGAACTCTCTCAGATCTATCTTATCGACCCTTCGGACGCCAAGGAGCTCGCTACTATCATTGCAGATTCGGACCGGTTTCAAGGAATCTGGACTGTTGAAGATGTATGCGAATTCGCCGAACGACGAGCAGATTGGTATCAGGTGAAACGAGACGTGGAACGAGCCATGTATGGGATCGGCTGCAATCTTATGTGATGAACGGGACTTTCAAATATACCCACGGCATTACGACATGTAAATTTAAAGGAGAATACCCCCATTTACGCGTTGCATATATACATATATACATCAGTGGGCAGCTGGATATGTTACTATAGGGCTCCGGAACGCCCGGAAACTACGATTTGAACGACACTGTCAATGATTTGGCCAATATAATTTTCTCCTAGACCTAGACTCGAGTGGTTATCTACCTGGAAATATGTTCACTTTCTCTCGTCGTAAATATTGGCGCCTGAAAAGAGCCTGACGTCAGTGAGCAGCTGTGGAAGCAGTGTATTTGGTAACCAAACAAACACCCCTCAGCCACTCGTTTCTCGAGTTTCCATCTTACCTGCAGCAACTTTTTTCCTATAAAAAGACTAAATTGCAGGCAACATGTGTCACCTCGTCGTGGCCTTACCTGAGGTTATTTTTGGTGTTGGTCCAAATTGTCATTATTGAATCAAGTGCGGAGTATTAACCCCAAACTACCCATCTCACTGATCCAACCATGGGCTCGGATCTACTAGTCTTTTCAATACTGCAAATAAACCTGATCAATCATTTGCCCGCCATAGTTGACCTGTCCGGTAGCTCCGTAACTGAGCCATGCCATAGTATATGATCAATCATACTAGCACTACACCCCGCAACCATCAAACACCATAAAAGACCAAGCAACCAACTGCCCTAAGAACAGGCATACTATAGAATCACAGAATGTTTATCATCCCATCTTACAGACACAACAATCCTATAGGATGCATAACACCATGTCTACAAGTCATCCTCATCCTCATCCTCGCCAACCCGGCAAACACTCAACAAACAATCCAGACAACAATCATGGTGACAGCAACGCCAACATCACCACATCCACCCTCTTATACATCACCTGAGGTATTCAAAGACACAATACTTTCGTCGAGCAATAACTACCGGAAAGAGCATAACGCAAGCGATCTCGTCTGGAACGAGACATTGACTCGGTATGCGAAAGATTGGGCCGAAGGCTGTAGATGGAAACATTCCGTACGTTCTCCTTTCTTTCCTTGATCTATTTATTTATCCATTCCGTGCTGTTTATTTGGCCGGGGGGTGATACGAAGGAATGGAATTAATTGAAGGGTTTGGTTGTACTTATGCGAAATGTATATATATAGCACGGCCCATACGGCGAGAATCTCGCCTTCGGATACCAGAATGCCTCAGCTGCGGTCTTCGCGTGGGGCGACGAACGACGTATGTACGATTTTAAGAAACCGACTGGGTTCAGCGAGGAGACGGGCCATTTTACTCAGTTGGTTTGGAGGAGTACGACGGATGTTGGATGCGCGGCTATTGACTGCGGGTACGGCAACGGGACTGATGATAATGAGAAGCGCGGGGATACGGGGTCCTATACAAGGGCTCAGGGGTGGTATGTCGTTTGCGAGTATTCGCCGCCTGGGAATGTGATGGGGGCTAGTAGGGCTGCTGGTGGTGAGAATGGGCTCTTTAGGGTGAATGTGCAGCCGGCGAGTACCTATTCCGGACCGTATCCGACGGATTCTGGAAGCCCTCCTACTAGTACAACTGGGGAGAGTGGTGCGGATCGAATGATTGTGACTTGCGGGTGGATTTGGGGCTGGGTTGGGGTATTGATTTCGATGGTGATGGGTTAGGTGATGATATTTTTGTATAGTCAATGGATGATATAGAAGAATGGTTTCTTTGCAAACACCAACTGATGAAAATTTATACAAGAACATCTTACTTCGTTAGCCTTGCATATGCCGGCCTATTGTGGTCATCTCTCATGCTACCAATGTTGCGCACATGACACTCCAGTTGGGAGATACGCAATACACATCTATTCACTTTTTGAAGTTCCAAACGTCCTTGGGCTGGAACAAAGCCAAACGGATCACAGAAACAAGCTCACAGGAGGGGAAGCGGGTGGCGCTTCGAAGAAGAGGGTGAGGATATCGACAGGCAAGATGTAGAAATGAGGAAAATAAAATAGAAAGTGACATTAGATACGAAAGACATGACCCAATCAACCGATAACTTCCTCGTTCTCCTCGACAATCTCTTCCACAATCTCTTCGACAACGGCCTCGCCCTGCTCCTCGGAGACTGGGGGAGCATCCTTGGCAGTCTTGGGATCGTCTGCATTTTCGGGGATACCATAGGCATCCTTCTCCTCGGCCATGAGCTCCTTCTCCCGGCGGATCCAGGCAACCCACTCGCTGAGAACGCGCTTGCGCTTCTCGACAACGGCGGTGTTGGCAATGTCGACAGCATACTTGTCTTCCTCGTCGAACTCCTTGGAGTACTCACGGAGGTTCTTGCGTACTTGTTTCTGCTCCTCCTTGCTAAGAAGAGTGGGTGGGCGAGGACGCCAGACGAACTGCTTGAATTTATCGGTAGGGTGCTCAGCGAGGGTCTGACCAGCGAAAGTGTGAATGTTCCAGCCGTTTTCCATCTAGCAAGGAGATGTTAGTAGCAAATTCTTAGTCAAACTTGGCACGATGCAATGGTCTTACCGAGTGAGTCCACACACTAGCACTGCTAACAACATAACGACCTGTAGGATCCCAGTCGATATCTGTGACACCGTAGTGCTCCACGGTCTTCATCAACTGGAGGTTGGCGGCCAGATCCTTCTCGCCCTCAGCCTTCTCACCCTCGAAGTCCATATCCCAGAAGTCCAAATCGAAGTTCGATTGAGAGTGAACGGTGGCGACAACGACGAAACGGCCCTTGGGGGACCAGTAGATGGCGTTGCTCGTCTTCTTCTCGATGGTGCGCACAAGCTTGAAGTTACCAGCCTGAGGGCCCTTCTTTTCAGGAGCGAAGAAAGATACAGCGGTCTTGGGGAGAACAGCAGCACCGCTGGGGGTCTCACCCGTGGTGATCAGGACAAAACGTCCACCGTTGGGTTCCCATGCAAAGTTGATCACGGTATCTTTGAGACTGTCCACAACTTCAACAGGAACACCCTTCTCGCGCACCCGGAAAATCTCAAGGTTGGTAGCCATTGATTTCTTGGACTTAGAGTGGCGATCCACCTTGACACAGACGTAGGTACCTTGAGACTGCCAGTGCAGCTTCACATCAGAGACGTTGAACAGGTTACGGGTTCGTACAATCTCCTTAGATGGGACGCTCATCAAGGCGACTCTTGCGGGGTTGCTGCCAATTTCAGGAGTCCAGAATGAGAGAAGTTGTTCATATTGCTTGACACCCTCACGGCTGACTGTTGCTGGTGACCATTCGAAGTCCATGACACCATCAATTTTAACAGAGGTCTTACCCAGCAAGTTCATCCGAGGCAACTCGTAGATAGAGATAGACTGACCCTGGAGCATTCTTGCGACGTACTTCTCATCAGCAGACCACTTGAAAGCGGGCCACTGCACCTTCTTCTTCGGGGCAGCATCACCTTCAGCAGGGCCAGCGGCGAGATCATGAGAAACGAAGGAACGGAGAGGCTTTCCTGAGACGATGTCCCAAACGATAATGTTCTTTCCATCCTCTTCGAAAGACAAGACAGGGTGACCCTCTTCAACCTGAATGGGGCGAGAAGACCAGGTGGTCAAGTAGCTCTCACCTGGCGAGAACTCGACGAGCTGAACAAATGGATGGGGGAACTGCTTCTGTTTCGAGAAAGCAGGACCGCCCCAGAGCTGCACACCCTGGGGGTGGACGGATGCAAGATATGTACCCTTGGGAGACCACTGAACGAAGAGCTGTGTCCAATGAGCACGATCGACGACGTTCTCTGGCGGGTTGTTCTTGTTGTTCCAGAACACGCCAACCTTGTCATTACGGTAGAGGGCGAACTGGTCACGGGCGTTGGGGTCGGACAGCCATGAGCGGAGGTGCTCCTTCTCCTTGAAAGGTTCGACAGTTGGGGGCTTATATTCCTCATCGATGCGTCCTTCACGGCCATAGCGATCAATATCCATCAACTTGTTCACAGCAAGGGTGTGCTTCTTGTCGAGAGGTGTTCCGTGCAGCTGCTTGACTGCGGCAATGGCTTGTTCGGGGGTTTCATATTCGACGAAGGCGAAACTGCACAAAACGAAACATTAAACCTTTCCTTCGTTCATTTCCAGTATTTCCCCGGTACGTACCCTTCGGACATGTTCTTGTCGTTGGTGGGCATGAAAACGGCATCTTCGGAGGTGTGGCCGACCGCGTTGAGTTTCCTCAGCAAGAACTTGATAAGCTTCTGCCTGCTCTCTTCCGGCACGATCGGGAGTCCATCGATGACGATAAATGTATCCAAACCCTCCTCGAGCTTCACTTCAAATTGCTCCTTGAGATCTAAAAAATCGGAAAAGCGGTATTAGCGAAGAGGGGCACGGGGCCTAAAAGAGATGAATGATAAAGAATCGCACTCACCGGAGAAGTCAATCTCCTCCTCCTCCTCTTCGTGGAGATCCTGCTCGGTCAGGGTATCGAAACTGGGCGCCATGATTGCTTGGGGGCGTTTCGAGGGCGATGGGGGGTGGAGAGGAATCGAGGGTGAGAGAGCCGCTCTGATTTTCTGCTGGTCGTCCCCGTTTTGCCTGGTTTTAGGGCAAAAAGAACAAATCCCAACCACAGCCGCTTCTGTGTGCGAACACGCTGACTCAGCCGTGCTGCTTTCACGTGACGAGGCCCGACCGACCCCAGTCGCCCGCATAACCTCCAGTGTTAGTAAACCTTACTTTACCGTAACCGACTGTACGGCCTGACTTGACATACAGTTGGAGATCCATAACAGTTCGCGATCCTCGAACACAATTCGTCCCAGATTGCTCTGATATTGCGGGTGCAAGGTGCTGGACGTTGTGGGCCGGCCATCTCCATTATTTTTCCTTTTGTTTTTATCTGATCTATCTTGTGTTCCTGTTCTGTTACACCTTTTTTGGAGATTTCCTTCCTTCCTTATGCCCCGCCGGTCCTAAGCGCCAGCGCTACGCCCAGATCTGGACGATCGATCTCCAACAGTACGATTGACTACCTCTCTCTCCTACTGCAAAGCCGGCGTTATCGACTCTGTGACTGTACCCAATCCAGCGATTGACGCAATTACCACTGTATTTTTTACCGACGAGAAGGTAACCCGAGCTACATTGTCAGGATGTCGCGTAAGTTCCGCTGGCTCTAATGTTTCCGGGTCGTGCACAAGCCGCCGAAGTCGCTCTGAACTGACATCATTCGCGATGCACCAGTCTCCCCAGCAGCCCGCGACCAATATGTACCAATCATTGACTCAATCCTGGCTAAGAGTGACCTCAATACTATCTCCGAGAAGCGAATCCGTAAAGGGCTTCAGGAAGAGGTCGGCTATGATCTTACTTCCCAGAAGGTCTGTTCCGCGTCCTGTCACGTCGCAAAACCATTGATTCCAATATCACTTGATTTCATTGTAATTTTACGTTATGCTAACGTATCTCTCTTGACTAGGCTGTGATTAAGCAGCTTATCATGGAACGGTTCGACATCTTTGCCGAGAATGGTGGTATAGATGCTTCTCCCGAGGCGGCGGTCGCTACTGCCCCTGCGACCAATGGCCACAGCTCTGCGACACCGGTCGAGGCTTCGTCCCCTGCGCAATCCTCCAAGTCACAGAAACGTCAGGCGGATAGTGTGGAACGTGAATCAGACAAGACTCCCCCGGTGAAGAAGAAAAAACCCGATCACGATGTTGATGCGGATGCCCTTTTCGCGGCAAAGTTGCAGGCGGAGGAGAACATGCGTGCCCGTCCCACTCGCGGTGCTAGCGCGCGTAAAGTTCAGCCAGCAAAAAAGAAGACAACCAAGGCTAAAACGTCAAAGAAGGTCAAAGCTGAGGACGACTCAGACGTCGACTCCGGTTCGGACTCCAAGAAAGTCAACCGTTCTGGTGGATTTCATGTATGTACTACTATGCCTTTGGAGGAATGTGTCTGGTATTAACAGTCATACAGAAACCGCTTACTCTTTCACCAGCATTGTCAGCCCTGCTAGGTGGAGAAGAATCGGTATGTATTTTCTTTGGTCTTGCTTAACACCGTCGCGTATCGCTCGTATGCCTGAATCAGAGACAGCTAATTCCCCCCAGCTTTCGCGACCCCAGACGGTAAAGAAGGTCTGGGCGTATATTCGCGAGCACGAACTTCAAGATCCCAGCGACCGACGTCAAATCCGCTGCGATGAACCGATGCGCGCGGTTTTCAAGCAGGACCGCATACATATGTTTACGATGACAAAGATCCTCAGCCAAAATTTGTACAGCCCCGATGAATAGTCTCCGTATCTGGAGGGAAACCTACACCATACATAACCTTCAGGGAGGGCAATATATGCGTCGCGCCCATCGCTATACTTCACGAATATTTGCTTTTGTTTGTTTTGCTTTTGCTTTTGCTTTGCAGCACCGCATATGATAACCAGGAGCCGTCATTTTGATTATCGAAATCTTATGTTGTACTCAGTTTACCCTCGTTGGCGACATAATTGCCTTACTTTCTTTTGTTATTTTACCTGCTTTTTCTCCAGCGGGAGTTGGTACTGTCTTGCAGATTGGCGCGATGGATGCTGTCGGCTAAAGAGCCGTCGCTGTTTCAGAAGAGTCCTGCAGGGATGTCTTCTGCCATTACATATTACTATTATTATTATGACATAGCATGAGCAATATATAGTATCCAAGTAGACCGCGGGCCCGCGTAGGCAGATTTTCGGGAAATAAAAATAGCCTTCATATACCTCCATGTCGGACGTGAAAATAGCCCACTGCCACAAACCAAACCAGCGACCGGCATGGAAAAGTTCATTGAGTCAATCGAGTCAACTGATAGTCTGGATGTCAGTGAAAGAATCATTCAAGAGGAAATTCCAGACGGTCAAGTCGGGAGGCGAAGATATTGTGAGTCGAAATGACGCCGGAGGGAGTCATTTGCGGAAAGTTAGTTAATTAGCTGCTGAAATTAAATAAATAAATGGGGGTTTTTTTAGTGATTTGATAAAGCGGCTCACTAAGCACGCCGACAGCCAACATTTTCGCCCGCCGCTCATCAATTTGTCCCTCTCACTGCCACCAACCACACTAGGATCATTATCCCCGCAGGGACAGTGTTTGTCGCGCAGTGTCAGAAGGAGCGCCGAGCTCTTCTAATCCCTGGGAGCTGTTATCCGGGCTCGTCCCCTACTTGAAATTGTTTCCGTCGTACCAAATCTCCGCCTCCATATCCGCCCTCCATGTCTGACACTCAGCCGACCCAAGGCTCCGGATCGCAAGGACCAAAGCGTGGTGGTCGTCGCGGACGAGGACGGGGAGCAGGCCAACCTTCGGCAAGAATTGAGAACTCGCAACAGTCGACTGAAGGTGCCGGCAAAGGCTCAAGATCCAGGGGTACTGGGCCCCGCAGAGGAGGAGGAGGGGGTCGCGATAAGCAGAACCGCAGCGCCCTTAATAAGGATTCTGGGCCGGAACCCACTGGACAACCGACTCAAGGACCGACTACAGGGACAGACGACAAGGGCAAGAAGGCAGCTGCGGCGCCCGCAGACGACGCCGATGAAGGGGAGATTTGCTTCATTTGTGCGTCAAATGTCGAACATACGTCTGTTTCGCCGTGCAATCACCGCACTTGCCATATCTGCGCGTTGAGACTTCGAGCATTGTATAAGAACAAAGCCTGTGCGCATTGTCGGGTACGCCTTTTATTTGAATCCACACACCTTGGGTACCTTGGGGTTATGCTAATGTCTGTCATTCGGGGGTAGACTGAATCGAGCTACGTGATCTTCACGAATGACCATGTGAAGCCTTTCCAGGATTTCAAGGACTCAGACTTTTCGCAGAAAGATGACAACCTCGGGATCAAATATGAAAATAACGAGATCTTTGAGGACACAGTCCTGTTGCTCCGATACAATTGCCCTGACACAGATTGCGACGTGGCTTGCTTGGGATGGCCGGACCTACATCGCCACGTTAAGAGCAAGCATGGCAAAGTAATGTGGTACGTGACCCTTCCCTGAAGCGCTTTAAACTGGCATGCCACTCACGTTTGCCTCTTATTGTCTAGTGATCTTTGTACGCGAAACAAGAAAGTGTTTACCCATGAGCATGAGCTCTTCACTGTGGCGGAGTTGCGCAAGCACGAGAAGTACGGAGATCATGTTCCCGGAGCTGTTGAACAGAGTGGCTTTAAGGGTCACCCTGAATGTGGTTTCTGCCGTCAACGGTTTTATGGTGACGATGAACTATACGCTCACTGTCGTGACCGCCACGAAAGATGTCACATTTGTGATAGACGGTCTGGGAGTCGTCAACAACAGTATTATATTGACTACAATGCGCTCGAGGATCACTTCCAGAAGGATCATTTCCTTTGCCTGGACAAAGAGTGTCTGGAGAAAAAGTTTGTTGTTTTCGAATCTGAAATGGACATGAAAGCTCACCAATTGGAATGTCATCCAAATGGTCTTTCCAAGGATGCGAGACGCGATGCACGAACCGTGGATCTGTCATCTTTCGACTACAGAACGCCGTATCAACCTCAAAGACAACGCCGTGGCGCTGGTCGTGGACGCGATCCAAATGCGGAGCCTCTTCCTGTGTCCTCTGCACAACCATTAACAAGAGCCGAAATTGCCTACCAACGGCAGATGGCCATCCAAAGTGCACAGTCAGTATCAACGCGCAGCTTTGGAGGTCAATTGACCCGTAATGATACTCAAACTGTACACGCTCCCCCACGTACCCCAGCCGCCCGAACCCCCCCGGTTGCGTCCACCCCTATCCCTGAACTGCAGGATCTCAGTCTTGGTCATGACTCCGGATCTGCCACGCCTCAGGAGCAGGCCCGCCGCCTGCGTCATGTAGCCGTGGTCGAACGCGCCTCTAATCTCCTTGGCAATGACCAAAATAAACTGAATGAATTCCGCTCCAAAGTGTCCACCTACCGCACCTCTGCGCTAACGGCCACCGAGCTGATCGACGCCTTTTTCTCCCTCTTCGACACATCCACCAATGAGCTAGGCAAACTCGTCAAAGAGCTCGCAGAGATCTACGAAAATGACTCCAAACGAACCGCACTACTCAAAGCCTGGAATGACTGGCGCGCCATCAACGAAGATTACCCAGCCCTACCAGGTCCCGGTGGCGTCCTACCAGGCATGTCCCCGAGCACCGTGAACGGCAGCGGTGGTGGAGGCAAACGTGTCCTCCGACTAAAATCCTCAACCGCCCAGTCCTCCCGCTCAGCCGTCGGCAGGAGCGGTGCCCTACCCTCGGGCTCATCCCCAAGCAACCCCTTCCCCCCGCTCTCCTCAACAGTCTCCAAAAAGTCCACCGCCGCCACCTACAACAACACCCCCTGGGCTTCGGCATCCCCTGCCCCATCCTATGCCGGCCCATCCTCCCGTCCTGCCCCTAAATCTACATCTAGTAACGCCCCTCGCCCTGTAAAAACCAGCAACGCCGAAGCGTTCCCGGCGCTTCCCGCCGCCCCTAAACCAAACGTCCTCATGGCCGGTCTCACCCGCGGAACCGTCCGTGTCCGTTGGGATGGACGAGACGCTCCGAGCTCTAATGCTTGGGCTTCAGGTGGATCAGGAACCAGTACCCCTGGCGAACCGGATTCCGACTTCGGGGAGTCCTCTGCAGGTGCTGGTAAGAAGGGCAAGGGGAAGAAGGGAAAACAGACTCTTTTCCATTTTGGTTAAGGAGTGTGATCGCTGTTTTGGTCTACTACTAGAGGTTTATGGCCTTGTTCTGTTTAGCTTTTGTTATTAAGCGAGCCATAATAGAACTGTGATACGCAAGTTTAAAAAGTGTTATTGAATGGTGCTGATTGTGATGTAAATGAAATTCGAACAAGCTATCATGGTTATGAACTTTTCAATTATGAAGTGAAGGATTGGTATCTAGAGGTTTTCATTATAACAGTATATAATTATGATTTCATGATTGGTAGACATTCACAGCTGCCATTTCAACAAACAGTACTCCTCACTCCTCCAGCAGACTAGTTCTCGGAAACATCATCTGAAGAAATCTCTATAACGGATCTTTCCTCAACAGACGAGTTGAGAAAGGGTATCGAACTTTCCTCGCGATTTAGCTGATCATCCACAGTATCAGGCCCTGTCCCTTCAACCAGACCCGAAGAGGGCCCCGCCTGCTCTACTCCGTCCTCAGAACCACAACACACAGACTCATCCCCATCAATCGCCGCCATCCGCAACGCAAACTCGTCCTGAAGTCGCTTCAGCCATTTGCGAAGCGTCTCACCTTCCATTTTGCCATCTCGAGCCTGTAAGAGCTGCTCCTTAAGCGAGAGAATGAGGTTTCGTTTCCGCGAGACAGCCAGAGCTCTAGTCTTGCTGTGACGACGTTGGGCAATTTGGTTCATTTTCTCCGAGACAGTTTGCGCATACTCCAGCACGCCCGGCGGTAAATCAACGAGTTTAGCAAGAGCTAGGCCATAGAAGCGGTTCGTTTCGGGACCTTCGGCTATTTTGTACAACATCGTCATCTTGGACGTGTCGTGGGATATCTCCGCTGCGAGATGGAGACTGACGACGCCGTTCCGTTCGGCCAATATCACGGCGAGGTCGCGGAAGTGGGTAACGAACCAGACGAGAGCGTGGCTTTCGATGAGGGCTTCTGCGATGGCGATGGCGATAGCTAGACCGTCTGTTGTGCTGGTGCCGCGGCCTAGTTCATCGATGATGACCATGCTCCTTGGTTCAATGTTGCGGAGGATGAAGGCCATCTCGCGCATTTCGGCGGCGAAGGTCGATACATTTGCTTCTAGGTCGTCGGCGGTTGAAACGCGAGCGAAAAGTTGGTGCACGATGGGGAAGGAGGCGTAGTCTGCTGGAATGAACGAGCCGATTTGGGCCATGATGGTCATTAGGGCTAGGGAGCGGATATAGGTGGATTTACCGCTCATGTTGCAACCTGTGATGATTTGGAAACGGGACTGCTGGGTTGCGTAGGCGTCGTTCGGGATAAATTTCTTGGTGTGTATTTTCTCGCGGATGGGATGTCGTCCTGACTTGATGGCGAGGACATCTGTTAGTTCTGCTCGGACATAGTCGTGGTTTGTAGCTATCTGTGCGAATGTGGAAAGCATGTCAAGCATGGCAATGGCTTCACTGATCTTGAAGAGGTGGGCGATTTCGGAACGGATATCCTGGATCAATTCATGGACAGTCTGGTCGCTCATGCTGATTACCTCGTTATGTGCATCGATGATTTTCTGATTCAGTTTGACTAAGTCAAGAGTTTGGCATTCTAAACGGTTCTTCTTGCGGTATATGTTGATAAATACTTCAGGGAGTGTGTCTACTTCGGTAGCTGATATACTAATGTAGTATTGGCGTGCTGTGTCAAACTTCAAATCGAGTGCTATTCCATGAGACTCTACAGCACATCAGATATGTATGAATAACAACTACTTCTATCCGCTCACCTGAAAGCTTTGTAATGAGATCTACAGCATCCATATTTGCTTCTTTGTATGTCTGTCTCGCAACATCAAGTAGACTGTTGACTCCGGCCTGTATGGCTAGATTATCAGACAGCTGTACTGGAAACATAACAGCTCAGGCGACGGGGACGTACCCTGACACAGTATATACGCTGATTTCTCAGGTCAAGCGGCCTCGTTTGGTATGTTACATACTCATTGATGGTTGACTCGATTAGCTCTTCAACTGCTCGATGGCCTGCTGGAGCACATAGCTATAGCATGGTTAGATTTGCAAGCCAGCAGGTCATGAGGTTGCTACTTCTCTGATTGTCAGTAAAAGGCTGCTTTGAGCCGTCCCAAGCGCTTTATATACTGTTCTGATTGAAGACATGTAAGTCTTGAGCATGATGACGTTGTTGACTGATTGTTCGACGTATTGAAAAGTTCGTTTAGTTGGAACGAGGATGATCTAGGCTGTCAGAAGTAATGAGTGTCAAAAGGCTTATCGACTCACCGATGTTAAGACTCTGTCTGCGTCGATGAAACCCTTAAGAGCTGTTGGGAGTTTGAAGAACAGCAAGTCAGCAAAGGGCTAACATGGAAGTCTATGTTTCTGACCTTGTCTAACCGATACAAACATTTCCCCTTTTGTAGATAAATCCTCCACGGCATCATATCGAGCTAGTAACTTCGAAGCCTCCGTAGAAGGCTGCAGAATATTGGCTCTCAGAAGCCTGCCACCCATGGGAGTTAGTGTTTTATTCATAAGTCCGAAGAGGCTATCCTTTGATCTGGCATTATGTAGATTTTGGATCAGCTCCAACGAAACTATGGTGGATAAGTCAATCAGCATGGACCCCTGGGAGGGCTCGAAACGAATGCGAAGGGAGTGCGAAGTGAACGTCTTATTTAGCTCTAGCTCAACATATTTCAGGACCTATACAACTTCAGTGGAGCCTATATATGTGTTCCTTGGCACATACTGCAGCGAAACAACAAGCAGCAAAATAATTACCTCCCAAGATAATCTTGATAGACTCAATATCTTCAGGAAAAGCTAGTCGGTCCACATACTCATGGCTGGTTTTCTCCGACCAGTCCCTGCGGTCTAAGAAAGTGAATGTGGTTTCTTGGATATTTTCCTGAATGATGTAAAGTAGTTTGGAATCTTTGGCTGTATTCATGAAGAGTATCTCTGTGGGCTCAAACACCCCGATCTTGGTAACTGTTTTGACATAAGTCTGGCTGTCACATATCTGACACAGAACCGCTTCTGCCGTTGATAGATTTATAAAAGTGAGGCCAACTGTAGATGAGATACCACGCGACTCGCTGACAGCACATATGATATCCTGAGATGCGACACTTGTTGCTGTCGTAGTAGGTCTTGTCCGGAGGGGTCCACTGCTTTGCCTTGAGAGAGGAACGAAGGAATCAGTGGCCCCCAGAGATGAAGCTCTAGACATCAAGATTGACATTTCAACCATAATATCTTGAAAAAAGGATTTCTTGAAGTAATTGAGAGAGAAGAAGTACAGGGAAAAGAACTTAATTGTATACTATTGATAAAGAGCGGATAACCAAATCCGGTTTAGCGGCGATCCAGTACTCCGCGATAAGTGCAATTTCATGATAGCCGTTGAAATTTTTGTTCAAGACAAGACCGACTTCATTACAAACAAATATTCCCATTCGAGTGGCAAAATGTCGACTCTTGTACCCCCTCCCACCAAGCGCCAGAAGACGGAGATCGCCGAGAAGGCGCGTCTGCAACAGGAGATCGAAAGCATCCCGGATAACCTGGGCAGTGTCCGAGTGCAGTTCTTTGACCAAGCAACAGGATCCGCAACGGGACCTGCAGTGTCCGTTCCAGTGGCCGATGCCAATGTGAAAAATCTTGAGACCCTTCTGAATACATTACAAGGCAATGTAGGTACGCAGTGAAGCCAAAGATCTGATATGTGCCATAGGCTAATTTTTTACTGTTGTGGGTTATAGGAAGATGATGAACGAGTACCGTACCGGTTCACCTACCAATCTCAGGATAAAGACAGTCAGACAATCGACATCTTGGCAGATCTCTATCATTCTTTACTTCAGCCTGGACTCAGAACAACCGAAGATACCATCTCCCTATACTTTACCCCGCAGGCAGTATTCCGAGTGAAGGCTGTTTCGCGATGCGCTGCCTCTATTGCCGGACATGGAGAAGCTATTCTTGCGACTGCATTCTCCCCTGTATCCTCTTCAACAATGGTAACCGGAAGCGGCGATTCGACAGCTCGCGTCTGGGATTGCGACACAGGTACACCATTGCACACACTGAAGGGACACACCAGCTGGGTGCTGGCAGTCGCCTACTCCCCCAACGGTGCGATTATCGCGACAGGTAGCATGGACAATAGCGTACGACTGTGGGATGCAAAGAAAGGACAGTCACTGGGAGGCCCTCTCAAGGGACACGCGAAATGGATCACCAGTCTGGCGTGGGAACCGTACCATGCGCAAGAAACCGGTCGGCCGCGACTGGCTTCAGCGTCTAAGGATTCCACTGTCCGTGTCTGGGATGTTGTATCGAAGCGAATTGATATCGTTCTATCTGGTCACAAAGGCTCGGTCACCTGCGTCCGCTGGGGCGGCATGGGCAAAATTTACACAGCTTCCCATGACAAGACTATCAAGGTGTGGGATGCTAAACAGGGTACCCTCATTCAGACACTACAGGCCCATGCTCACCGCGTGAACCACCTCGCCCTTTCGACGGACTTCGTTCTGAGAACCGCCTACCACGACCACACCAAGAAGGTACCTGAAGCCGATTCCGATAAGGTCGCCGCAGCCCGGAAACGCTTCGAGCAAGCAGCCACCGTCAACAACAAGATCGTTGAGAGACTCGTGTCTGCAAGCGATGACTTCACTATGTACCTGTGGGAACCGGAGAGCTCCAACAAGCCGGTCGCCAGATTACTTGGCCACCAGAAGGAGGTCAACCATGTGACCTTCTCGCCCGATATGGCATACATCGCATCCGCTGGATTTGATAACCACGTGAAGCTGTGGAATGGCAGAGATGGAAAGTAAGTATACAACCCAGATCGTCATCGTACGCATCTCTAACCAAGGATAGATTTATCACTACTTTCCGTGGCCACGTCGGTGCCGTCTATCAGTGCTGTTTCTCAGCTGACTCCCGTCTCCTGGTATCCTCATCCAAAGACACAACCCTGAAAGTGTGGAATGTCCGCACCGGCAAACTGGCCATGGACCTCCCAGGACACAAGGACGAGGTCTTCGCCGTCGACTGGAGTCCCGATGGCGAAAAGGTGGGTAGCGGCGGCAAGGACAAAGCCGTGCGGATATGGAGAAATTAACGTAATTACGGCAATAGAATTACATCAGAATAAAAGTTGCGATACCCTAAGCACTACTGCATTTCAATTGTTGCATATATACAAAAGGCGTGTCATATCTCATCAACAGGAGTAATTTACACAACCAAGACAATCCCTGCGTTGCGGATCGATAACCTCTTCGCATTCCTGATTATCTCTCAAATCAGGATTACGTACTCAAGTGCGGATTTAAGCGTATTGCCAAGCACCAGGGGCTGTAGCATTGGGAGCCAGGGCACTGAAGCCAATGCATTCAGCCACGTTGCCCTTGGGAACAGTGGCGTTCTGGACAGCGGCAAACACCTGCCAGCGCTTGTCCTCAGTAGGGCAAGCCATGAAGCCGGAAGCACCCCAGCCGTTGAAGGTGTAGTAGCCATAATCCTCGCCGGGCTTGTAGTTGAAGGGGCCCACAGCGGAGCCCTCGGGGATATAGGCGGAGTGGGCCTGGGTGAAGGACAGAGCGCCGTTGGGGTCAACATAGACCTGCTGGCCGCCAGGGACCACAACGCTCTGGAAGGCATTCGTTAGTAACGGGGAGAAGTGGAGATAGGAACGAAGAGGGAAAGAAGCGAGGGCTTACCAAGCCATAGCCACCAGGGGCGAAAACGGTCTGGTCGCCGGGAGGGCAGCCCTCAGTGAGGGGGCAGTAGGAGGAGGTCTCTCCGCCAAGGTAGAACTTCTGGCCGGAAGCAGTCATGGGGAGGAGGTGAATGGGGGAAGCAGAGCGAGCGGACATGACTCCGAAAGGAGGGTTCTGCGGAGCGGTTGGGGCAGCAGCCGCCAGGAGGGGAAGAAGCAACGAGGGGACCATGGAGAACTTCATCTTGGCGATTTAATAAACGAGAGACTGTGAAGGTGGGCTTGAGAGATGGTCAAAATGATTTCAGGTTGATCTGTTTGGAGAGGCATGTTGTCGAGAGATCAACCTCGTATTTATATCCGGACGACGAGGAGGCTGAGAGATATCCATGGATAGCAAGAGTCATACAACATTCTGCATCTCGTGGAGCCATAAGGGAGACGTTACATTGCAGTCGGCGCCAACCGCTGCATAATCATATCGAAATCTGGATCATAACCTATCAGGGAACGATGCTAATAATGAGCGGGTGCACTGTTCAACCGCTAAAGTGAGACCGCATCGAAGCGATGTGATGGCTTGTCACGGGAATCGCGGGACGAAGAAACCGTGGAGGTTTATGACGTTTATGTGGGGAGGCAGTTGAAGAACCAAGATTGCTATCGTGGATCCTCGAGGTCACTGTCTCACAATTTTTTCCGAGACATTTGGAGCTGTCTGTAACGCTGCAAGTTGTACGATAATAATAGAAATTAGCCACACCAGTAGCACAAACAATGGCCGAGGGTTCGGACAATGCCGACACCCCATGGCAGACCTCGGAATTTGCCAGGGCCCATGGGAGAGAAGCACTCAATGGCATCACGATTTGCACCGCCACATCAGACGGATACGAGACCCATCATTAGGTAGATTATATTTGTTCCAGGGTCCTCGGTGGCAACCCTTTCTATGGATATCCCACGAAGTTAAAATTACTTAACTTAGCGACAATTCAATTGAGTTTTTTTTTCCCATTTCTTTCATGCATGGACCTACAAATTCAATCACCTGATAGGGCAATCCACTATTGATGTCACGGTTCTCCACACTATCCATGGATTAGGGCATATTCCATCATGTCGGTTCTTTCAATTCTGTCGCAAAACATACACGAAGCGCCTAGTCTCTCAAACACCCCTAAGAAATATTGAGGGGTGATCAAGTACTCGGCACTGTTTGGAAAAACAAGTACACATAAAGTGAAAGAAAGAAAAAGCAAGGAGATATATGTTTCACGCAGTCCAGACAGCATCCACACAGTAAAACATACACCTTGAGACGATTAAAAAGATGTGACAAAAAGGGGGATATTATAGAGAAAGCAAAAACAAAAGGGGGTGAATCAACGATTTGCGAAAAAGGTAAAGCAAGAAAAAAAAAATAAAACACCGCGGCACCAATCCTGATAGCAGTACATCCCACCCATTTGAAAGAACCTGTCTTGCCCTGAACACCGCCGACCAAACCCTGTCCCCGTGTCTTAAACCCGTAAATGCGTAAAAAGATTAGAACAATGAAAATTTAAGGGCACTGGAGCGACAATGTCTCTCAACCCAACGTACGGCGTAGTGCAGTAAAGCAACACGGCTTTCTTAGTCGTAATCGTCCCCATCGTCGTCATCATTGTTCCGGCCGCGTGAGCCCTTCACGCCATCTTTTCGGATGGGAATTTTGATGCCTTGGAGAGCGAAGCATTTACTGAGCGTCGTGCTCTCTATCACTCCGGGGAATTTCTTGGCGGAGAAAACTTGAAATGGCTCGGAAAAGACGGACGCTAGGACGGGTGCGGATCCGTGATTGATCACTGACACACCTCCATTAGGAGAATCACTGGATTGAGTACCCACGTTGACAAAACTCATTTTAAGGCTGAAAAGAAGTTAGCAAAGCTGCATTGCAACAATTTTACGATTGATGCTCACTGACCGGAAAACCCCTTCAGTCCGTACACTCAAATCTTGTAAGATGAACCATACCCCGATTTTATTATCCGGATCGGTCAGGCGGAAGGCACTGGCACTGAGACTTCCGATAAGGTTGCGTGTGAACATGCCACCGGGACCCGTGCTAACCGGTTGCGCAGGGGAGATATTGGCTTGTGGCATATGACCGCCGGTTGGGTAGTATGGTTGATAGTAAGAAGTCTGGGGGCTGGCGCCGTAAGGATTTTGATACTGTAGCTGAGGGTTTCCGGGGTAGTAGCTATTCATTTGCGGGTAGGGGACCGGCTGGCCGTAGGCATTTTGTGGGTATTGCGCATAGGTAGGGGACAGGGTCTGCGGCGGTGGCGGGTACGAAGAGGACATGGCCGTTGATATCGACGGCGATGTTGCCGAATGCTTGACCAAATTCACCTCGTTAGTCCCCTCCGCGTTCCACAAGTCTACCATCAAAACGTAGAAAGAAGTATCAATTTCACTGCAACCCAGGTCAGCGCCGCATCCAAATAACTTAATTCCAAGTTTTACGTACTTGATGTCGATTTCTTTTTCAGTTTGAGCGTCCTTAACTATAAGGCGAATGCATGGGGGAGGGGTAATGGGTCTCCGATCCTGGATCAACGATGTAAGCAGCCGGTCGACAAAGAGGATATATGGGAACTAACCTTGTCGCCAAAGCCGCACATTCGGGCTCGAATTGGTTGCTGCACAACTTGTAGCGACCAAATGCGACCCTCGTGGACAGTCGAAAGCGGCGCTAGGTGGCTGGACGACGGAATGCCTGCGGAGACCATTCCACCCCCGGAGCCTGGAGTGGGATATGATGAGGAAGGCGGAGGAATTCGATCCATGGAGAGAGGCGGCGGTGGCGGTGGGTGTGCCCTTTCTTCGATAGCATACATGGTGTGCGAGTCGAATAGACGATATTGATAACCGGTGCTGCCGTTTCCTAGATGGATCAAGAGATAGACCAGCAATATCTTAGGTAGATAAAACTAGCGTCTATGAAGCATGCGAAAAGCGTCCAACGTCACGATTAGACCATTGACTCTAAACGATGGTTGAAGTGCGTGAAAGCCGCGACCGAAGCGAGCACAGGTTGAAAGTTTGTCGGTCCTCGACCTGCGCTGGAACAACTCCAGATACTGAAGCGAGCTGATTAGAAAATACAGCACACAACGGTACGGGTCACAGTAAATTGTTTGTGGGGAGAGACGCGTGCAGTGGTGAGAGGTATGATCGTTGCGGGGGTGCAATTTCTGAGAGGGCGCCAGGGAAAAAGTGGCGAAAGAGGGGCGTACCCGCTAGGTAGGATGCGCGACTGACCTAAGCTATTGGAGCGATAAGTTGAACGATCACCACGATCACCCAAGTGTTTATCTTCTAAATCACGTACGGTTGAGTCAATTCGCAACGCGTGCTACCACTCTGCTCAAAGGGTAAGTGACGATCGCTGTGGTTGAGCCGTAAGAAGGAGCTGTCAAACTGCGGGAGATTCGCTAGGCCTTCCACGGATCGACCTCAGGACCAAAGGTTCGCACACAGCGTCCACGTTAATCTTCAGGGTCGTAAGAAAGAGGCCACTTGGATATAATCGGTGTGAGTCAGAAGCTGCAGATCGACCCAAGGGTTGATACTGAAGTCGGGACGTGTTGGGTGTGGTGGAGTTTGTGAGGGAAGAGCAAGTGGGAAAAGAGGGAAGAAAAGGTGTGAGAGAGCCGAATGACGAAGCGGAGAGCGTGGACAGTCACGAGAGGTCCAGACAATGAGAGAGGAACTCGACTGTGGATGAGCTCATACCCTTAGAAATTTATTCCTCTATTTTTAATCATTAAAATTTTTATTAACTTTAACTTCTGGCGATCATCTTCTTTCCGAGACAACCAGCAGTATTATGTTTTCTCAGTTATTTGCATACAATTCATTTCTTTACTCCTGCTCATACACCCTAACATCTGGTGTATTATTTTATTCATCTCTTTCGTACCTTTTTTGATTTTTTTTCGCCACGTCCTTCTATTTCTGCTACTATTTTAAATACTAATTTGGGTTCGCCTTTGTTCTTCCCTAAATGACTTACTCTCTGACGAGATGCAGCAACAAGACTCACGGATTAGGCGATGATCAGCCCGCCGCAGGAACCTCGACCCAGACCGTCGGGTTCAGACTTCCTCCCTTCTGGGCGTAGCGCCGGAATGTAAGAAATTAACCGCCAAATACCGGGCATATCCCGATAATCACGTACGATCTATCGACTCACCAAAAGATACTTGTATATTCGACCTGTTCTCATTTTCATAGACGCTCTTCGTTAATTGTTTTCCCCTGTTCTCCGTTTGAGTTTTCTATTTTCTTTTATATAGATTATCTCAACCAGTCAGTTTTTGAATTTTTGTCTCCACCATTTGAGCAGCTACGTATTTCAAATTATCTCCAGTCCGTGGGGTTTCCGCATATGTAATGATCAACGACGGAGGGGTTTAGATCAAAATGCCCAGCAGCCCAACAGCGGCAAAACCCTAGTCCAGTGGAGGCCAAAATAATTGCCCCGACCAATCTGTACTGCCATATTCAGCATCCAATTTATTTTTACGGCTGTCATAAAGATGATCCTCAGAGTAACCATGCAGTCCTCCGGTTTGGGTTAAAGCCAAGCACGCTTGATCCGAGCGCGATCCGTTTTCAGATTCTGTGGGAAAAGATAAGGGAAGATACACCTGCCGCATAAGGTACTGTCTCACCCATTCCCTCTCTCTCTCTCTCTTGATTTTATGTTTCATTCCCTTTTTTTCCCTCTCCCTTCCATGAGATGAACTCGGCCGATTCTTTTCTTTTACCTGGGGCGGTGAGAGCAACATCCGCAGCGCTAAGCAGATCCGTCGTCCTTGGCACGCACCAAAGCGATGCCCGAGAAAAAGTTTGCCAACAAGTCGGGTTACGGGTACAACCACCGGCAGTGCCGCGCACACTGATGGGAGCGGGGACTGCAGTTCCCCGTCTGCGGTTCTCCCACCTCGTTCTGCAGTCCATGGTAACCCCTCCATCCTCGACCGGCAGGATGCCTGAATCCTTTTGTTCTGCACGCCTAATGATCTGTTGACAGACTTTTGGCAGTTGGACCTTGTCGCATAATGCATTGTTTGGTTTCGGGTGGGTATCTGTGTTGAGTCTACTCCGACTATCAGTAATTCAAGGCGAGGAAGAGGCCGCCATGGAGAAAAGAATTTGAAAAAAAATAAAAATAAAAATAAAAATAAAAATAATTAATGAATTAAATTAAATTAAATTAAATTACTTTTGCAGACATTGTCCCCCCGTTGCTCGCCCACGTCGAGAACTGTTCGTGACCCCCGCGTCATTGAACTGCTAAAAATTGGGGCGCAGCACCTCCTCATGGCCTATATATATCGAATGATAACGTCAAGGGTTCATAATGAATTTCTCGGGTGTTCTACGTCATACCCCCTTATGTCGAATGGGACTTCTTGTTTCTTTCTGGTTCGCGCAAAACTTTATACCCTCGAAGATTACCTAACCTGCTATCGCGATGATGACGATAAACAAATACAGCACAATCAACCTTTAACCAAGCAGATATCACATTTCCGGTCAACAACATCTTCAAGACCAATAAGCAATAGATCCTAGCTTACAATAGCCCCACCTAAATTAATACTAATCGACGATTTACAATTTTCACCGTTGAACTCATATAGTACGATCACCATCCATCCTTGGCGCCGATGTTGAACACGCCGGTGAATACTAGTACATGTACCTGTTATGGGAACTCTAGATAAACCTAATCGTCGACTTGGAGAGTCTCGTTCATGTGACTAACGCTGGATTTCAACCGATCCTAGATCCCGTAAACAGGAATTTCGCTTCACAAACCTAGAATCATCAAGCACTGAGCGTGAAGTTGTTAGAATGGCTAAAGCTTCTGCATAGTCTAATGATCATGAGTAATCGTCAGCGGCGACACTGCTACCAATGATCTCTTTCCGTAGTCACATATAAAGGACGACGTAGATAATGTGATTGAAGGACTATCTATCAAAGAAATGTAATAAATATAAAACATACAGGTGAAAGCTGCCCAAACTCGCTACTGGGGTCTGATGATCGGCAAGCGTCACCGTTGGACGTGGTTCATAACGTCAAATACAGCACATCCGCTAAGCAATCACGGTGATCAAGCTCATAATCCCAGTTATCATCTTCAGAAACAGAGTTCAAGGCCCCCCACTCTCATAAGGCAAGCATTCGAGCCCCACTCTAAACCAATCCCCTCGCTGTCATGGGTGGTGGGATCATGGTCGTAGCGGAGAAGGATGGATCTCTCGGCAAAGAGCCTCACACGCAGCGTAAGGAATGACGTGCTTAGGGCTAATTTAGTCTTTGGCTTATAGCATGCACTAGCTTATAAAGCGGACATTTGTTCGGAAGCGTTCTTGTGCGAAGGAAGACTTGTCCTTGTATCTGCCGATGTAATGCTGATCTAATCTAGCTTTAGTAAAGCCAGGATGGTAGGGCTATTGGACCGTGTGGTTTGGTGTTTTACGTCTGTTTGTGCAAGTGGGCTTTCTGTGTACTACTCTTATATCTACTTTATCCGTCCTTCTCTGTAGGTTGATGTTCAGCGGAGATTCGGTTACTCATCTGTGGCCACGGGCGAGAGGAAGTCGGTTCCTGCTGCCTGTGAGCCGTAGACAGGCTTCTCAAATACTGCATGACCCTTCTGGGAGCGATTATGAGTCATATATAAACAAATCTATTAAGTAGTAGCCTGCCAGTCATACTCGATAGTGAAAGCTACTGGCTGTTTGAAATCTATGCACCTTGCCCGTTCAAGAAAGTCATACAAACTAGGCCTTACTAGTACAACTGCCAGTCAGCACTAAATATAACGCGAACCTGGTCCAATGTTCTTTGGGAGAACAAGTCCAGGTGTTTGTTATTCAATAACCACCCGAACGTACTTTTCGGTCTCGATATGTCGCCGATAAAAGTCTGACAATGTCATATGGATGTCCTGTCTTATTGTATTTATCCCTGTTAATGCAGCGTTTGATGAAATTGTTGAACGAATCTCGACCGATTCAGGGCGACGTCGTGACAGGCAATATGTCCATTATGAAGGAGCTGCAGAGCAGGGATTTATATTTCGACCGCGGCTGGTTTTAGGGAGCTGTCCCGGGTAACCTTCAGACGATCCAGGGGCAGCAGTCATTGTTTAGTGAAATAACGGCCCTCGAAGGTGTATCACAACGATATAAAGAGATGCTGATCATGTGTGACGTGTATATACAACAAAGGGTCAAGATGGTGCTAATCTATATCCGGTGTGAGGTCCGTTAAACTTGAGGGGATAGAAGACGTAGTACCGACATCGAGAAAATATGTATTAAGCATAAATCCTTCTATTATATATGCCAACTGACCGTTTGGTGTAACGGAGATTGAGCACAAGATCGACATGTGCATACATGCTCCTCTATCCGAATTAGGATATTGAACTATAGCGGGGCGCGGTATGAAAAAGGTATCGGCTATGGTTCCATAAGGGGAAAGAGACCATGTACATCCTTAAGCCATAACACATAGTAGCTAAGGGACAAATAAGTAACGCGTAAATGAGAAGTCCACCGCCGGTTTAGCAGGTCCGATTGGGTTTCAATATGCGAAAGGAGTTCCCCGACCCACCAGCTGTATGGCCGCCAGCGTTGTAGCCACAATGTAGGGTAGCAGTTGCTTTGTATGCGAAGAATGACAAGCTCTGCAATTGCCGCTTGAGGATAGGCATCTGAGCGAGCGCTCCTTTACTGATGATGACCGAGTCTAAAGTTCCTTGTCAGTGCATGTTTGAGCCCAGGACCGACTCGGCCTATGATGACTTTGATGACGGAAATGGCAAATCTAGCCCTCATTTCGCTAGGTTCACGACAAGCCATCTTACGTGTACGGTGGAGGATCGCATGCATGACCTCTTCGCTACTAGAGCTTGGGCCAACCATAGGGTGGGTCGCCGGTGGTTGTCCAGTCATAAGAGATTCGTCCTGCCATGCTGCTAGCGAAAATTCTGGAAAACCCCCAAGGCCCAAGGCAATGGATGAGCCTATCTCGCTTTGTTCCATAAGAGTTGGCAAAGAAAGAGCAAATCTTCGTAACTCCTCGCGTGGAAAGCACTACCCCACGATAGGCACTCAATCTGACCGGTCAACCATGGAACAAAGCGCATGTGTACTATGTCGTCGACTTGAAGTATCAATCCAATCATTGGTGGATGCGAAGACCAAGAATACTTGTTACTGGAAACGGAAAAAGAAGGGCTCGCCGCTCGATACCCGGTTGAGACTAGTGTCGGTGGAGTGGATCTCGGCGCCCGGCCCTTGTCCCAACATGGCATGACGATGAGATCCTATAATCCACCATTACCGCGTGCAATTGCGGCGGAGGTACAAGTTGATTCATTCGGACGGGCCTCCCCCCCCCCCCACTCTTAGTATCGGCACTCCTGGAGCATTTTCTCGTTTAAGTTGTTCCTCAAAAGAGTAACCCGAGGACTGCTCCATAGCACCTATAGTAAGATGTCCCAGACGGAACCCTGTACTAGTAGTAGGCACTCGGAGTGGGAGAGTCTTCGGGCGCCTAAGTACTACTAACTGCCAATCTTCTGTTCTCAATGGTAGTCTTGCGATATCTTGATTGGTCCCGAGCGTTTCTATTTGTCTAGTTAGCAAGGGCGCGAGCGTAATCGATCGTCGAAAATGAGTCTCGATTCATCGACACCTCTTTCCTACTTAGGGATATTGTAGATAGCCTTACATGCATTCGTTCCATGGCGTCGTACGTAGAAAGCCAACAAACAAGAGCTTTGCCAAGGGAAGATCTCGTAAAGCAACAAATTATAGACCCACTCGGAGTAATCATCCTCTTCATTAACACTAGTCTGGCGCAGATACAATAAATACCTAGTGCAACATCCAAAGCTCTGCGGGGTTTTATTTCTTTCGGTCTCGTAAAGATGCACCGTCTTAAGAACGTCAAGAGAATCAGCCGCATGCTATTGCGGTGAAAAAATTTATGACGAACGGCTCCCGCTTTTCTCTACCGCTCAAGTTGCTCTGGAGAAATGCCTGCGCGGCGGAATCACAGAGGATCATCTCGGATTGACTGTAGTGAATGCAAGTGTCGACGGACTGGGGTATGTTTCGAAGCTTACATGGTTTCTTTAGCCGGCGTGCCTGAGGCGTCTTTGTCTTACTTCACATGCCTACTAATCTGTCATGTATAGGACAGGTCCCAGTCTTCTCATTTATTTGTCCTATCGCGATACAGGTGCTCGAGGACCAAAGCTCGTCTATATACATCGTCTTCCTTATCTTTTACCGAAACATCGTCACCAACTACCAGCCACTATCTTTCCTCTCGATACAGAATCATGATGGAAGACATCAATGCTGTCTCTACACCTAAAGAGCTCAATATGGAAGAATTAGAGCTCATGGTCCAATGGTGTACGGCAACGTATCGCTCTATCTCCCGAGATGACACGGTTGACTGGATATGGCGTGTCGTCGTGCCTCGAGAAGCGATGCACTACCCCTTCCTAATGCATGGTATTCTCGCACTGTCGGCGCTCCACCTCGCATTCAATAATAGCGGTACTACCAAGGAAAGCTACTTGATGATAGCACGGTCTTATCGGAGCCAGGCCCGGGTCGGCCTGGAAAAGGTGAAGGGTAAACTGAACGACTCCAATTCAAACGCAGTGTTTGCTCTTTACCATATATCAATCGTGTCTGCCTTCGCTCTTCCTCTCACCATAGAACCGCATCAAGATCAAACCCCCTTAGACGAGCTTTGCGAAGTATTCCGACTCACCAAAGCATTAGGGGATTCCATACCAGCGATCATCGACCGGGTCAAAATAGGGGAGATGAAGGAGTTAGTTGAATCCAGCGATCCGCCACCGCGCATGCCCGACACTTCACGGCTCGCCATAATGGCGCTCAACAGAATGAACGCGGCCTTGGCCCGGCAGGACCCGGAGCATGAGAGTGATGTTTATAGCCCCACCATTAAGTACTTGGGAGAATCGCTGGACAAGCTTGCAAGAGGCGGAGAGATCATGATTGTCGCATTTCAGTGGATCTTTCAGATTCCACCGCGATTCATTGACTTGCTTAGAGAACGACAGCCGTTCGCTCTAATTGTCGTCGGTCATTTTGCCGTGATTCTTCACTCCTTAAGAGAACATTGGTGGATGGGTGAATGGGGAGCTAGACTGATTAGGCAAGTTGGCCAACAACTCGACACGGAATCGAAGCAGTCTATGGACTGGGTTCTCGATGCTACGGGATGCTATATTCCTCCGCGGTGAGACAATGGTCTACGCACTTCTAATACATTGTCATGGAAGCCAGTCACAGGGGACACCCGGTCATTTTGAACTACGCTTCTCAACTAATGGCATATTGACAACGAGTCATGCATAGGGTAGCCGATGCCCTTCACATTGGAGCGATAATATTTCGGCATTTCTTAAGAAATGCAAGGGACCAATCGAAGACAATCAGGCTTAGCGGCGCACGGAGTACAGGATCGGATGGTGGATTCGTTTACCGAGGCTCAATTGGAGATGGTTGCCCTTACCAGGCAACGGATCGCAGCAGGCCTGGGATCAGGCTATTATTCGTATTGTGCATATATGTATATCATGATGGAATGACCTTAGTTAATCACAGTTCAGATCATTTGACTAGTATAAAGGGGAGAATTCCATCGTGATAAGACTATGGAATTTTATTGGAGCGCCCATTCAAGCATCATAAGCATGGACGACTAGTACGCCGTAGATCTTATCCAGAACTTCTATTCGGTCGACTAGATGCAGATGTGCTGCACAGGTCAAGTTAGCGCGGACAAGAAGCGATAAGACTCATCGCAGTCATTGGTGCATCATAATGAAAGCTATAAATAAGCACCGTATTAAACCACCGAGACTGGCTGATTTCTTCTGACTTCCTAACACTCCTCCGGTTCAAAACAAACATGGGTATTCATTAAATTTAATAAGTAAGAAAAGGAAGGGGAATAAGAGGCGAGAGACGAGACAAACAAGACATTGAAACGAGACGGCACAAGAAAGATCATCGGCGACACTTCTCTCCGAGCCACAAGTCAAAAATCATGCACTGCCAGCAGCGCTCCGCTCCTTAACGTGCCACGATCGATGCATTCGCGAGGACCAATTCAATGTCCCACCGATCAGTATAACGAAGGCTGAACTGAGAAAACAGGGTACCACTCCAGACAAAAGGACGCGACTCGAGACATGCCATTTATAGTTACATTTTCTCAGCTTGACGACGACTCGCTGCGTTTTTCGGCGGCACGCTCAGCATCCTTCAATCGGTCTCTGGACGCAGTGCGAATTCGGCGCAACTGTTCCTCTTGCTCGCGAGCCTTCTTCTCTTCTTCGGGGGAAGGAATATACGCATTTGCAGCACCACCTGTATACATCGGAGTCACGATCAGCATGCTAGCCAATACAACCTAGGTCCCGTCGACAACATACCCCGTCCAGTGTGATGAGGAGCCTCCTCGACACGTAATGGCGGCGCCTCTACATCCTGACTCTCGCGCGCAATCTCCGGGCGCTGGGGATCGTTTACGACCATATTTCCTGAGCCGCCGCGACCGGTGGTATAAATATCTTGTTTGATCGTGGGTGTGACTAGATCTTTCGGGGTAGTATGGCTTTCACCGGAGAAGATATTGCCTGCGCCTTGTCAACACGAGTTCAAAAATTCACATGACTCCACTGGTCTACGTACCTGCGCCTCCACGGCCGTGAGATACGTAGCGACTCATGGTTGCGAGTATCTGATCGGGAGAAGGTGAATAACCGGATGTATAAAGGGCGTTGGCGGGGAAGGGTTGCGATCGGGAGTACGTAGTGGGCTTGCGCAGTGGGTTTTCAGGTAATAGGAGGGTCTCAGATGGGACTCCAGATAATTAAATGGAGCAAGAAAATAGGAACCAGCTGAAATTGAGGTAAACAGGAACTAACACGCAGTGGCGAAGGGGGAAAATTCTGTAAGTTGATCGGGGCCAAGAAGCAGCCCCTCTAGAACCCAAAAAGAACTTATGATGAAAGCCGTTGCTCTTGGCGCGTGATGGCGGTTTTTCTGCACGTTTGCGGAATGATGTGATTTTTTGGTCTCTTATCTAATCAGACGCCCTTCCTCTTTGGTCTTTGGGCAGGGCTACTGGTGTTCACCTGATCTGAGATCATTTTACTAAACTACTACGTAGTACGTAGTAGTTACTCCGTACGTACACAGTAAATGTGCTCGGGGTCTCATTCCCCACGTCCCTGGCCACTTGGTGGATCCACTGTGCAGGGCGATTGAGTGGATTTACTCCGTATCCATTTAATTCCATTATCCATTAGCAATATCGCTACGCCCCTTCAACTTCAGCAATTGTGCATTTGGTCATTGTGTACCAAAATCACTGCGATCATGATTACATTGGTTTTATACAATTAAAGTATGCAATATGCTGTTATTAGATACCTGGGTAGTATATTCTATACTTCCTGTCCATACAGCATGGCTAGCTCTTTCCGTTGGCCCGCAAAGGCCTTGCCCTAGCCAGATACCATAGTACTACTTGCCTCAGACTCCCCAAAGTCTTACTACCACTGCAAGTATACTCCATATATCGTCGCTCCTACTCATCTGAGCAAAACAAAGACAATACACTCTGAAGCAAGCTCTACAAGGCTCCTTCCCCTTCAAACTATAAACTACGATGCCCTACAAGATGGATGCTCATCTCCCAACTCCCGTCACTCAATATACATCCCATTCATACCAGTCATACGTCTAGTTCCATTAAATAGTTAAAACCATTCTCTTATCATCAGTCACTCCTTTCACAATTGCCTTCTATCACCCTTTATCAATGTGTTTTGACGTACTCGGAAATATCATAACCGACATCATCGGCATAATTTTACTGTATATTTCACTCTTCCTGAATATCCTCGCATTACCGGGTGCATTCTGGCGGACGGTACACGAGTGGAATCAGCGTGTCCGAAGAGGCATTCGGCATTTCCTGATGCCCAGAATGAATGCGAACGGTGATATCTACAATCCTGCTATCATTAACCGCCCGTCCCGAGAGTCGAGGCGTCGGAGAAGACGTAATGGACTAGTCAACGGGACTCGGGATCAGACTACTAGGAACAGCAGTCCGTTCGTCGTTACTCACTATGATGATGATGATGATGATGACTCGCATGGGACTGAGCAAAGTGTGGATGAGCCTTTGGCAGCTAGTGGTGGTGAGACGATCACGCCCGAGCAACAGCGAGCAGAGCAAGGGCCACAAGAGCAAGGATCTCACCATCCTGTACAGCAACACCAACAGCTTGGACAGCAACAGTCAGGACAGCAAGAGCCAGAGTCCCAGGGGCATGAGCTGCAACAGCTAGGACCACAACAGCAATCATCAGAGCTTCCACCACGTGAACCCATGCCGCGTGAGAGAGTTGTACCGCAGCAAGACTTAGGAGAACCTGGTGAGCCCCTACAAGCCATTAATTTATGTGACTAAGCTCACATCACGGCCTCCATTTTAGCAACTATGGCGGGTAGGGGGCAGCCTGGAAGGAATCGTGCTATGTTTTCCTTTGGACCAAATGGGATACAGCGTGAGTGCGACTATGTGCGATGGTAATGAAAGACAGTAAAGCTGATGAAAACAACTCGTGGATATACGTCTCGTAGGCCAACCGGCTCCAACCCTGCGTCGCCTGCGAATCAGCAAGAGCAATCCACACAAGGAAACCTCCATATGCCCGGTACATTCCCGGCTGGATCAGAGGATGGGGGAAGGGAACATTGAAGTAGCATTGTTATCATGGTTACCGAGTATGGAGTTTGCCCCAATTGGACTCGAATTACGTGCCGTTGCTTGTATCACTCTGAGTCGTGAGGTAAGTCACTTGTACCAAATTGACCTTTATGTGCGTTAACTCATTGCAGGGTTTTGTATTAGCCAAGGATGTCTTGAGCCGGTTCAATGTCTTTCTTTGCCTTGGTTATTGTTTGCCTGCATTATTTACAAAGACAGTAGAGTTACTGGGGTCTGTATTACTATAGCTGCAATATGCTCTTTTGTTATGCTGAAATCAACACTGAAGAATGCAATGCGCCTTATTGAGTGTTAAGTCTTCATCTCACTATCATGCTATGGCTCTTGATCATTGTAATCGCCAGGGTTAACAAATGGTACAAATCTAAAGGATGCAAGCATGTAATTCATAACTATGTACAATCATAAAACCTCATTGACATAATGCCCTCTCATAAGCATATATATCCACATAAAAGCTCGAGGAGCTTCCCATCTCAAACACAATCGTCAAACCCGTTCCTCATCTCCAGCATCGTTACTGCGGCCAATAAGTATCAACCATATGTCCACCATACGGCACCGCCTCATACTCAGAATACGCCTTCTCAAACTCCATACTCCAAACCCCATGCGCGCCGCGAACCGAGTACTCCCCCTTCCGCCATTTCTTCTCGTCCTCTTTATACGAGGCTGCCCCAACATGCTGCATCTGCGGCGGCGAGATCGCCAACCGATCAAACCCATGTTCATTCGCCAGCCGTTCCAGCGTAGAATCCACCGGCTTCGGCTTCGTCGCATCCTCCATCTTCTTCATATACTCTAGAATAGCAGGGGTTTTCTCCCGAGGAAAAACCAGCGCCTGCGAACAACACCCATGCCGATTCATCAGATGCACCCCGGGCCGCATGGGTCGCTGTACTGTCACCCGCCCAGAGGCAAAATACAATAAGATGACCGCCGGCACAGCGCCGAAACAAACAAGCCCCAGAAAGGTGTTCGAGAGGATCTCCTGGGCGGGGCGCACGGTCCTTCTCAGAGTAAGACAGAGTGCGGCGACGGCGACGGCAGCCGCAAGACTCCAGAGGAGATAGACCTTCCAGTTCTCGGCGTTCCAGCCGAGGAACTTCTCAGTGTAGAAGAGACGGAGGTAGAGCCAGTCGGGGTTTATGATGCCGCGATGGACCCACTCCTCGATGCTGCGGAGGGTTTGAGTAGTGGTGGGAAACCAGTTGCGCTGGGCGACGACGTCGTCTTCCAGCATGAGGAAGTAGGGGGCGTCGGTGGTGTCGTAGCAGGAGCGGAGGGAGAGGGCGTAATCGATGAGGGATTTCTCCGGGGTAAATTTTTTATTTCCTTCTAGGGTGCGGAGGTAGGATGTGGTGTAGGAGATGTTTTGCGTCTCGTAGGTTAGGATGCGGTTGACTGTGTTGTGTACCCAGGGGTGGTTGTAGTCTGGGTGGTCTGTCGGCGTGGTGAGGGCGAAGAGGAGGTGGATGGAGATTTGGGAGCGCTGGTGTTGGCTGAGGCTGTCGATGAGGGAGGCGATGGTGGAGTCTATGTTTTGGGCGAGGGGCCGTTTGACGGTCACAATGCCCACGCAGAGGTCTACATGTTCCTGCGTTGTTGGCTGGTTATGGGGGTCTGTGGGTGTGATGGTTGTTTGGTTGTAGCGCGAGAGGTAATGGAGGGATTCTTGGATCCGGGTGAGGCTGTATGTGGGACGGTAGCCTTCGTGTGGCTGGAAGAAATATGAGCCTGGGTCGCGGGCGGAGTTGGCGCGACAGATGAAAAAGAGGATGAAGTAGAAGATGGCGAAGGTGATTAGGGAAAGCCTCTGCTTTCTGTTAAGGAAACGACGCATTGGGACATCATGCTCGGGAGATATGTACAAATCCACGGGAATGATCTGTAGTAAAGTATGTCCCTGGTTCCTGGGACTTGGGGCGGGTTAAAAAGGTTTAGACCGGAGTCCGTCCGTCGTGAGAGACAAGGGAAAAGACCAAGAGAAAAGTAAGAAACGGGGCAGGCGCATGGGGTGCTTACAATAATCATGGAAATTTTTCCTTGAAGGATATTCCAGACGAGAAAAAGGGACTAGACTTGTCGGATCTTGACCCGATTCGGACAAGACCAGTGGACGCTAAATGTCTTGGGACCAGAAACAAGCAACGGGGCTGTGGAGTGTCCGTCGAGTCTTCACTCCTATCAAGCTCATTTAATACTGCAGGTGGAGCAACCTTTTGGAGTCCCGTGTTACTATCTTTACGTGTGTCTTCACTAAGCAATTACACAGCATCAGCCCTGTTGGGGTTTCACTTGATTTATCTGTTGCAATTGGTGGGAGGGTCAACTGGCAGGGACCATTTGCCATTTCAGTTTACTGCCGGCCTGAGACATTCTGATCGAACTGATACAAGATCGTCCCCCTCGATAACACCATTTCCCCGTTTGGGGGCTTTTCACGCGCCCAATAATGTGTCTGTTCGCGTCGGGATTCCGCGACGATCTGTCATGGGCATTCCAGTTGAGCTGTGGCAGGAGGCTGTGTTTTTTGGTACCTTTGTCGCGAGACAACACACGGTGTACATTGCCTATAGACTTAAAATAACGCGCCATGGAAACAAGTAGCTGGATTGACATTCCATGGACCAGGACGCATGTGTGGATAGATTTAATAGCCTCGGTCCAATATAAGTATGAACTTTAGTGGGTTGAGGAACAGGATCTAAAAAGATAAGAGAGGTGGAGAGAGAGGGGACGGGGGGGTAAAGAAAAAAAGAAAAAAAGAAAAAGATGTTGACGAGAGTGGGATTTGAACCCACGCCCCTTTCGAGACTGGAACCTTACTCCAGCTGAGAGATTATTAGTTGATTTGTTCGTCAAGATAAGACTTTAATAGTGGTACTAACCGCCTTGGACCGCTCGGCCATCTCGCCGTAGTTGACTTTACATTGTCAAATAGTGCTATGTCATCCCAAAACATGTAATGGAAAACAGCAAAATAAAAACAATACCACAGACTCTTCCACCAGTCAGCTCCGAACTCAGCCACGGCTATATCAAGGTGACTGGGTATAAATTCTATTCTATGGCTTGCATTTAGTATCACAGGCAACTGGGTAAAACTTACAGTGAAACCGGTCTTTCCCCAGATGCAAAGGAACCTGAACTATTTTTTCCATTGTGCTATTCATAGGTATATTATATATTAGTGATGACATCTGCGGTAGAATCCAAGAATTATGCTCGCCCTTCCGAACACCGTGTACATATACCATTCGGCGTGTTTAGTGAGGGCTACATAGACCTCCTGCAACGAGCTCGATGGATCATGGGTGTAAGTCAGGCGCCATGAGCACGGCAAAGAGTACGCATCATGCATAGAGGGCAAGGGGCGCTAGGAAGGCTCTCCGACGATAAAAGCTAGAGGTGGAAAACGCTGCGATATCGGAAAGTAGTCATCCATAGATACGATACATCGTGGAAATTATATGCTACGAGCTGACTTCATGAAGGTGAGAGAAACAAGAATATGGAAACAAAGCAGAATCCTAGACCAGCGAAGCTAACCGTTCCTTGTCCTGAAACCATGGAACTGGCATTTGTACACCTTTCATATCCCAAAGAGAGGTCAACTGTTGTCGATCAGGTATTTATACAAGATGGGAGTATGGGCCTTTATGCCCTTTGCTATACGAACAAGATTGGAGCCAATTTGTGAAATCGCTCCTCACCCAGGCATCATAGCTGAAGTTCTCACCACAGGTATCATGCAGACAGTTCATTCTCGTTTGGTGTTCATCATAGTCCGCATACCCGAGTCTGGTCCATGCATCACATAAATACTTGATATCTTCTCTCTTTGTATTATTCTTAGCTACCTCGCCTCCGCAGCTTTGGTTCCCGATAACAACATTCCACTGATAACCGTGTTCGCATAACTGCATGAGTACGTTCTCCATTGCATTAGTCTAATGTTCTTGGCAATCTGGATTGATTTTGATATAGGGCTAGTCTTCTCCATATAGGGCATGCCTTGCGCACCTGAGCCAGGATAATACGATGGTTTAATCCCTCTTTCATTCCCCCCACCCTCCCTGTCTCCCTCACAGGTATTTCTAACAATACTCATAGAAGCATTTCCTATTGGCCTGCTCCTGCATTAACAATTCAGATGTGTGTTTTACTGCTGTAGGGTATTGCCGTATTTAGTGTGTCGATAATTTGACGGACCGGGGTGCTAATGGCTAAGCTTTTCAGCAATTTAAGAGATGCAACATAATATGGGACAGTTCCCATTGAAAAGAGAGGCGAAGCCCCATGATTCGTTTCAGCTTCACCGAATGCCAGACTGAAACTGTGAAAAGGCTAGCACGTCCGCAAAAGCTCCTCACGGACGAAAGCAGAAGGGTAATAGAAATAGGCTATAAGGAGAGCAAAGATGAGAGGACTTTCAGCAGTTACACAGAATTATTTTCAACTGCACAGGACAATGCATCATGGCGAATCTGGAATGTCTCCATGGGCTCGATGATTGACATGTTTGGAGAAGATGATCTGTCTTCGCAGAGCAGGACTTTGGCTGAGAGAAAGTACAAGGCTCACATTGGCAACTTGCTTGAGGGCAAGTTCATGTACAAGATGAAGGGATATGCAGCAAGGGAAATCCAAGTGAGGATGAGCGAACATATGCAATAAACCTTGGCGAGGACAGCTCTGAGGAGTGCAAACTACATTATCTCGCATCATGCCCGCTCCCCAGATGACTGCAATGGCATCACCAGCGGCCAAGTTATGGACGGCACTTGTTGCACGAGTGGAGCACCCGGTGGTGACCATAAGAATAAGGAGTGGTCTGTCCTGATCAGCAAAAAAAGTTCTAGGTAAAGCAACCGATGTCTGTGGCATCGAGATACAAAGAATCCAAGAAAAGATTTTCATTTCTGTGATGCTGATTTGTAAATAGAACTTTCTCCATGTAGTTACTATGGCAGAGGTAACATAGCCCAGTAAATCTCATATCATTTTTATCTTTACGCAGTATACTGGCATAATCTAGTATTATTTAGTACTTAGTTTTCTCTACTGTCTAATATTGGTTCACCCTTTTGCTTCTCTTATCTACTTGAAAGTAAATATTCACTTCAATTATGTATTGGCTTTATATTAAGAAAAAACACCCGGTTATCTGGTAAACATATGATTATTTTAAGAATGTAGAATAATCTACGAGACGACTCTCTAGTAAGAAAATCCCGAGGACCGGCTTCTCCGCATTTTGCGGGGGATCGGACTTTTGACTCCACCCCCATAAACTACGCAGTTACCGAGCATGCCTCGGAAGAAGCCTTTCTATCAGTAATCCCACCCATTGCGCACCACACCGATTATTATATCCTGCATTGAACATAGCAGATGAGGGGTTCCTAACCACTCAATATAAACGGCACCACGCTCCACATAAAAAAAAAGGGAATGGCAGCAGATACACCGACAAATTCATCCAAGATTGACACAAGCACACCAAAATGTCCTCAAACACACCATCCATTGTGATCCCTCCTTCCTATGAGAAGCTCCCAACAACACACATCAAGGTCTCTCACTACCCGGCAGGGGCTGAAACCGCAACACCCGTTGTAGTGGTCATATTGAATCGTCCGGAGAAGCGCAATGCCTTTACCGGGGCCATGGCGGAGGATTTGGAGAGGGTTTTTGCCATGTTTGATGTGGATGAGCGGGTCAAGGCAGTTGTCTTGACCGGTGCCGGAAATACGTTCTGTGCTGGTGCGGATTTGGAAATTGGGTTCCCGGAGGGGCGTGATGAGAGGCCGGTGGATCATAGAGATAGGTAAGTTTCATACTACCCTAGTATATCGTCTTTTCGATTGAATGACACATACTGAAATTGATACAGTGGCGGCCGAGTAGCCCTCGCAATCCACCGCTGTAGCAAACCAACTATCGCTGCAATGCAAGGCTCCGCCGTCGGCGTGGGCATGACCATGACTCTACCTGCTGTAATCAGGTAAACAATTCCATCACCTACTAACTAACTATACACCAGACAACCCTTCAAAACAATACTAACAGAAATCCTCTCACAGGGTCGCCCACGCAACCAGCAAATACGGTTTCGTCTTTGCCCGCAGAGGCATCACCATGGAATCCTGCTCAGCATACTTCCTCCCCCGACTAATCGGCTACAGCAAGGCCCTCTACCTCGTGTCCACAGGGAGTGTTCTCCCCTCCACGTCTCCGCATTTTGGGGGCTTGTTTGCCGAGACACTCCCCGAGCAATCGGAGGTCCTGCCGCGGGCGTTGGCGCTGGCGACCGACATCGCGGAGAATACGAGCACGATGGCGAACGGACTAAATCGGGCGCTTATCTGGCGGGGCCCTGAGTCGGCAGAGGAGGCGCATTTGTTGGATTCGCCCATTCTTTATCATATGTTTGGGTCTAGGTATGTTTGGTTTTAACTTTTCTTTTCTTTTCTTTTGTTATATTTTGCTTGATTTTGAGACTTATTTGGGTTTTGATAGGGATAACAAGGAGGGTGTTATGTCTTTCTTTGAAAAGCGGAAGCCGAATTTCAAGGATACGTTGGTGGATAATGGACCAGCGATTTATCCTTGGTGGTCTGAGGCGGATATTAGCAGGAAGCCGAAGATCGTGAAGGGGGATTCTAAGTTGTAGAACGGAAGCAAAGAGTATCTCTTGTCTTTGAAGCTGCGCCTTCGGCACCAGGGTCCAGAGTGGACTGAAATGGCTAGTTCGCTATACTTGGGAAAGTAGTTCCCGACTGGCCATACAATGTCAATAAACAAGCATAATGAACCGTATACAGGTTAAATTTAGTAAAGGGAAGTAATCGCTCAGATACAGATCGACATTGTCAGAATACTCATACAGGAAAGGGGTGCAGGAACCACAAACAAAGGAAATAAGGACCGGAATGTAGAATGCCATAAGAGAAACCCAGACTACGGGCTTCTATGTTAATTGTTCGCCATCACAAATGCAAGAATGACTGTATTTAGAGGATAAAGTTGCGCCTCTTGCGGTTATACACACGCTGATCCTTCAGCCACTGGCGGTATCCCTGCACGCTGCCGATCTTCTCGCCGTAGTAATCAGGGACGGGGTTCGCGATGGAGTTCGAAGAGGGATCAACGCGGAAGCGCTTGATTCGGTCATAGAACTCCTTCTCTTTCTGTGATGGGATTCGGGTTAGTAACGATGCGACCAACCAAGCAGATCGGTCGTAGACCGAGAACGAGAGAACTCACGATCATGAAAGCCTGTTTATACCGCCGATTAACCAAACCCCACGCCGCATTACCAACAAAGGGCCCAATGAGCCATCCCACAGCACCACAAGCCGCGGTAGCCATTCCCAGAACAACGAAGGGGTCCAGACCCATCACCTGCGCGCCCAAGGCTTCAAGATCCTGGCTGGAAAGAACCTGCACACCAATGACAGTACTAGCCATCGAGGACACAACCGAGGAAGCGAGCGAATAGCGACGACGAGAGGCGCGGAGCTGGAAGAACGAGTTCCAGGTCAGTTTGGCGGCTTCCTTGCGAGTTGCCTCGGAGACTGTGGAGTTCGCCCGCATTGATGCAACACGGTAAGTTGGCATTTGGACCTGTGGACGAGCGCTTGGCGCCTTGAAGCTGGTCTTGATTTGTGCGGAGGTACTGGCCGGTCGTGCCTGGCAGAGGGTCTGGTACAATGCCGTTGAATTGGCTGGGGATGCAACCGAGGGGAGGGCTTTGGGAGAAATGCGTCCGAACATCATTGCGGTGCGCACTGGGGCGCTGATCGAAGTTGCGTGCATTTTGGAGGGTGTTGTAGGCAAAATGCAGAGGTGATTGTCGTCGATGTTGATGCGGAGTTGAGTTCGGGGTTGGCTAATGTAACGGATGAAGCTTTAATCGGATTATGTAAGCGGCATGGTTTCCTCATGGGGTATGAGGTCATTTTTTTTTAAGTTATTATGTGAAGATCCTGTAGAGGGGTTTTCAGTAAACAATGCATATAAGAATACTGTAATTGTACTTATCTAGGTAGTGGACAGCCCTGGTAAGCTGGTAATGCGGCTTTCTTTTTTCCTTTTCGGGCTTCCAGGACCTATTGGTAGCTCTTGCATATGCCTGGACCTCAATTGTACTAATATATGCTTTATTCACCACCTTTAAAGTTGTATAATTGATCTATATTGAAAGTCCACAAAGCATAGAGTGTAGCTGGAGCTAGAGAATAACACCATGATTCACGGTCCACCAACGTCGTATGCATACGTATATGTACATGGGTCGTACCATAACTACAGGGTTTCTTGTTGACCATGGTAGTGTCCGGAAGATGCATTCTTGTCCACAGGCTTACTAGGTAACATTATAGTTTCGCCCGTGGCTCCGTCGACTTTGTTGTCTGATCCCTTAGTAGCCGTCGAAGTATTTTTCCGGATGAGCTTTTCGGGATTTCTTTTGTAAACACCACGCCTCCCCTAAGTTGTTTATGGCGCGCCATATTTGCCTCGACGTGGGCCTTTACTTCCTCCTCAGAAATGCTTCTATTGTTCTCTACCACGATATATGCTCGGGGAAGCTCGTTCCCAGGTGCTGATGGGTCTGGCACTCCAATGACAGCAGCATCTGCTACGCATTCATGGCTAAGGAGACAAGCCTCTACCTCTACTGGGGAGACCTGAAGTCCTTTGTACTTAATAAGTTCCTGGTAGTATATTAGTTTGTCACCGCAGCGTAGATATGCAGTAAGAGATGGACTTACCTTCTTTCTATCCACCATGTAGATCTTGCCGTCCTTCCAGACGCCAATATCACCTGTTCGGAACCATCTGTTGTCTGCGAAAGCCGCAGCAGTAGCTTCTGGGTTCTCGAAGTAACCTTTGGTGACCATGGGCCCTTTAACCAATATCTCTCCCTCCATGCCTTGCTCAACATCCTTATCTTGCTCATCCACAATGCGAAGTCTCGTATTTGGAAGCAAAGGACTGATACTCCCCGTGCTATCAGCCTGACCCCAAGGCATCGTAGTCACGCTCCCAGTAGACTCGGTCATTCCCCAGCGTTGACTGATTGAACAACCCAGTTTCTCCTCCGCGCGTCGTTGGACCTCTGTAGACAACGGTGCAGCCCCCGATTCCGCTCGGATCAAACTATTAAAATGGTCCGTGACTCGAGGACTCTCCGCAACAGCAAGATAGATCGGCGGCGCAGTGGCCAGAAACGTAACCTGGTACATTTTACAATAGTCCATGAACAGGTTAATGTTGAACTTGGGCATCCAGTACACAGTGCCCCCCGCAACGGCAGGAGTAATAAAATACCCCTGACAGCCCGCAATATGCGCAGTAGGCAGATGGCCAATAGTTCGATAAGGGACTTCAAGATGCGGTTTTCCCTTTCTGGACTCGCGAAGGACCAATTGCGGGATAATCGCCTCAGAAACAAGGTTCATGTGAGACAGCATAACGCCTTTCGGGGGCCCGGTAGTACCGCTTGAAAACAGGAGACAGATGAGTCTTGTTTCTAACTCGGTTCGATCTGAGACTCGTTCCCAGTCCAGCTCTTTAGTATTCTCGAGATAGCTTCTCTCGGGGTCAACAGTATCACGTAGTAGATGTTTGTGACTTCTACTCTCCAGGATCAGAACTCTGCATTCTGAAATCCCGCATGCAATCGCCGCTTTAAGAGCTTTCGCTTTGTTGTCCTCACTAGCGATGATCAATTGGCTTCTTGACTGTTGGATCTGTCGAGATAGTTCTGATTGTGTAAAGGCCGTCGATGCTGCGGTGTATACACCTCCAGCGGCGATGATGGCGTAGAACACCGCTGGAAGAAGTACTTGGTTCGATGAGATACAGAGAACTGTGTCTTTTCCGGCGCCATTGTTTCCGATCCCAAAGTCGGTGCGGAACACATGTGCGAGGCGCTTGGTGATGGTTCGGGCTTGGGCTTTGGTGATGTTATTTGTTGGATCTGCGGCTTCGGCGTGGAGAACAGTGGTTTCCGTGGTAAGTGACAGAGGGGAATCTGTGGGTTGTGTTAGTTGTATAGTATCTAGATGATGGTAGGGGGGTTTCTATGCACCAAATAGTAAGGAGAGGAGGTCGATGTTCGGAATATCGTAGTCTTTCGCCGGGAGGTATTGCATGCTGGAGGTGAACTACTACACAGATTAGACTCTTTTTGAATGGATTTAGTAATTGCTTGAACCATGGCCTGTTAAAGAACTGTTTATAAAGTTTCCTTATATAACTAGTGATTTAGAGTCTCGGCTATAGAAAATGCGGGGAAACCCGAGGTTGGAGTTGATGCGCTGAGGGAAATAATACAACTCTCGAACTGTTTTATTTCTCTATAACAACATGTATAATAAATCTATCGACCGATAAATACGAATGCTCTCTCTATATATATAGAAGTAAAAGTATAGAGTTCTGTTGCTGATACCATTCGCTGAAGATACTGAAGACAGTGAGTTCTAAAGCTGACTGAGACGGACCGCGCAGATTAAAGGTTGCCATTCTGAGAGATAGCGCCAGGGCGGGAATGCGGCTTGGACTGGGACCCATAGCCATTCACGCGGCCGTAAAGCCACTTCAGGGTGCCGGTACTCAGAGCCATTACGACGGCGCTGAGGGCAAATAGTCCGATGCGGCCTTCAAAAGGAAGTTGCTCGAAGATTGGATAAGGGTACCTGGAGAGATTAGCGCTTGGCTGGCAGTATGAGTGGAATAGTGTGACAAACCATCCATTATACGAGAAGCAACGTTCGATCCAGAACCAATATCCAAAGGCAATGGTACTGGATAAGCTGAGGGCGGGTAGGATACTAATCGTCCATGGTGGGGAAAGCAGAAAGAGATCGATCAGAAGGACAATGGACGGGATGGCATGGAAACTAATATCTTCACGGGAGATTGTATCAGTAGTGATCGCAACACCCGAGTATTTAATATCTTGACCTACCTGCGTTCAGAGGTATGACAGCCCAATCAGGTACCACCAAACGCTCATCGATCTAGTACAAGTTAATTGGCGAATTGAAACTGAGAGGTTGGAAAGCCATATCAAGCACTGACCACGCGGAGACCCCAATACAGAATGCTGATCAGAACCTCCAAAGGTGCACTGCATATCGACAGGAGGTTCTTGATCAAAAACAGTCGCGCGGATAAGGTTACGTCCGCCAGCAGACCAATCGCGAAGGTAAGCGTGGACAGGGATAACCCGATGACCGTCAGGTACTGAAAATGCCAGCCATATGCCTCATTGCTACCAAAATGTTAACTGACAGGGATGTCTAAGGCCATAGGACAGGTAGCACCTACGCGTGGTTGGGATTTTCGTGCATACTGAACGCAAGGATCAGCCTGAGTGACGACGATGACGTAGTAGCGGCATCTCAACCGCGACCAATGGAGGTCGACAATCGAACATGATCCTATAAATAACTGAGAGAGACTCTGAACCTACTATTTAAAAGACCATACAAAACTGGAAAGTCCCAGTAACTGAAAGGAGGGTAAGTTAGCTAAGGGGAAGTTCAAAACTACCAAGCTAGTACATACATGAACCAAGGCAGAGAAGCCGCGAGATGGACTGTGTATCCGCTGTAATGGGTGTTTCTTGAGAAGAGACTGGGCTGTAATAGAAGCAAAAGCCATGGTTGAGTTTGCGGATAAGATAATCACCACCACCAATAATCGATAAACCACAAGGACTTCAAAATAAATTAACTCTGAGAGTCAATCTTAATTAGATGGTCACTGACGATATCGATATGGATCTCTGGGAAGCGGCGGTGGCCGAGGATCCCGCCGCTAAGCTGAAAGGAAGGGTCCCGGAGGAATAGATATCCCGAGTCCCGACCGGAGACACCAGCTTATCACCATTACGTATGGGTAACTCTGCCACTATCACCTGCTCCACCGCCCACGATTCCGCCCCGGTTAATACGCAACTGCGATTGATTGAGACGGCCGATAGGTCGCCACCAATCTAAAGTAGTTATCTGCATCGTCTTTGGATATCCGATGCTCCACTGGCCAGTATCTCCTCCGCTTTTTCTCGTGTTTTCTTAGTCCCACCCATATTCCGCTTGGTTTCACCAGCCGAACTTAAACGAGGCCCTTGTCTGTTGCAACAATCGATTGCTACTACTCCCTACTAACTACCACCGCACTAACAAACAGAGTCAGCCGTAACGGGGGACTTTCCCTTCACGCTTCCCGGTTGATTCTTCACACCGAAAGATTCTAGAAAGATAGTCTCCAATTCGCCGCATTTGCTACCAGTAAAAGGAGTTCTCGGGCGCTTTCCCACACCTCGATGACCACGAATACTAGGTGTGGGTGCCTCGTTGATTATCGCTTTCTGTCCTCTTGGATTAAACCGAAACGCCCTACAAGGCGAAAAAGGAATATTTCCTCAGAGATCCTATCGGCGCCGTGAGCTTACATCTGGTCTGCATGGCGATCTTACTGAGCAGAGTGTGTCGGCACTATCTCAAGTCCCGGACTATTACTTCTTCTGGCCGTTATATCTTTTATTCCTCGTCTTTTTATTTGGCCAATAATTATTGAAATCCAATGCCTCGCCCGAGAAGGCCCGGCGCTCCGGAGCCAAAACGAAGGTCCCGTAAAGGATGCTGGTGCGTACGAATACTGACGACGTGATGACTTCACGGTGTGTATATGAATTAGCTACTAAATCCCTAGGCTAGGCCATGTAAAGCACGCAAAGTGAAATGGTTTGTGTTCATCCTTTTTCTTTTCTGTACTTTTCTTAACTAGTTCACTAATATTTTAGATGTAGCGGAGAAGAAAAGCCGTCCTGTTTGAATTGTCGACGTCAAAATGAACCATGTGACTACAGTATAAGACTGAACTGGGGAGGTAGAACGCGAAGAAGATCTTCCGTAGACTCTCCAAGCTCCCAGTCTAGCGGTCAGTCCGGACAATTCATACTAGCCTTCTCGCCATCAGATATGATGCAGCCTGACTCCACGCTGTTGGCTTCGCATTACAAAGATACTGGTTCCTTGGGAGGAGACACTGCAGGGGACCATGTCGCAGAGAGTCTGTTTTGGGAAGCTGGGTATACAGGGGAAATGGCAATAGGAACGTCTTATCCTAGAGGGCTATATGATATCCATGAATCTTCCGCTATCCCTGACCAGTCTCTTAATCCTTCCCCACGTACAACTGGCAAGAGCTCAGTAGATATGAGTCCATCGTCACCCGGGAAGGACGCAGCTGCCTCGTGGTCAGGCTTGTCTCCTAACATGACCACAGTGGTGTCCAGAGAGGCGGCTCCCAGTTACCCGTCGTCAATCACACAACCCCTGGACGATTTCTCTTACCCGTCGCCGGCTGATACGGGCTCCAGTATTGGTTCTTTTGCCCCTTTCGCATTTTCTCCAGCTACCATGTCGCAGCCCAACTCATTCCTTCGACACACTGCAGACGTCCCCGAACAGCCTTTGAGCCATTCATCGCCCGGACAAGGCGGCACACCAGATCAGGGGTATCCCCACTCACAGTATTCATCTCCTACCGATGTTGTTAGTGCCTATGCCCCTTACCAGTCTCAGAGTCCATCAGACCCTCACGAGGGTGTGTCCCCTCTTTCTAAGAATCCCCAGCTTTTTGCATCATCTAGTGTGGCCCAGGATACCGAATCGATTCCAGCGGGCGTGACTAGTAACTCGGAGGACTTCTTCAACAAAATTATGAACAGCCCTGTATTATCTGAAGATCATCCGCAGGTCCATACCAGCGAGCCACTGGCCACTGGCCATTCTAAGCTCTTGAGTATGGACCATGAGGCTGATGTGCCCGGAGGACTTTCGAGTGCAGAAAGGAAGTGGCATGCTTATCTCACCAGCGTTACAGATAATTATGGTTTGGACTGTGGCCGCCCGGATCTAGATTTGAATAAGAATGACGACCATTCGGCCATTGACATCAATTACGCCCTGGATTTAATCAACTCACAAAGTGAATCATCTGCGGCGTCTAACGATCGCCCTGGTAATTCCTCGTCCGCGGAGCTAAAACCAATTAGTTTGGATGGTGCGAAGTTTGCTTATTACGCATCACCTGTACCGATCAACATCCCACGTTATTTATCGCCGTTGCCACCAAGTCTGGTGCAAACGCCTATCAATCTGATGTACTTCCATCATTTTATCAACCATACAGCGAGAATGCTAGTTCCGCACGACTGTAGCGATAATCCATTTGTTTCTGTTCTACCATCAAGTGAGTCACGGACGTCTGCTTTCTATTCTCGTTGATCATTCTACCCCGTGCCAGTGTGCTGACCTAACAGTGGCTATTGGGGATTCGAACCTACTGAATCTTATGTTAGCGTACTCCGCTAGTCACCGTGCGAGATATCTGGAGCATCCAGAACCTGCTACTCGTATCGCGCACTTGGTCAGCAATGTCTTTCCTGCATTGCGCGTAGCACTGGAAGATCCGCATGAGAAAGTCACTGACAACCATCTTGCTACGGCCATCATGCTTCTCTCCCTGAAGATCATATCACCCAGTACCTTCGAAGTGCCAATTCCTTGGCAAAGTCATCTTAAACTTGCCCGGGAACTCTTCCTCGCACGTCAAGAACAAATGACGTACCCCGGAAATCGCATTGGTCCATTCCTCGCTCGCTGGTTAGGATATCTCGACATTATGGGAACCCTCTCCTGCCGACACACGGAACCACCGCTGTCTGAATACTACTCGCTTATAAGCACATGCTGCTCAGCTGAGGGACTGGATGAATACTGCGTTGACTGTTTCTCCGGTTTCACCCCCCGAACGGGTCTGTTTTTGACCAGGCTGGCGAAATTGGTCCATCAGTGTGACAACGAACGATTTGATGAGATGGGAATATGGATTTCCGGTTGGAGGCCTTCGGCCAGTATCATTCTTGAAGCGCAAGAATTAGCCAACGAGCTTGAACTGCTCCGTACCCGCGCTCACGCTAGCTCAAGGCATTTCCGGGAGTCAGGAGCTACAGACATCATCGCTAGTGATAAAACATTTTATTACGCAGGTTTATTACATCTCCACCGACGCGTCTTGGGCACATCTCCAATTTCCACACCAGTCAAGGAGGCTCTGGATGGGCTTAGAGAGGCCCTCGCACAGATAAGATTCGGGGCATCTGCTGAGGTCGGAACCCTCTTTTGCTTGTTCACTGCGGGTTGTGAAGCTCTTGACCCTGGACAGAGAATGGAAATCCAGGAGCGATTCGAAGTTCTAGAGAAAACTGGCATGAAACAGGTTAGTCGCTTTAGGTCCCTTGGTAGAGTACAGTGCTGACCAACTTTTCCGTAGATCCAACATGCTCGCAAATTAATGCAGCGTTGCTGGGATGAGAATATGCCATGGATTGCCTTGGCTCGAGGGGAGTTTCTTGGATAAATACAATGAATGTGAAGCCATTGTGGCTTTTATTCTCATCGGAGTAGATGGCAACAGTGTGGTTTGCATTAATAAGTTGAACAGAAATCTAAGAGGACAACAGTAAAACACGCATATCAGTGTCAAATGGTGGCGAACTATTAGAGTCAAATCTGAAAGAGGATGTAGTAAGGGAGGCTGTTAAAGTAAATAACCCCTTTAAATTGGGCTCACAAGTATTCTGTGTGATGAGCTGATAGATCATGTCCTAGAACTACTTGTGAGGTGAACTGATATCTGACCAGACACTTTGATCCAGATCTCACAATAGCAACACAATATAGCCCGGACCAAGGTCTACGAAAGAACTCCGGTACCATTTGGAACTAGCGTTTCACGAGCAACAGAGACCTGAGATATTTCTATGAAGTGATATAAACAAACATTCTAACTGTAGACAACATCCTCACCGCCTTGGAGTATGTGTGAACAGCCCTGCACTGAATTGCCCAAAATGGAAGGCTGCCCTTGTCTCATCTTCAGTGCTTTCAGTGCTACTGCCATTCTACTTTTCACGTTGATACCCATTCTCCTCGCGCTCTACGTGCTCCAACACCGGTTTCTGCACCGGATTGAGGTCCTCATGACGCCCATGCCAGGCTCAGTGATTCCCGAAGCATGTGAGGTTATAGAGGGGACCAGCCATCCTGATAAGGTAACGCCTGACGCGCAGGAAGTTACTGTGTCTCCTGCTCCAGAGTTGCGTCGAAATTTGAACTTGATGGATAGCCGACTGGAGGACATCCAGGTTCCGGCTCTTCTGCCACAAATCACCAAGAAGATACCGGGGCCCGTCACCACCAGCGCCATTGTCAAACTGGCCGAGGAGCTTCACCTGGGAGGACCTACTCCATTGCTGGATGGTGGATTGGATCACCTGCAAATTCCTACGTTGGAGCCCAAGCGCGTAAGCTGTTTCTTTCCATAACCACCCTCTGCACAGTGTCTGTGTAAGTTTCGATTCATATAAATTCATGCTAACCTTCCAAAGAACTCATCCCCAGCCCAGCTTGCTAGAACCTCCGCTTTCGGCGGCGAAGGAAAATCAGAAATTGTTCCATGGGATGGTAAGATTCGCTGGGCTATAGAGGGTCCCAGTGTCTTCGATGACGAGGAAGATGAGCTTGGAGCATTCTACTTCCGTCCTAATCTCTTGTCTCGTCATCCTTTCTCGGACATTTGGATGTTTCAGTATGGACTGCGATATGTTCCAGCTAAGGGTGATGGAAACGTATATCGTACCGTCCGGATCGAAAATCTCCCGTCAACTCTAACCCTGATGGATGTTTTGCCTGCCGTTAGTGGTGAGATTTTCTCAGCCCGTCTCACGGATACCACTCCCATCGTGGGATCTAACACCGCGATTCTCACGTTCGTTTGGCAGTCCGATGCTGTTCGTTTTGCTCAGGCTTCAAGGAATGGTATACACGTCGGTCCTACAGTGGCAAAGGTTGTCCCCGTCAACACTCCAACCTACCCCATCTCAGCTGAATTGAAGCGATTGATCTTCAAGGAAGGCTACACACGCTGCCTCTGTGTGTCCAGTTTGCGTGAATCCCTGAAGAGTGAAGTTCGTCGTGTTATGGAGAAGTCTGCTCACTCCGAATATATTGAGAGGATTGAAGATGGTCTTGTGCTGGGGGAGACCTACATTCGGTTCCATTCGATCAAAGTGGCCGCTGCGGCTTGCGATCTACTGAAAAATCACCCGTGCTTTACCAAGTGTGTCTTTCGTTTCCTGAAGAAAGCTTCAGACATGCGTAGCACTGTTGCCGGAAAGCGCACCTTTGGAACCAAAGAGCAGGAAAAGCGCGCTCGCATCGGGATTTGGGATTAACTTGCAGTCTTGAATATTCGTCTTGAATATTCTTCGTACAATGTGTACATTCCGCCATTCTACCATGCACTGTATTTATTATCTGCTTACATATCTTAATTCAAGCGGTAACATAATAACAAATAGTTAATGCATGGCCAATTTATGTTCAATTTATCTCGAGATCCCCCGCAACTTTTACAGAGCAGTGGAAGGCATTTTTCTGGGCTAATACGGATTTCCACCCCTACATAATTCAGATCTTAGCACTTCAACTGGCCGATTGATGTACCTTGTATCGATGGCTGATCAATGTTTTTAATTTTATTTTACGATGAGCATCCCCCTCGACATCAGTCGCAGTCCACAAAAGAATCTGGAAAGATAGACAGGACAGAGTACATAAGAGCTGAAGCTCGTTAAATCAAACTATGCTTGGTTGCTGACAAGATTGGAAGAAACAGTAGCTCATCGAGCCACTACAAATGTTAAGCACATCCTTGGCGACACTGCAGTTATACGCTCCGGATATTCTAAGAGTACTTTAGCACGTTTATCAGCAAAGTTCTTCATGAGGGTACGATCCTCTGTTATATCTGTGCAATAGCCGATGTTTGTATCAGAACTTATTGCATCAAGTTTCTGCAGTTGTAGATATGGAGACAACTTCTTGTATCCATACCTTGATCATGTTTCGTTGATAATATTGTGATATTTCATGCATCGCACATGATCTTGTCACAATCACGTCAACAAGCAGAGCTGAAGCAGTGGTAGTATTATGGGGATCCACTGCGTCATATAATATTAGTTTGCTAAAGATAGTGGGTGGACATCCCGGATTAGCTAGTTCTGAAGGAGGTCTTCAGCTCTGATATAAATCTGCATGAACTAGTACTGCCGAGTAAACAGTAGCTGCATCATAGCCATCCTTATCATGGACTAGTGCTTACATACTAGCTGAAATGGGGTCTGCATTCATTGTAGAAGTAAACAGAAATATGATATATGCGTCGTGAGCGACGATCCACTTAATCAACTTCTACCGAGGTGGGTGGCAATGATCTGAGATAATTTATAAGGAAGCCAGTGATTGCCGGCCCATCTAGCTCATAGGCAGAAGGCTCCTTCAGATAACAGATCTTTGCTGGTCTTTCTACAATGGCATTTACCCTAGGAGGGCACAGCTTCGCGTACTATGGGTTCCCTCCGTCATCCACCAAAGATTTCCAGGTTATGCAGATTAAATACTTAGTCAAGAAATATCTGGAAAGTATCCACTTCGACGCAAACACGCCATACTTTAAGGATGAAGCCCTAGAGGAGACAGTTTGGGGCTATTTCCAAAGCTTGAACATGGGCGAGAAGATTGAGAGATCATCGCAGAAGATGCTCAAAATTACCGTAACGTTTGTCATTAGGCTTACACATCACTTCCATTCGAGATTAAAATTCAGTGCTCCATTTAGGGGTTGTACATGTTTCTTCTTGATGATGTGACGGAGGAGTTTACGGAGGGCTTGCAACAATTTGGACAGAAGTATGTCTTATCTACTCTGTCTTTTCCCCTGTTCCTATACTCTTATATTGATGACTTTGTTTATTTTACCCTTAAACAAAGGCCATCGCAATCCTCTTCAGCAATTTTGATGCACATATACGTAGTCTAAGCATCTACTACGGGCCGTACTGCCATTCGGTGATTATCAAATCCATGTTCGACTACATCAATGGACATGTTATTGAACACAAAATGGAGCAGTCAGGGTTTAAATTCTCCGCAAACACTTGCTTAATGCCCACGTTCCTGCGCACCAAGACTGGCGGTGCTGAGATCCTCGTCCATATGCTTTGGCCGAAGAGCCTGTTTCCAGAAGAGCAATATTTCATGCAGTACTTCCCTGTTATACAGGAGATGGTGTTGTTTATTGGTTTCACAAATGAGATTCTCTTGTATTATAAAGAATGCTTTATTAATGAGGAGAAAGGAAATTTTGTGTCAAACTTTGCACAAGCGCACGAAGTGGACCGCTTAGATGTCTTGAGACAGTTGTCGGAGTATATCCCACAAGTACGTCCCATATCTTGATATTTTGGAAACATCTCTAACGAAATTTCGATTAGGGACTTACCGCTGTGTTTAGAACACTGCAGCATAATGAGGTTCTGCGGAAGCCAATAGAGCAGTTTGTCATCAGCTATGTTAGGATGATGACAACTAATAGGCGCTACCATCTGGTGGAACTATTTGCAGATGAGCAGTATTTGCCGCCCTACAATGATGATGCATGATTAGTTTGCCTCCAACTATCTCTTGCTGTATACAAATCAAGCTGTTTCACAGTACCTTTATAGACGATATCAGATAAAAGCTTTATTAGATATTAAATTCATCTCAGCAACTTGTAATTGACCAAACCTACCTCAGTTATTTTGATATATTACTCTTCCAAGAACTGATTTAATCACCCCTTTTCACAGACCATTCCTATCGTCAGTGTTCTTGATCTTCCATTGTAACTTCTGAACCTCCGTTTCCTCATATACCCAATATGCCCTCTCCATACCCGGTTCTCGAAACCACCCCCTAACATCCTCCCCACTAACATCATTCCACCTCCAATAAGACGGGCCCAGAACAACGACCAGACAAAGCCTTCACAACAAGTCACATACACTTATTTCCCCGCACATCTGCCCTATCTCTCCGCTTAACCGATGAATCCCAATAAGCACCCAAATAATCATCCTGCACTTGAGAAAATTCGCCATTGGCAAAAGAACCCTCCTAGCCAGTCTATAATAGACCGTCTTATGAATTACAATAAACGAATACGTATCCCTCGTCAACTCATCCATACTACGCTGCGTACTCCTACCGACAAGCTGGCCAATGTATCCCTATGTTGCCTGAAATGATCTGGTCCTCTTTTGATGATCAAGTAATATCTTGAATCTTATATCCTTGTTTCAGAAATTTATGAGCTAGTGATGATTTATCTAAAACAATCATATGGCGTCATCGTAGTGCCTTGAACACCTGATCCCTCACAATTTATCCTAGTACGATTTGGATTCAAATTAGATTATAAGTATTAACCAGGTGAATATTTCCTCAATATGTCATAAAGACTAACAACGCAATGTACTACAAAGATACTTAATAACAAACACACTGAATCCCTAATCAAAACATCGCCCATATCCGCTGTAGATTAGATCTATCTGATAAGCAACCCGGAAAGACCCACCAACGAACTCTAACCGATTAAATTAAATCTCCGCCCCGCCGTCCCACCAACCACCTCCACCATTTAATCTCAATGTCAATCTGATCTCCAACACCACCTCAAAACCCCAACCATGCCAATCATACAATGACCCAACCACCACCCCCGACACACCCGCCAAATCCAACGACTCCAAAAATGCGGCCCCAGTTATCCCCCACCCTCCTAACAACTCTCTTCACCTCCCTCACCCGTCCCACCACAAAATGGACCCTCCACCGCACCCTCAAAAGCGACAACCCCCTCGACATAAACGGCGACCTCCACGGCACAGCAACCTTCACGCCCCTCCCCACCTCTAAGTCAAATACAAACCCAAGCACCAATACACAAAACCCACCCCCGCCATCAACACAAGACCTTCTCTACCACGAAGAAGGCGAAATGCCCGCCCCACCAGGTCTCCGCGCGAACCTCGGCGTCGGGGTGGGGCTGCGCTTCACGAAGAAATATATCTGGCGGTTAAGTGAGGCCGGGATTATCAGTGTTTGGTTTGCAAAGGTGGGGAACGGCGAGGATGGGCCGGATTATTTGTTCCATGAGTTTGAGTTCCGTGAGGAGGGTCAGAGTCCGGGGGAGGGTGATAAGGAGGGGGAGACGTTTGTGGATGCGCCGATGCCTCCGTTGGTGGATGGGGAGGATACGGTGGTTCTCAGGGCGAGGGGGAATCATCTTTGTATTAATGATATGTATCGCACTGCTTATGCTTTTCGGGTGAGGGGGGAGGGGGAGGTGGTTAGTTGGGCTAGTCGGCATGTTGTGAAGGGGCCGAAGAAGGATCAGGACATTGTTAATTTTTATCAGGTGGGTTGAGGGAGTGTTTGGGATCGAGGGAGACTTGTGGGTAGCCTCTGCAGTTGCGGATTGAGGGTTTATGTGGATACTAGACTGCCGTACGGAAATAGTATACGTTGTGATAAAAGTAGTAGGGACTCGAAGTATTGGTATGCCTTGCTTTCATTTCCGATTGAGCTGACTTTCTACAGACTATCATGCCCCGTTTCTCTTATCCATGACAGTCTTCAAGATCATTTCACAGTTAGGCTTCTTGGCCCAAGGGTCAACGCTCTGTTCAATTCCATCAAGTGTGACATTGACCATCTTGGCCCCTGGGGCATACAAAGGCCAGACATCTGTCCTATTATCCTGCTTTGGATTTCCTGCGGTAAACTTAAGGACCTCTGACTCAAATTGCCTGGCAAGAGAAACGTTCTCCACAGGCAATCCAGCTCCCTCTCTGTAGAAATAGTCTGTAGCCCGTCAGTATGCTTGCCACATAAGGCAATCAGATAATAGAAGAACATACAGGTCAAATCCAATCCATGAGTAGCCGGCGGCACCGAAAACAAATACCGTTGGGTTCTGTTCCCATAAGCCTTTGCCACGGCTCTCGCATTGCAGGCGAAAACTACATCAGTCGTCCAAGTGTTCGCAACCTGTTGTAGCTGCGAATCTGGGTAGGGATACATGTTTCGGATGCGCTGAACGGTAGAATTACTTGCTCCTGGAACTAGGCGTCGGACCAATGTGGCAAAGTCTTCGTACGTGCTGACTTCTGAAGTCATCCCAAATCCTTCCGCTGCCATGTTTCCAGACATTACCGCTTGAACATTCTTGTGGTAATGACCTTGTTGGAGCATGATGGGAACTGCATCAAGAAGGTATTTCCCGTCGGGGAACGGACCGATACCAATCCCTGGACCAAAGGTGCCTCCCCCCGAGCCACCGGGGAGGTCAAGGACTTTTTTATTCGTGGCGGCCAATGCGGATGGTGTTGCATTCCTAAGACAGGTGAGCGACGAGCAGTTCGCAGCTTGGAGTGCTTGGTCATAGACCTCCTGGCGACGCTCTGTTACGTTCCTTCTCGGCATGAGAGCAGGGGATGACAGAAATGCCTTTGCCCCAGTCAGTGAAAAGTCTGTATATTCGCAACATGGAGAAAGCGTACCTTCTGGAAAGGAAGTGTACCGTTCCCACCATTTCCTACGAGCATCATAGCAATCATCGCAGCTCCGGCGCTCTGTCCCCCGACAGTGATATTGTCAGGATCACCACCGAACCGAGAGACATACTTCTTCGTCCACTCCAACGCAGCAATGCCATCATGCAACCCCACATTGGCATCCATATCTTCATGCGCAGAGGATACCCACCCATACACCCCCATCCTGGAAGCACGATCAGCAACGCTCATAGTAAGCACCGGAACGAAAACACACCGATAATTACTCGCTACAAAGATGAATCGATTCTGCACCCCTTTAATTAAATCCATCAGACCAAACCCATCGCCGAACAAATCCTTACTTCCAAATGCGAACGCACTCCCGTGCAGCCAGTGTAGAACCGGTACATTGTCCCCCTCACGCACACCCTCCGGCACCCACACATTCAGGAAAAGACAGTCCTCCTGCCCCCAGGTGGTCCCGTTAATTCCCGGAAAGGGAGCTTGCGAATTCACACTGCTGACACAATCACTTGTTGTGAGTCGATCTCGACCATCCTGGATGCCGTCTTCGTGGGATGGTGGAGTGACTGGTTTACGGAAGCGGTGGGCTCCGGTGGGTGGCTGCGCGAAGCGGATGTTGTTGTATAGACCGATTTTGGTGCCAGATTCGGTGGTGTTGATGAAGGTTGGGGTGTGATTAGCATAGCCCAGGTCTATCTGGGGGAAGGTTTGGGCGGTGATGGTGGGGAGAAGGCAGGAGATTGTGCTTAGGAATAGAAGTATATTTGAGTACATTGTAGACTTATACGCATGTCTAGTGTTGGTTCTTCTAAAGGTGTATGTATTGATGGAGGGCTAGGGTGTTCATAGTATTGGAATTACCTCTTTTATAGTTCATGGGAACTTCCCGATAAGGTTGGTTTCGTACTCGCTTGACTTGAAGTGAGTGGATCCCTCGTATAAAAGGCGCATGAATACTAGGCTCGGTTGATCGACATCAGTTCATGCTTATTCGACAAGCCGACATTAGGTTTGAGAATAAACGGGAAGTTCGTATCGGGCCACAGGTCCATGGTTTGCAATTGTCGTTCAACCACTTCTGAACCAAATAAAAGGGATCCTCATCAATCGAGCGGGGCACCATGACACTTCGGTAGCTCGTATTATGGAACACATGCTCATCCATATACGTTCAGCTAGCCTGATATATCCAGTAAATTCTGGGCATACGCAATAGTACTGAAGAATCCGACACTGTTGACGAGTAACCTTGCTGTGGTGACCATGTTCGTTCCTTATACTATTAAGGGTACGTGAAGTGCTAAGTAGCTGCCGGTCTTGTAGCTACAGCTTCACTCTCTCCGTTCAATTCTTCTTACTTATCTTCTTTCGTTTTCTGGTTCTGCTTTCACGTAGGAATCTCAACCCATACTACTCAACCTAGGGTATAAGAGGCCTAACCAATCCCGGGAAAAGATGACATCTTCCCCTCACTTTCCCAAGAAGCGGGGCAACCACATCAGTGGGTGTGTATAAAGTAAAGGTAAGACAAGGACGTCTTTCGGTCCATTCATCCTCTTGTAAATCATCCAACTAACTGTTATAGAAACATTGAAATGCCTCGAGTAGCTATTGTCACCGGCTCAGCGCGTGGGATGTAAGTAACATCCTCCCGGTATCTGTTCTGGTAGAGTTAGTGTTGAACATATCCCAGTGGAAAGGCGATTGCCCTCCGTCTTGCAAGAGATGGCTATTCAGTTTGCATTAACGATATCCCCGGTGCCAAGGATGAAATCGCCGCAGTCGTTGATGGAATCAATGCCACGAGCACCCAAGAAGCAACATCTTCTTCTTCTCGTTCCCGGGCAATCGGTATAGCCGCTGATGTGACCTCAACATCCGCGGTGGAAGAGATGGTCCGAGAAACAGTGGAAAAGCTGGGTCCATTGACCCTGATGGTTGCGAACGCGGGCATCGCCCAAATCAAACAACTTCTCAACGTCACTGAAGCCGATATTGACGCGGTATTTTCGGTAAACTTCAAGGGTGTGTTCAACTGCTACACCCACGCGGCCCGCCAGATGATCGCGCAGGGTGATCCGCAATCTGCTGCCGGGGTCGGGGTGTATAAGATTGTCGGAGCCTCGTCTATCGTCGGATTCAGAGCGTTTGGGGCGCTGGGGATTTATTCGGCCAGTAAGTGGGCGGTTCGGGGTTTGACGCAGGCGATGGCGACAGAGATGGCACCACACAAGATTACGGTGAACGCATATGCGCCAGGGGTGGTGGGAACGGCCATGTGGGATAAAATTGACGAGGAGTTGGGCACGATTGAGGGCCGTGCGAAGGGGGAAACGCAAGAGGTTTACTCGAATAAGGCGGCCCTGGGGCGAACGAGTGAGCCGGAGGATGTGGCTGGATTGGTTGGAGGGTTCCTGGCGAGTCAGGACTCGGATTTTGTGACAGGGCAGACGATGTTGGTTGATGGCGGCATCGTTTTTACTTAGATCGCTTTCTATTGCTATGACTTGCCAAAGTAACAGCTTATTTTCACTTATGAGAAATCCACATTTCCCCATTTCTTGCGTGCTCACATCCCAAGCAGTGAATTGGATATCTGCTCGGCAGTAACCCTAACTGGCGCATCATACCGAACGGGCAAAAAGAGATGATGATTAAAGCAATATCAAGACAGTTAATGTATGCATGATAAGCCAGAACACCCAACCACCATACGTCCTCCTTTAGTCTCCGAACTCGTGGAAGTGGGCTTCCAGTATAACCAACTTGATGCAAAACAAAAGCAAACTCGACTGCTCATCATACTCCCTTATAAAAACTGAAATGTCCCCGTGAAAGGTTCCCTCCAGATTGTAGGAGATGTATCTTGTGCTTAATGTCATATCAAATAGAAGGATTTGTATCATATTGTGTATCTATAAGGGGCCTTTACGACTCGAAATCATAATTATTAAACTTTTCTCAGAAATGATTCCAGTCACTGCGATCGCAGTTTAGCCATGAAACTCTTGTCAAATGACCAGGGGTGAGCCATGCCCTCCACATTTAGATTTATCATACGTTCACCCACCTCTTGTGCTTTCGTTCATTTTCTATATTGTACTGCCGGCCGAGAAATTGTTTGATGAAGCCTTGTTGGGCCGTCTTCCGGTTGACCTCGTCGCCCTGGTTTGCTTCTGGTAATCCTTGTCATCCGAATTGCCTCTCTCTTAATCCTGTCATGGGAGAACTGGGACCGCAAAACACCGAAAGAAAGCCAACAGCAATGGTTGGGAATGGCGTTGAAATACCGCTAACAGTATGAATCCAACTCCCATCATCGAGAGTCTTGCAACTTTCCCTGCAGAGGTCTAACTCCATAAAATGCGACCACAGAAAGAGGTCCATGACCCGCCACAAGTCGACTATAAGCCGGGAATGTATCACAGCTCTCCCAAATCCCCGCCCAGCACCTCCCGGGCTTTGACAACACCAAAAAGATACAATTCCAGGAACTAGAACCTCCACTGGCTCACCAAAATAGCAAAAACCAAATATGGCGTCGCCGCTATCACCAAGACCACACAGAACAAGTAAAAGAGTCGGCGCTTGACGTTGCGTGACCACCAACGCTGGGTGCCGTCGGGGCGGATCGTATTGCGTGGATCAAATTCTAACCCTCGGGGTTCGGCTGACTCAAAGGCAGCTTCTTCATCATAGGGCGTATCTGAGTAGGAGGAAGGTTGCGTTTCTGAATATGGTGGGGGAGGGGGAAGGTCCTGGGTTGCGTTAGAGGGGGTCATGTGGGATGGGGTGGGGGCGGTTTACTTTGAGTTGGATCATGGTGGTCGATCGGTTCTTGGGGGTGGCAGAGGTTCCGAGGAAAAGGTTCTAGAGGTTGGTGCCTCAGGGAGGAAGGTGATTATATACGCTGGGGTGGATATTTTAAGATTTGTTGACTATGCAGGGGTCGTGTTCGGATTACGGCAGATTCAGCCTCACGGCGGGCGATTGGGGCTGTGGTGTTTCGTGTGAGGGCAATGAAAATGTAACATGACCACGTAGATGATGGAACCCGTTGGTAGTTATTGTGGGAGATCTTAGATAAGACTAAGGTACTACTAGTAGTAGTTAAGTCATCTTGCAGTATGTGCTTAGCTCTCTTGTGATAACTTGCAGGAAATAGCTCCATGATTACTTCATATCAGGTATAGTTTGTTGAAGGGTGTAACAATTAGGGCTAGTTTAGAATAAGGATATCAAGATTATTAGAAATGTTTTACTATCAGTGCGAATAATCGCTGAACCCTAAAATTAGTATTCACTAAGCAGAAATCACAACTTCCGGCATCCGAGCAGTGAAAGAACAGTGTCAAGCAAGCCCCACCCTTTGGGGACGGACGGGAACTTCCGTTACTCCAAGCTTTAAGCCTTATGGCTATTGGCCTCAGGATAAAGAAAGACCCGACTACCTCCGTACCCGACACACATTCCGGGGTACACAGCACGTGCTCAAGTTACAACCCCTTTTAATAAAATAAAAAAAGACACTAAGCACTGTCGGCAATTCTATACACGCTAAGTTGACTAGGGAGGCCAGAGAACTTCACCAAACCATCCACCCACGTGGGCAACTTGAGCCAACACGATCGGTCTACAGCAAAATAGAATTAATCGCATATAGCGATACGAGCACGGGGAATGGCCGTCTTTCGCTTATCATAGTGGACATCATGGCTTTTCGGACAACAACAATGGCCCCCCACGTGCCTATATACCCAGAAGCGACTGGTGGTCTAGGTCCTAATGAAGGTTTAGATCAAATAAAGCAGCGATTATGTGTGTTTGCTCAATAACAACCCTTCGGAACTACCGGCATCTATGTCTAGCAACGACTATAACATGGCGTCTATAAAGCCAGCTTGCCTTGCCATGTTTGGGAATGGTTCACGATTGTGCCTACTATTGTTTCCTTGGGGTTTGGTCGGGTGAACGCATCCTCCCGACGCTTCACCATGAAGGACATGCTTTTGGCACTCCCGCTGATTACCGCCTCTTGGGTGGGTGTTACTGCGGCTAGTTCAGAAAGATCCACTGGCACAACACAGCCGAATTGGTTCCAGACATCGCCTGAGAGTTACCAAGGTGGGTTACAGACTCAGGAAATGGTTCTTATAGAGCCTTCGGTTAAGCAATCCCAGGTCCAACTGCCACCGGCTCTGCGCCTTTCCTTGCAGAAACGAACCCAGCATTCTCCAGCCACGGGACATATATTGCCAATGACCCTTTGGTGACAGATCAACCTATCTCGGGAGCACAAGGGCGCAATGTCTTCCACCATGCAGGCAATTTAAGGTATGTAATTGAAAAGCACACGTCGCCTAGTGATACAAAAACATCAAAATCTCACGGTGCAATATAGTCCATATTTCTCCTCAGAAGATGGCTTTGGGGTCGACGAATATCCCCTTCCGGCTGGGGCAAACATTACCCAGATGCATATGCTTCACCGACACGGTTCTCGCTACCCTTCTTCGTCGGAAGGGTTTCCGTCCTGGGCTGAGGGGATCAAGAACTCTACCACTGCCGGCAACCGCTTCAAGGGCGCTCTATCATTCCTCAATGAGTGGAGCTATGGCCTTGGAGCTGAGATCCTTGTTCCGAAGGGTCGCCAAGAGCTGTTTGATAGCGGTGTCCTTAACTACTACAACTATGGACATCTTTACAACGAAAGCCTTGGTCATAAGCTAGTGGCACGCACCACAACGCAGGATCGCATGCTGAAATCTGCAGAGAACTTCCTAGCTGGCTTCTTCGGCCTGAATTGGACTGACAAGGCCAACCTACTAGCAATAATTGAAAACGTGGGGTTCAATAACTCTCTTGTTGGAACATATTCCTGCACCAATGCTATGACCGTGATGGCCAACACATCAATCTATGAACCCATGAATCAATGGGTCAATATATATCTCAAGAATCGGGCTACAGTGTTGAAAGAGCTTTCCGGGTCCTATAACTGGACCGCTACTGATTCACATAATGCTCAGGCTCTCTGCTTATACGAGACGATTAGCTATGGCTACAGCCAATTCTGCCAGCTCTTTACCTATGAAGAGTTTGAGCAATTCGGCTACTCGTATGATCTCATGTTTACTGCCATGGTTGGATTTCAAAACCCAGCTGGACGTGCCCAGGGAATCGCGTGGGTAGAGGAATTCCTCGCCCGAGTGGAAGGCCATGTCCTGCAGACAACCGGCACAAATGCCAACATGACTCTGGCTACGAACCCAGTTACGTTTCCGGTGGATCAAAACCTCTACCTTGACTTCACACATGATGCCGATATCTTCGCGGCTCTCACAGCATTCGGCTTCAGACAATTTGCTCAGTTTTTGCCTCCCACAGGACCTCCGAGAAATCAGCAATTTTCCACCAGCAAAGTTGTTCCCTTCGGTGGCCGCACAAACATTGAGATTATACGGGCGCCTCATAAAGTATCAACGGAGCGATCCCGAAACGAAACCCAGAGTGTCTACGTGAAAGACACGAAAGCCACCTATTATGTTCATTTCCTTCAAAATCAGCGAACACTCCCTCTTCATGCCAGCTTCCCTGAGTGCGAATATCGCGACGATGGATGGTGTGAGCTTGACACATTCCTGAAGGTACAAAGAAAAAGCTTGGAGCGGTCCCAGTTCGAGTATGCGTGCTTTGGAAATTGGAGTACTCCGGCTTATGGGGATGTTACAGACGGGGTGCCTCCGCGGTCCTGAGGATGTCTTCCGTTGACCTTTCATGTTACATACTGTATTATAAAGACTATAAGAGATAGGTGCGGGTCAGAGTTGAAAAAGACCACGCAAATAGAAATGAGACAAAGTATACGATTGAAGTGTTTGGCTGATATACCCCGTCTCGGTAGAACAAGAATCATATCATGCCTAACTCATGGGTGATTCACGCGTGTCGAACAGATATCGGAATGTATATCATTTAGCAACATCTAGTGCCATATAGAGGGACTTGATATCATCCACGTGGTTGACCCATGGCTTAACCCTGATAATGGGTAGGACTCGTAAGCCACACAATTCCCTCGTCCGCAGGCGATAGTCTACTCAGTACTTTGAACTTCGTAAATTATATGACAGGGTCCGGCATTCAAGCAGGAGCCCCAGACAAAATTTAACCGGATACTTTACCTACTAATGCATATATTATTTAAAAATTATCAATAGTTTATTTAGCAATGCTTGATATCTAGTCAAGCAATCTAGGTATAATAATGATAGTAGAAGCAGCTGATTGGTTGTCGCCTCGTGTTGGGGTGAAACTGGTTGCCTACCATCGTCATTATTGGCATCTTCAAAATTCACCACGACATGGAAATCGGACTTGACACAAGACACAAGTCATTCAATCAGCACAAGGATGGAGCATACATTTCAGTTAGCACGTTTCCAGACGAGCGTTCCGTCACACCACTCGTCCGTTCCTAGAGTCCAGATAGAGCCACACCGCATTAAACGACCTCATACAAAATCGCGTCATGGCTGCTTCAACTGCAAGGCCCGAAGAGTCAAAGTATCTAAATCCTGTCTCAATGTACTCTGAAGACTGCAAGACTGACATATCTACAAGTGTCAAGAAACGCAGCCTCACCCTTGTGCCAACTGCATCGGCCGGAACATGCTGTGTATATACCCTTCAAAAGACCAATCGCTGCGTCGTCGACATGCCAGTCCACTTGGTGGCCACTATAGACGACAGCCGCCAAGGAGCCATGCCTCTTCGTCAAGTTACGCTACAACACCATCGTCTTCAACCGAGTCAGCAGTGGCATTGAGCTCACAGCAGTCTGTAGTACCTCACACCTTCACTGCGGACGACTTACGATTCTTTCATCATTTCTTGATAGCTGCATATCCGCATCTCCCATTTGGAAGTGAGGACCTATGGAAGACGAGCCTTCCGGCTTCTGCGCACGAGGTTAGCCTTCTTGCCCAGTGGACTGCTTTTGTAGAATAGAGCGAAACTAATCCGACAACGGCAGTGCCCACATCTAATGCACGCAATCCTATGTTTAGGAGCCACGCATCTCTCCTTAGTCACACCAGATGGAAGTAGATATACAACTCTAGCTGTCACCCACCGAGGCCAGGCGCTGAGAACGCTAGGTAACGAGTTAGCCAAAGGAGACCAATGCAGCAAAACCGAGCTGGATCTCATGCTCGCAACAGTATACGCGCTCACATTCCAGGCCAACTATATGGCAGACGGATTATTTGATTTCGCCATCATGGTCCGAGGTTGCGGTATCATAACACGGCGGATCCTGAACAAATACAAAAGAAGCGATATGTTCACATTGCTCACATCAGATGTTATCATTACCGACATCGTGCCACAACTTCCTCACACGCCATATGCCGACACCGAGGATCTGAACAGATCTATCGAGACATTGCAAAGCATCGAACCATTGTTAGTGAGCAATGGTCACCGCAATGCTTACAGAGCTTTATTGGATACGTATCACGCATTGAAATCTTCGGCGCGCGACGGCTTTGTTGCTTTTACGGGGTTCTATGATGACTGGGGGAGAATGAGTAATCGGGAGTTTATGGAGTTTCTGGATCCGGGGAATTATGTCTCGCGTCTTTTGTTTTTGCATTATGTGGTGGTGTCGATTATGTTGCGGCCGGTGTTTTGGGTTCTGAGGAAACCGAGATTGTTGGTGTGTCCGAAGGATGAGCTGCCGCTGTTGCAGAGGGGTGTTTATATTCATGAGTGCTTGCCTTCTGAGGTACGTGGGTTGGTAGAGTGGCAGTTTCGTTTTATCACCTTGGATAGGGCTTCGATTGAAGATCCAGGCTTGAGATCGTCTGTGATGGAGGACCCATCTGAATTGAATATGGTATAGATTGCAAGATGGTTGTATTAGATTGACACAATGTTCACTATCAAAACGAATATAGGACAATGTCAAACAAAAGAAAACCACTAGACGAAAAGGAAAAAGCTCTAGGATATCAAAGATCAAACACGAATGCCACGCAGTCTAACAGCATCGTCACCATCTACATCACCATCTAACCCACACAATCAAGCAACTACTTCGACCTCGCACTAAGTCCAACCGGAAGCCACCTAGCGGGATGATACCAACCCAGAACCATCATCGCAATCAACATCGGCACGGCCTCAAGGACATACAACGGCCACTCATGAGTCCAGGTATAGGTATCCATACCCATACAGAACTCAATAACTCGATAGATCAACCGAATCTGACACATACAACGATACCATTAGTACCCTTCCCAGAACCAACAGAAAGTATAGGGAAAAAAAAGAGAAAAAGAAATATACTAACCGTAATGAACCCCCCAGCCACATAAATCCCATTCAAAACCGACCTCACCCCAGACTCGACCTCCCCAGCAGCAGAGGACCTCCGATCGAACCAAACCACGACCACTAGAAAAAACCCAAAAGTAACAAGCTGCAACACCAACCCGGCAATAAGCACCCCAACCCCAATATCTTTCTCCTTCCCTACCCAATCATTCGAGGAAGCAATCCCGCTCCCAGCCGCCTGCGTCAGGAAACTAACGACATCTGACGTAACAAAGACACGGGGGATCCAAGACGGTGAGAATCTCCCGAACAGCAGTACCGGGTTCTTCGTCTCGGTGTTGGGGCTAGAAGCAGCACAACCGCCAGCGGACCGGATCAATCGCCCGATCAGGATGTAGAGGCTTGCACAAACGAGGACGGGGGCGATCACGATTAAAGTTGCGGAGGTAGCGTAGAGGCCGATGTTGTCTTGTTGCTTTACGCTGGCGGCTCGGATGGCGTAGGCGGCGACTTCTGTTGCGGCGCCGATGGCGATGGGGATGAAGTAACTTACTTTGTGGTGGTGGCCTGTGTAGGGAGCGATGAAGGATAGGTAGGTGTGATAGGTTAAGGGGAGGGTGTAGAGGATTGTGAAGAGGATTGAGGCGGCTAGGGATGGGTTGTAGAAGTAGATTGAGGTGCCCATTTTTTGGGGTAGAAAAGATATGGTAAATGTAGTTCAAGGTCTCCTCTCTTGAAATCCAAGTATAATCTGATAATTCCACTCTTGTAACTCATGCAACCCTTTATATCCCAATTTTCATAGTATACAAGATATTCATACATCTGAACGAATCACCCAACCCACTAATGACATCGGAGCAAAACTCCCAAACTTCATGATAGGTGGACCTCGTATTCGCACCTCGCATTTTCCTTGCTCTAAGCCTTGCTAAACTCAACCAACTATTCTAATAGGTCCATTCGATCGTTGCCTGAAGCTACGTATCTGTTAGTTATACTAACCATGGACCCACCGGTAAATAAGCTCTCGGAGCGAACGGGCGTGGAACGAATCCGGGTCTTGGCAAGATTACTGTATTGAGTAAAGTGGGACTGCTTACAAAGTGACTTTTCCTCTTGTGATGTCATTGTAAGTATGAAAAGATGTTTCTTAAGCTATAGACCACATGACATGCCTGGGCTTACTGTGGTAACCCTATCCCTCCACTCCTACACTCCGACATATTCATCACATAAAGCAACCTTGAACTACAGAGTATCATGGCGGAGAGCGCTGGAGATTCAGCACCAAGTGCTGGCCGAAATTCCCTTAATCATCCAAACCGGGTCGTCTTACGACTCCGTGGAAGCGACTTCCTCCTTAACTTTTGCGTTGAAGAGTAAGATGATGCCGTTCGAGCATAGTATTTGGTGTCTTCAGGGCGTTCAGTCAATGAGCTTAAGCAAAATATTCACAGCGTATATCAAGAACATTCTTTGGTGCTGGGGTATTTCTATATAACAATTGATCTCCACAAGGACCTACTCAGGAACCCTGACCTGAAAGAAGTACAGCACGAACTCCACCGTATTCGCCGGGCCGAGGACGGTACAATGTATGGATATTGCATACTTTTTATCTTCTGACAGTTTGGCTAATATGTATATAGGTCAGCCCGCACGATTCAAAACCCAGTTAAAGAGCAGAGCATGCTACGAAACTTCGTTGCCTCTTTCCCTCTTCCAGGCCATTAGCAACCACTAAAACTTCAATCGCTAGTCCGCTAGGTTCTCTCCGACACATAGCATGCATCTGTGCTATATACTGCGGGAATATATATATGTACTTGCATGTACCGTGTGTTGATTATATCAGCTACTTCTGGAGTCCACGTCGACCATCTCTTCTTCTTGCGATGCAACATCTCTCCAGCCACAAGGGTTATAAAATGACTCCCATTGTTTGTGTACAACTCCTCGGGACCATCCAAAACTTGGTGCAATCTTTCCTTTGAACATGCGCATGGGTGGTATGCAATACCGCCGGTATAAAGACAACCCCTTACCTGCGGGACTCTCGAAATATTACTAAGTTGAATTTCAAAGAACAGCAACTTTTATCAGCAAATAAAGAGCTTAACTGCTTGGTGAAGATCTAAAGAACTAAGACTAGATGACCAATTATGCCATGTAGAACACGAGGCTATCTCGGAGTAACAAATCAATCAATGGCCCGCTGAGGATCGACAAGATCGACGAAACAACACAAGGCCTGTAAGAGTAGGCAACAAGAGCGCCCTTGACCGTATGTGCCACTAGAAAATAAATTATATCAAGCGAAATAGTAATATGATATAATTAAATGAAGTTAATCTAGACTTTACCTTCAACTTCAAACTGTGAACCTGAGCCTTTTATGAGGTTTATCTCATTTCATATCCCTACATTGCTAGCCATTTGGGGGCCAAATGCAAAGGTTCGTGGCATGTATTTTGTCTCACTCTTCACTTAGGCTATGGATTCAATTGACACCGCTTATGGGATCGAGAAGGCGCCATTGTAGGATGTTATATTGTCCGATTAGAACTCATTGACATATAGCCAGTTGGGCTCATGGGGGTGAAAAACCTCGCTGGGGTAGTCGTACACACAGTCCAGTACCCAACGGACGATCGGCATTGTGATGATCTTTTATTGGCCATCGCTGAACTTTACTATATCTGACCCAAGCACAGCCTCACCAAGGGATGAGAATATGTTAGGCCTCTATTGCGTTCCCCAGACCTTCATTACACACCCATCTCTCATGTATCCGGGCCGCTTTCCCACACAACACCATGGACCTGGACGATGAATCCCACAAAATGATAGATTTGCTCGAAAGTAAAAAAATGTCCGACCAAAGCGACAACGAATGCGAGTCGCAATTCCCTGTAAAAGTTCACAGATCCTTTCGAACGCGGATAGCCGAGTGGTATTCTGGATGGAGATTCACTCTTGCATTGGCATCATTTGCGAGCATCATCGTCCTGGCATTTAATCTCGGGTTTGTTATATGGGCTGCTGCGCACCATAAAGTAGAAAAAAGTCGGGGCACTTTGCACGAGGGAAATTGTGAGAAAGTACAACATATGAGTACGGGCTTGCATTTCGCTATCAATATTCTCAGTACGAGTCTATTGGGTGCAAGCAACTACTGCATGGTCTGTGGAGGCCTTCTCGCTTCTCCATACACAGCTTGGTTTGCTGAGTATCTCTATAGCAATGTTTATGCGCACCGACCCGGAAAGATATAGACCGTGCCCACAGGAAGGGCAGATGGCTCGACATAGGTGTGCCCAGTATCCGGAATCTGCGACAGGTATCCCGAACACGCGCGATTTTGTGGTTGTGCTTGGTTCTGTCATCTCTGCCACTCCATCTAGTGTAAGGCTGCCCCCACGCCGACTGGTCTTTCAACTCTACATGTACCAATCCACATCCTAGGTACAACTCGACCATATTTGCCATTACCTCAGCCAACTCGTACTGGGTATTTACTGCACCAGAGGGCTTTGTGAAACAGGATGTGCAGAATATCACTTCTGACAAGGGAGACACTATCAATGACGCCTTAAGCCGCCTGCGTGCCGAAGCGCAGAATGGAACCCTTCAGCGCCTCGAAATCTCTCAGTGTGTTAATGCATATGCGACAGACTTCCAGACTACCTATGGGAGCTTAATACTGGTGACAAACGATACCGGTCAACTAGATCAGTACCAGTCAATCGCACAGCAAACCACCTTTTTGCCGGAAGAGAACCTCCGAACTTCCGCTTCAGACCCGTATAAGTGGATCTGCTCAGCACAGGCAGAGGCAAAAGATCATACTTGTAGTCAACTTCTTTCAGATGTCAAGGACCAAGTTTCCAAGAACAGTTGGTACGTGGATCGTTACCGAGTCGCATACTGTCTTGCGGAGCGACCACCACAACGTTGCAAGCTAGAATACAGCCTCCCATTAGCGATCATCGTGATTGTCTTCAACTTGGTTAAGGCCATCATAATTGGATACACCGCTGCAAGTGCCACGAAAAAGCCTATCCTGACGACAGGAGATGCCGTCGTTTCTTTCATGCTGAAACCCGACGAGTTTACACGGGGTCAATGCCTCCTCACCAGAGAATCCGTGAAGACGCGCCGCTGCCGACCGAGCTACAAGTCATCCATGTTCAATCGCACGCCAAAGCGATGGCACGCAGCTGTCTCAGGCAGGCGCTACCTCCTTGGACTTGTCTCGTAGGTGCTTCCCTTACCCTTCTGCATCTCTCCCGAGTGTGTACTGATCGGAAGGCACCAGATATACCGTCGCCATCGTCATCTGCATCGGCCTTCTTATATTCGGAGTTCTGAGTATGAGGGACAAATCGAACACCTGGACGATGGGTCTCGGTGCGATCAACACTCAGACCCTCATCACAGGGACCAGATGGGTGACGTCGCTCATTTCCAACGTGCTCGTCGCCAACACGCCGCAACTACTCTTCTCCATCATCTACTTCACCTTCAACGCCATCTTCACCGCCATGACCCTTGCCGCGGAATGGAGCCGATACGCCAACCACCGCAAGGGTCTGCGTGTCTCCGGTCCCCCCGACGTCGCCCAACGCAGCAGCTACTTCCTCTCCCTCCCCTACCGCTTCGCCGTGCCCGCATTGACCTTCTCCGCCCTTCTCCACTGGCTCCTCTCGCAGAGCCTGTTTGTGGTCGGGATTGAATCGTACACTGGCAACCTACAACGGGACCCCACGCGGGATTTTATTACATGCGGATACTCTCCCCCGGCTATCTTGAGTGCCATTCTGGTGGGGGTGGTGATGGTGGTCTGGCTGGTCGGGTTTAGTTTCAGGCGCTTGGAGTCCGGCATGCCCGTTGCGGGAAGTTGTAGTCTGGCTATTGCGGCGGCTTGTCATCCCACGTTGAGCCTTCAGGGGGATGAGTATGTGGAGGGGGAAGGGAAGTTGGGCGCGGAACAGATGAGGTTGCAGTGGGGGGTGACCTCTGTCGATGCGGACGGGGAGGGACATTGTAGCTTCTCGAGTGAGAAGGTGGGAGTACCGGAAGATGGGAAAATCTACCGGTGATGATGATGGTGAATTAATGTATTTATATGACGTTATGAAGTAGACATGCACCAATTGAGTCTTTTGTTCTCGTATTTGTTGCGCCTCGACACCTACATTCTTTGCATGGAGAACAAAGATCTGAAACATATTCCTAACGGCCATGAAACCCATTGTTTTTGGGTTCCACTGCTGCTATGCCAAGAGATAGTACGATTTACACCTCCTATGGTCGAGGGCCAAAGAGGTCGTATGCTCATTTTTGTCGGGAGGGGGGCCCCAAGTCCAAGTCCATTGCCCTGTAGATTAGCAAAAATATTATCGCGAGTCAAGAAGTGCAAAATAATATAAAAATTGCGTTGTAGTGATCGAGCTTTCGGCTGTGTTCGGCATATATTCGGGCTAATTATGCCATTTTTGTTTAGCCTATTTTCTTCAGAGATATATTAGTATTTCGCACGGGTACCCTACCTAGGTTAGTAATAAGAATACGGAGTAAAAAAACGGTTGAATTCGGCCATTGTAAAACCTAGAAAATTAGGAGGTAACACGGAGGCGCGATAGTACAATTCAATATTGCCCGGATAAACAGTCCACCGATAGTCACCGTTGTAACTCGAGCGGCAGATGAAACTCGCACGAGAGCCGGCGAACCAGTGTCGTGTCAAACTTGGAGCCTAGTGACACATTCCCCCCAGCGATATCCCTTGCGTGACGGATCAAGAGGTTTATCGAAGATCAGGAACCATGTGTGGACGATCCGTGGATCCCAAGAGGGTTAAGGTTACTCGACAGGCACGAGCCAAAAATAAAAATCCAAGACAACCTGATAATAGATATACTTAGTATACACTACCGATGCACCTGTTCAGAAGTGAAGACGACGCTAGGGCTAGTGTTGGGGTGTCTCAAAAGATTGAGTATAATTTCCGCTCTACCCCCGCTTCTTGATGGATTTCATTTGCCTGGTGCTTCTGCTGGGGATCGGTGCTTTTTGGTCTGTTGCTAATTTCCCTCGGCTAAGCGTGTGGAGCCACGGGATTATTGGGAAATAGTTGCATGGGATGGGTCATTGTGACATGACCAACGGCGACGCATCCGGCAGCACCACGACGCAAGCGGTTTGGTTGTAACCCAAGAACTTGGCGGAGAGTCTGAACATTCCTGGGATCGGGAGTTGCAGAGTGAGCTGTCAATTGATGTCAGTGATCATGAGCTCAGTTAGGATTTTTAGGGTGTGAGGTAAGGGGAGTCGATCTTCTTGCTTATCTTCTTCCCATTTCCTGGTTTCCGTTCGATTGGGTTCTCAAGGGATTATCCACGATAGACATGTATGTATGTATGTATGTATGTATGTATATATGTATATGTGGGTGTAGAACATATTAGTCGACAGGTGGGAAGAATAGGCAGAAGTATGATATGATTCTGGGGTATTACTAGTTTGTTCCAATACTTTGTAGAATTCGAAGAAAAAAAGTCAAAAAGGCAGTGATTTGGGCGTCCTCAGGCCGCAAGCGGAATAGCTCGGTGGAGTGATTTTTTTTGTCTGGACTCTTTTTCCTTTCCTTCTGGACCCTCTTTGACTCGACCTCCGTAACTCACTTTCCCTTTTCCCTTTCCTAATCTCGCTCTTCCATTCCTTCTTCCTCCTTCTCCTCCACTTTTCTTCATACCGCACCCTCGTTTATTCATTGTTCCTCCCCCCTCATGACCACTTACTTCTCCGGGAGGTGACTTCATAGTAATATAACTCCTGTGTCCTTCGTTCTCTCACCGTCTGAACCCTTCCGAATCCCCCGCTCTCGCTTCTTTCGACTTTCGCTTCTTTCCTATATAGATATGGTGGGCCGCCTGTTCCTGTAAGGTTTACGTCTACTCCGACGGCGTCCACTACAATTTTTCCACTCGTCACCGTCACCATGGCACGTTGGCCATTGGCCTGGACTGCCAATGTCCCCTCGACATCGCGACTCTTTCACCTCCTCCTGATCACTCTCGTTCTTTCGCTTTCCGCCCGTGCCGACGATGACACCACTCTGATACCTACCGCCGCATCGGATAGTTTCCCGTCGTGCGCGCTTAGTTGCTCCATTCTTCAACAAGCCCAGACTGGCTGTGTGCCCCCGACGGCTCAAACGAGCGACCGCTCGACCTATGTCTCTTGCTTTTGCCAGTCGTCGTTGATCTCTCAGCTCCATAATTCCGCGGACGGGACATGCGCCGACACCTGCACTAGCGCTGATGACCGCACAAAATTGCAAACATGGTATAGCGACTTTTGCTCATCCGGAGGCCAAAACAAGGGTACTGCTGCATCAGAAAGCAGTGCCGCGGCGTCGCCCTCAACATCAACATCGGCGTCTACCGCCAAATCACAAAATACCTATCCCGCTCCAAAATCCTGGTATGCAACTGGCGGATTGTATTTTCCGCGCCCTTTGTCACTCCCGTGCTGACTTTTCTAGGTGGTCGACACATTACCAATGGGTTATCATGGTAATTGTTCTTGCTGTTGGATTCACTGCAATTGCGATCGTGGGAGTGTGGCTCAAGCGCCGCCACGATGCGAAATATCCCAACCTCTACCACGCGGGGAGCGGTAGCAACAGCGGCAGCAACAGTGGGCTTCTTTATAACCGCGGTCAAAACACCAGTCCTGGCCCAAAGCAGCCGGGCCAATTTATGCCGGCTCCAAGCCCAGTGAGCCATGATGATTATGCTAACACAGATTCCGTGGCCAGTAGCTCTCGCACCGAAGTTGCCGCTCCTGGACCTCGTCCATCACGTCTCCAAAGGACCCCGCAGCCCGCGGATGTAGGCGATATTGAAACTCGCGAAGTAACCCGGTGACGGTTGGGGCGACGTTGTTTCACCATATCCACTCTTTCCCAAGCAGAGCGTACTCGAACACGGCATCTAGTGCATTCTCCAACTGGGCCGTTGCATAGAGCCAAACTCCCCAGGCACAATGTAATGCCTCCAATCCGTCTATTTCAACATGTTTCATCGATGCTCGCTCCTGCTAATCTCGCATATGTATCCGGCGTTTTTGCGTGTTCGGCTGGCTTTTCCCTTTTCTTCCTTTCTTACTACTACCTGGGACCAATCTCGTACAAAGTTTCCGTACATGATACCATATGGGGTGTGCATGTCTTCTGAGCTGCGTTGCATGGCTTTGGCAGAACATAGTAATTTTCTTCCTCCGTGGAGGGTGGATCATCTTTCTTTCGTCGCTTATATTTGCCTGGACATGTTTTTTTTTCCTTCATGATGTCTCCTCCATCTCACCCAGCATGAGATCAATGAATTGCTTGCCTGGATGTGACATGTTGCCGGCTGACCGTGTAAATTAGGTATAGGTGCCCGCAGTACAGGACCCTTAATGTAATTTTGCTAGATCCCACAAGATATCTTACATGGTTCCAACAACCAGTCTTACAAATTCATCTGAGATATATAATTTCTTCGGCACAAAAAAGTAAGAAATGACAATACCACGCTACCATGCGAAAGCAACAAAAGAAAATCCCCCCACAATCAAGACACAGTGATGCTCACAATCTTGATATCCTGCTCGGGCTTCTCCTTAAACGTCTTCGTATTCTCGATCTTATGCACGACATCTAATCCCTGCACGGCTCGCCCGAAAACAGTATGTTTGTTATCCAACCACGGCGTCTTCTCCGTCGTAATAAAGAATTGACTGCCATTGGTATTTGGTCCAGCATTAGCCATGGACAAAGTATACGGTTTATCGTGCTTCAAACTGGAGAATTCGTCCTCGAACTCCCCACCCCAGATCGATTCACCGCCTGTACCGTCGCCCAATGGGTCTCCACCCTGGATCATGAACTTGCGGATCACACGGTGGAAAATGGTATTGTTATAGTAGCCATTGCGGGCATGGGTGACGAAGTTCTCGACAGCCTTGGGCGCGGCAGACGGGAACAGCCGGAGATGGATATCGCCCATGGTAGTGTGCAGGATAGCGGAAGTGCCCAGTTCGTTTGATTTCTTCTCGGCAGATTCGCGACCGGTGGTTGTTTGGGTGGGTTTCTCGTTCTGGACATCGCGGGAGGATTTGGAGATCTCGGTTTCGTTGGTGAAGAGGTAGAAGCGGACTTTGGCAAAGCCTGTGCTGACTAGGATGGGGTCGCGCTCTTCGGCTTCCTGGAGGAGGGGGTTGGAGCTTGCGGCCATGGAGACTGTTACTAGGCCCTTTTTCTGCGGTTGGCCTTGGTACATTGCTAGGTTGAGGGAGCGGAAGGGCTCGTCTTTGCCGTAGACGCGCACGACGCGGTTGGTGTAGGTGTTTATGCATTTTGTGCCGTAGAGGGAGCCGTAGAGGATGAAGTGGCCGGATTCGTCGAAGATGACGTTGATCTTGGGTTGGGTGATGGGGTTTTCGAGCTCGCGTTCGACGGCGAGGCGGCGGCCGAATTCAAGCTCGTCCAGTTGGTGGATTGCTGTGCCGGCTTGTTGCATTTCGGTTATTGTGGAGAGGGATTCATCGTATTTGCGGTAGAGCTTGCCTGTGGCGAAGTCGAAGACTCGGACCTGTCGGTCTGGGAAGGAGAAGGCAGCGAATTGTTCGCCGGAAGGGGAGATCGTTAGGGAAGTTGGGGTGGATTTGGACTTTTTGAATTCGAAGAGGTTGGTGGATGACTTTAGTTCGAAGACGTTGTCGGGCTTTTCGAATGAGGAATCTCCCGCTCGCCAGTACTCGACCATGCCGGACTCGTCAGCGGAGATGACGCAGTCGTAAGCATCGTTGAAAGCGATTGCGGCGACCGGGTTCCGGTGGATTGACTTCACAGTGTGGAGGGGGTTGGGGTTCTCGCCCCGGCCGTCGAAGACTTGAATCGTGCTGCTTCCTTCGTCGGTCACTGCCAGCAGCGGTAATGAGGCGCCTCGGCGATGGACCCAGCAGATACAGCGGGGAGTGTATTCGAGTGTAAGCATGGAGAGCAAGTCTACATCCGGCAGTTAGTTTGCTGTCGCTATAACCTGATATTGACCTGATATTGGCATACCGAAAGTAATGACATCAAACAGCTTTACTGTCTTGTCGGCCCCAATTGTCGCAAAGCTCCTGCCGTCCGCACTGACACTGACGCCCCTCACCTCGCCATTATGGGCACGGAACTCCTTCACGAACTCAACACCGACCGCCATCTTCTTCCAGAATTTCACAAAACCATCAATAGACGATGTAATCAGAAAGTCCGTGTGTGGTGTCATTGTCACAAAGGACAATTGGTCCTTGTGCATGAGAGATTTCGAGTAACGCGGCGATACGGGCAGCGCATTCACGTAGACTTTCTCGAAGGGGAGCTTGCGCCGCTTCTTCTTCGGCGCATCTGCGGACGGGAGAGCTGGACCGAAATCATCGTCGGAGGAAGAGTCGTTACCTTGAGTCAGTTAAGATTAGTATCTTGTACTCGTTTGGTCCTCAATTCGAGGGTGAGCGCACCATCATCATCATTGCCATCCACCGCGGAGTGCGGTCTTTTGTTGGATAAAGGCTGCGACTTCTCGTCCTCTGCCGCCATTCTGAGAGGAATAAATATAAATTGAGAGAGTTGTTTGTGGAAAGGAATGGAAGTTGAATGCTGGTTGGAGGAGAGAGGCAGCAGTTGCAGGCGGTCTGCGGCAGCTTTTAAGCTCGGGCCACATCGCGAACTTTTCTGGACGTCCCGCAGTATTCAATCGTTATTGAACTGTCCGCCAAAATTATCTCCCCCCCATCAACCCCCCCTGAACGAGCTGCCAGTCTCCCCCCCCAACGACGGTAGCCATCTTTCACATTAATTACCATTCATCATGGTCAGTAGATCATGCTGTCCTTTTTTGAATTCTGTTATTTATTCTCTCTCATGCTGACCGCTCCTAGGCGTCCGCCAACCCTACGCAGATCTTTGCGGACGATGTCATCGAAGAGAAGGGCGAGAACGCCCGTCTCTCCGCCTTCGTTGGCGCCATCGCCGTCGGTGACCTGGTGAAGAGCACTTTGGGTCCTAAGGGAATGGACAAGATCCTCCAGTCAGCGTACGTGGGAGTGGACTCGGAGATGCGGGGCTATTGTGGTGGGCATGTCACTAATAGCTATCCAGGTCGACCGGCGAGATCCTCGTGACGAATGACGGTGCTACGATCCTGAAGGCGATCGCTCTCGATAACGCTGCAGCCAAGGTTTTGGTCAACATCTCGAAAGTTCAGGATGACGAAGTCGGTGATGGCACAACGTCCGTGACCGTGTTGGCGGCCGAGCTGCTGCGTGAGGCTGAGAAGTTGGTGAACCGCAAAATCCACCCCCAGACTATCATCGAAGGTTACCGGATAGCCAGCCGGGCCGCTCTTGACGCTCTCGAGAAGGCTGCTGTCGACCGCAGTGCCGACATGGAGTCTTTCCGTAAAGACCTCCACTCCATCGCTCGTACGACTCTCAGCTCGAAGGTTCTGTCCCAGGACCGTGATCACTTCGCCACCCTCGCCTGCGACGCCGTTCTCCGTCTCAAGGGCTCAACCGACCTGAGCCACATCCAGATCATCAAGAAGGCCGGTGGAAAGCTCAGTGATTCCTACCTGGACGAGGGTTTCATTCTTGACAAGAAGATCGGTGTCAACCAGCCCAAGCGTCTGGAAAACGTCAATATTTTGGTCGCCAACACAGCCATGGACACGGATAAGGTTAAAATCTTCGGTGCCCGGGTCAAGGTCGAGTCGACTGGCAAACTGGCGGAACTGGAGAAGGCCGAGCGTGAGAAGATGAAGGCTAAGGTGGACCGCATCAAGGCACATGGTATCAACTGTTTCGTCAACCGTCAGTTGATCTACAACTGGCCCGAACAGCTGTTCACCGAGGCCGGCATTATGTCCATCGAACACGCAGACTTCGACGGTGTCGAGCGTCTGGCCCTGGTCACTGGTGGTGAGATTGCATCGACCTTCGACCACCCCGAACAAGTTAAATTGGGCCATTGCGACGTTATCGAGGAGGTTATCATCGGTGAGGATACTCTGATCAAGTTCTCGGGCGTGGCTGCCGGTCAGGCATGCACCATTGTGCTCCGCGGTGCTACGGAGCAGCTGCTCGACGAGGCTGAGCGCTCTCTCCACGACGCCCTCGCTGTGCTTTCTCAGACCGTGAAGGATCCCCGTGTTACCCTGGGTGGTGGTTGCGCCGAGATGGTCATGTCCAAGGCTGTTGAGCAAGCCGCTCAGAACACCACGGGCAAGAAGCAGCTGGCTGTTGACTCTTTCGCATTGGCTCTCAAGCAATTGCCCACTATCCTGGCTGACAACGCCGGTCTGGACTCCAGTGACCTCGTGACCCGACTACGACAGGCCATCAACAATGGCATGACTAGCTCTGGTCTTGACTTGCTCACCCCCGGTGGTGGCATTGCTGACATGCGGGAGTTGGGCGTTGTAGAGAGTTACAAGCTGAAGAAGGCTGTGGTTTCCTCCGCATCGGAGGCAGCAGAGGTAAGGAATTTTTTAATTTATTTTATTTTCTAGTAACGACACAGCTAACGCCAACCCTTTGTAGCTTCTTCTGCGCGTTGACAACATCATCCGGTCTGCTCCCCGTCGACGTGAGCGTATGTAAGGTTGGTAAGATGATTTATTCTTGATGGCGCGATGGACTGGAAACAAGTTTGTTTGGATTCAAGTGAAACGGAAAGCAGCCACCACCGTGGGCTGTGCTGGATAAATGTTGATAACTTGCTCTAATCAGAGCGTAATAACCGTGACATAGACCCATTGATTGACATGAGATAAAAGCATTGACGAACTTGTTTGTTGTTCTACCATGGAAAATCATCATGTACCACTCGTAATTTACTATTCATCGTGGCATTGTCTCGTGGAGTTATGATAACTAGGAGTTGTATGTATCTATAGGTAACAGCCGAGCGAGATATATCTGGCTGCTGGTGGCAGGGCAGGGTGGTGGTGAAATTATAACATACTGATGGATGTGGAGCAACCAATTAATTGCAAAATGATAAAATCCATGGAACTCCAGAGATCCCTCTTAATTAGATAACCAAAAGGCCTTATCAAAAGGTGGTTGATAACAGCCAATGTGTATGGAAGTTGATTGATCAGTTCCGGGCGTTGGCGGAGTAGATTGGAAGCGTTGGAAAGGTCCGTACCGAATATCTTGTCATGTTCTGCGCGAACTTTGGCTAACGCGGCTGGGTGCTTGGATAGGACGTAAAAGCAGTACATGATAGTCACTGCGGTGGAGTCATGTCCGACGAAGAGGAACAGCCGAATCTGGTAGTGGCCCAGGCCTTAAAGTTAAGATCGAGCGTTGGCCCTGCCACTTGTCTTGTCTTCATGTACTCTGTGATGACGAGATCCATGATAGTCTTGGATGTAGACGAGCTTGTCGCGCTTTGTTGCTTCCATTCCTGATACCGCTTCTCAAGCTCGATCCCAATATAATGGTTCATTGTCCGTCCATTATACCACTGCTTGAATAGGCGCACGGGATTGACACGACTGAAGTGATTTCCCGTTTCAATTTGACACTCCCGGTCTATTGTATCCCGCATCGCAGCTGCGATTGGATGGAATTGTCGCTGGCTGATAAACCGCGTATTCCTGTTTAACGTATGAATTGATGCAGTGGGAGCTGGAAAGCAGTCCAGAGCCTTACATTGCGACATTTCCTATGATATCCATCACATATCTGCAGGTGATCTCATCCAAGAGAAAGGTATCCCCAGTCTTTGCTAAGTCCCGAAGAACATCAACGTACACTTCCACCTCCTGGAGGATATACGGAACATAACCCATGACTGACCGCATGCTAAAGCCATGGCTAAAGAGATCTCTTCCACGTTTCCATTCTGCACCATTCCTGTCAAAAAATGTTGGTCCACCAGTCATTGGAGTGATAAATGCTGCAAGGGTGTCTGGCTTGAGAAGGTCATAGGTTTGGCAGGTTTGAACAGCAAGGTCTGGGGAGGTTACAACCAGGGTTGAGAAGCCGAATGGTTAGGTATCCATGTAAAAGCACGTATCTAGTCCGGATTCGGACGCAAGGAGTACAAAAGACATTGCTTCTTGGGCATCCGTTGGAGCCTTTTTCATAAACTTTGCGAGGACCGGAAGATTTCCAAGAACAGGATTCCAGGGTAGCATGGGCTAAAAGATACGGATTGTTAGGTGGACGGTTCCTCGTTTGAGTGGTGGAGATCGGGGGTTAGATGTGTACCATTCCTTTCTTTTTGAGGCGAAAGAAGAGCAGTCGCACCTTCACCAAGGTGTAGAGGAACGAAGCTATGTAGACTAAGGCCATCGGTAGGATGATGCGGCTTGCGAGCCATTTCCATTCGATATTCGAGCTCTCCATGGCTGATGCTAGCCTTCGTCTAGCGATTCAACGAACAGTGGGAGAGAAAGAGAGAGAAGGAGATGCTTTTCAAGTTTCGAAGGGTGATAAAAAAAAAAAAAAGAAGAAGATATAGCGACGATGGATCAATGGAAAGGGGAAGTTGGGATATGAAAGGGAGCACAGGTTGAGGGGGTTATAAAGAGTGTGGATGAACAAAGGCTGACAGGGATGTACAGTATGTACCTCAGGCCTCGTAGTGTTTGCCTGACCACACCACCCGACTACTACCACTACCACTACCAGTCTTGTCTAGTCCGACCTGCCCCGGGAAATCAATCACGACATCGACAACGCCCCCTTCAAGATCAACATCGAGAAGCTCACCCCCCCCCAGCCCCTCCTCCAAGCAGTATACGCGGAGACTCTTCGCCTGTGGGTGAATGGATTTTTCCTCTGGCGTCTCTCCTACATGGACATGGATATCCACGGCTACCGCATTCCAAGGAATCATTACGTTGCAAGCAGCCCGATCCCCAGCCACATGGATCCTGCGATTTGGAGCACAGACCAGAACGCTGATTACAGTCCGTCGTCGTCGAGGTCAGAGCCAGAGGAAGAATTCACGGCCGGACCAGCTAGCCACGCTGGAGCCTGGATGCCCTTTGGAGGCGGGTACCATGCTTGCCCTGGACGACGATTTGCGAAGGTCATTGCTATGCTTTCGACAATGATGCTGGTGATAGGGTATGATGTTGAGGTGCTGGCGGATGTGAAGCAACTGCAGGTCAGTATGCGGAATTTCGGTTTTGGAGTGTCTAGGCCGGCCGAGAGAGTCAAGGCAAGGATCAAGAGGAGGGGAGATGGAATTTTGGTAGGAGATAACCTCCTTAAATGCTAGAAATGCTGGACAGTAGAAGAATGGTCCCCCAATGTTGCGATGCTAGGACGCACCGATGGATACAAAACCTTTTTTTCCATACTATACTCACTGTTATTTTGGACTTGGAATTGACTTATAAAAACGTTATGGAGGTTTGTAGCCCACCGTCAAGAGCTTGGTTTCAATTTATTTCCTGTCGACCGCTCTTGAATGCATGCTGCTGTAAGTTCAATAGTACATCAGAAAAGATGAAATGTATTAACTGTTGTATTGAAGGATGCGCTCCTTGGAAGCCTGATTGATCCGCATATGGTTGATATCTCTCGTTACTAGCTGAATAATCTCCCAATTCATGGAGTTATATACATTTAGAGGCATCATATTGCCAATCAGTGCGAACCTTCTCCATCATTGCTATTCGGCACCTTTTTTCCTTCTTCACAGCAGCTAATTCGAAGAAGCACATCCATAAGCTAGTGGCTGTATATCTGGCATAAGATATATAAACTAGCTAAGAACCAGACATACTGTTTCATCAACTACAATAGCGTTGTTTATTAATAGACTGGACTGACTATATTATATAGACATTATTGTATGGGCAAAGAGTCAGCACTAAGCAATATAACTATATTAAAGCACCCTACTGTAGTTTCGTGATGACGACCTTTGTGGCCCACACGATGGTCGATAGAGAAGTCGACGCACCTAGACTAATACAACTGACATATTAATCTTGTTAATCCTTTCCGTGAACGTCTAGTCAGGTCAGTATACAAAGCCTAAGAGGAACACTATAGCCCCCGTTCTGATAAGCTTTGCAGATTCCACCCTGCTTCTCTTGGGCAATGGAAGCGATATTTCGAATACTGGTCCTGGATTGCGTTTTCTGAATAGTACCTTTTCGGATACCATAGAAGATTGCCTGATATAGTCAGAATATGTTGACCTGATAAGCATAGAGCACGTACCTGTATTGCTTGTATACCCGCTGGACCAGTACCCATAGCGCTGGCTGGGCTCTGTAACTGTTGGGTAATATCGGTCAAGTCTAAGGTTTTTCAGCCCTTGACTTCCAGATCTATCATCCACTTTCCGTATCTACTATGGTAGGGTGCCAAAAGATCGGGCTGATCCCTGTAGTTGTGGTTGTATATCATTTCTTTTCAACGAATCCTGTCAGCTGTCTACAACATATCATAGGACCACCGTTGACACATTGGTTCTGATGGCTCCACTCATGATCTTTTGGCACGGTCATCTCAGTACTGGCATTGCCACTCACTAGTGCGATTCAATCCGAAAGCCAACCTTCCAAAAAAGGTGTTGATTATTGCCGATCGCTCACTAACCTGAAAATTTGGCTTGATGGCCGGCCATCTCTCTCTTTTCTTTTTTCTTTTGTAGCTTGATTCCCCAGCCGATAGTTATTATAGCTTTCGGCAAGATAATGATATCTCCTAACCTGAAATTGACAGTAGGCGGGCCACTGCAGTGATTTCATCAATGGTCACGATTCCTGGAGTTACTGGACGACGGACGAGGTGCATGATTGTTTTGATATGTTGCCCCACAAATAGAGGGGTAGAGAGTAATGGCCGCAGCTGAATCGTGCATATTGTGGCGCTGTAAATTCCTACTTTCACCTGGAGTATAAGAGCGTATCTTGCGACAGGACGCCCACGTATGAGTAGGATCATTGTCTGTCTTCTATCCTCCCACCCTGTTTTCCCTCTGTCGGACACAAGCCTCCAATATGGTTCAGTATGTTGAGAGTATACCCTATTTTCCAGACCGTGCGGAATACGAAGCCCGAGCACGATCTGTTCCGCAACATGAAATCGACGCAGCTGTACTACCAGAGGGGTTCCCAACTCACATATCCTCAAAAATGGCTTGGGACAGGGAGAGTATTTCGTCCTACGAGGACGAGTATATATTAAATTTGAATGATTCCCAGCTGAAGGAAATCGAGGATGCCCTGCGGCAATTTAAAGGTAAAGCGGCTTGTACCCCAATCATATTTATGCTCTTCACATTTAAAAAGGAGGCTGAAAGTTCATCGACACAGCTCTTGGGAAGCCACTGGAGCTTCTTAGCCCTGCCACCTTCCCCCTGCCATCGCTACATTCCATCCTGCGCGGTATATCGGATAATATCCACACAGGCACTGGATTCTCCCTGGTTAGGGGCATTCCCGTTGATCGCTATTCAGCGGAGGAGAATATGATAATATATGCTGGCGTGTCTTCTCATATCGGCCGCATCCGTGGCTGTCAGGGCCGCAAGTATGATGGGCGTCCTGCAAACCTTGTTGTTATGCATATCACCGATATGAGGCCTCCTTCTGACCCAACTCTCCCCGTCAGACTTGCAGGCTATACTAATGAAGACATTCCATTCCACTCAGATATTGGAGATATAGTATCTCTTTTCGCATTAGGTGAATCAGCCGAAGGGGGTGATAGCCAATTAGCAAGCCTTTCGAGGGTCTATAACGAGCTTGCAAGAACTAGGCCTGATATCATTCAGGTTTTGGCCAGTGACTGGCCAATCATGAGGTTCGTACAACCCTGCTGGATGTTTCTCTATGCAAGGTGAGCATGTCTGACACGCTTGCCCTAGTTCCAAAGAGGAGGGTGTCCTTGTCCCCCGGCCTCTGTTGTTCCATCAAAAGCCATCGGAAACAACACCCGAGAGACTGTTGATCAATTTTTCAAGAAGATGGCTGACGGGTTTTGGCGACCTCAAGCGAACGAGACTGCTCTCTGTGAGACAGGCCGAGGCGCTTGATGCCCTTCACTTCTTAGCAGAAAGGTTTCACTTATCCATGAAGCTGCAGAAGGGAGACATGCAGTTCTTCAATAATTGGAGCATCCTACATGCTAGAAGAGGCTATAAAGATGGACCTCAGCAGAAGTACGTCCCCTCTATCCGAAGCCACGTAGCATAGGCTCGCTAAAAAATTATATGACAGACGACATTTCTTACGACTATGGCTGAAGGATCCTGAGAACGCGTGGCCGACCCCGGAACAGCTTCAGTGGAAATGGGATGACATTTATAGCCAAGGAAGTTCGCCAGGACCGCAGGTGTTTCCGCTATATCCCCACACGACTTAGAATGGAAACACTGTCGCGTAGCATGATCACATTGACTACATGTTTAGCCCTCGTTTGCCTTGGTTTACTGCAAATATCAGTTTTGAGCGTTTGGTGTTAGCCATCTTTGCGAAAATGTCTGCTCCGTTGAGCTCGTCCCATCCCGGGTGCCCTCGTGTCTGGTATGCTGCTCCGTGTCTTGCGTTGAAGATTCGGTCCTACATTGCAAGACTCTATCGAGAAATCTATTCTTGAAGCCGAGGCCAGTCTTAATGAGGCCATTAATTCCCTCTAGGCGGCCAAAAACAGCCTTCAGTTGATCGGTCCTCTCTCGGGAATGCCAGGTACTATGGGTATAGATAGGTTATATTGACTGCGGGAGCAATTATGTAGCATCTACTCTTCGATTATGGCCTGAGGATCAGTTGTTACTCGGAATATGCCACCCGATGCTTAACTGCACTTCGAATGTTAACCGAGTACGTCATTCTTCGAATAAATAGAATCTAACAGGCATCCTTGCAAAGCTCTTACAGTAAGAGAATGGAGAGACGTGTAAGGGAATGCCTCGTCCGAGGCCTGTAGTAAAGACACCCAGGGTATACTTGCCAAGAGAACAAGGTAACAGCTTCTCATATCCAACTGCCTACGTTCCGAAGCTGTTAGTGGGAGGACACAGAGACTAGATTCTTACAACATTCTCGTGGAACTAGAAGCCTTTTCCGAAACAGGTTGTTGCTAGAAATCCCAGCACACTAGCTCCAGGGGTCTCTAATTAAATTGTACGGTGGCGTTTGCGAGCCCAGCGTTGCTGTAATTAGCCCCGTGACCAAGGCGCGAAGTATGAATGAGAGCATAACCAACAGCCGGGAATCTCCGCGATGCTGGGTGCGTTGCCCGTCATATGTGGCATTGAACGCTGGTACTTAGTATATATTATTATAATAGATAAAACAGTTTATAATATGACATAATACATCTAAAAACCAATAAATTAAACTGCGGAGTGGCTGCTAAAAAACGCAGTAAGCCGCAGGTGTTATAATCCAGAGCCTATCAGGTCAGCGTTCAATCAACCTTGACTACGTTACATCGGCCAGAATAGGGGATCACACTACTGTGTTCGCATAAATGGTTGATTGTTCTCCGTTGACCTTCCTAGTATGCGAGCACAGCTTCCCTCGATTCTCTCCCTGCCTTTATATTGAGGGTTTTCTATCAACATTATACAAGGTTTTCCCCATTGGTCAATATGGAGAAGGAGTCCTCATCCTCATCCGAAACAACAGATAGACGAGATCGAATCGACCTTCCTCAAGCACAATAGATACGTACTTCTGGCCAGAAATCCTTGATATCTTCAGCTACCTAAAGGCCGCTCTGGTACAGATTCTTTCTGTAATAGTTTTCTACAAGACAGCAAACCAGTCAAGGTATGAAAAGAATGCCCATTCAATATCATTTCCTGACAGCAATGCTGAAGATTTGCGCAACAGTCAATATGTATCAATGGTAGTGGGCTTGCGTGGGCGATATGTAGGCTTTCCGGGCATGATAAGTGTGAAACTGTTGGAGCAGCCGTCATGTTCACCATGGGTCTTATCTTCACCTCCGCAGCGGAATACTCAGGTGCAGACCCTGTTCCTGTGCCAGAGCTACCTGTACAAGTGGCCAGTTATCAGGCATCCTTGACCGCTGCGTTGTCAAAGAGTGACCTCGAGTATACAACCATCGACCCAGCACCTCTGCAAGAGAGCCCAGAAAAGCGCAGCGAAGACGAACCTCATCTGCTCGAGCGGTTCATGATCCGGGGCTTGCGACCGGTCAGCAACACTACTGCTCAGAGTGACACGGCCGGCCAAGATATCTTTGTTCATCATTACAACAACGGCGACACTGTTCTTCACCTCCCTATTGGCCGGGAGAGTCTGTCGGCGGAAAATCTCAATAAAAGATATGACCATCCAGGTCTCAAGATCTCCTTTACTACGCGCCAGTTGTCTAAGCTGTCGAGAAAGCAGCAAAGTGATATGGCCAGCGGGATCGCTAACATGTGGGAATACTATGCCAGAACCACTCCTATGAACGAGTATATCGGGTTTGTGGAGACGGATCACAAGGCTGATTTCTACTTTCGCATTATACCTGAGGTGAAGGGATTTGGGACCAATTATGGAAGTGTTGATGTGTGTGGTGGTATGGCTGGAATGCTCTAAGCATTACTTTGCTTTTCTTGCTATTCCACCCCCTCGGTGGTGAGGTCGATAGGGTGATCCTAGTAGAATCGAGGGGTTTTTATGGAGTCTTAAGTCGGCAGTAGTTATCTAGTAGTATTCAGCGGTATGGGTCAGGTGTGACGGGTACCTCCTCCCTGCTCGCGATCCCTAACCTCGGAAATCCCACAATGTATCCCTCCCGTGCTGTCTGGCTTACACTCGATTGCGTCGCAGTGAGCAGCTTTGTTCATAATACTAAAACAGCCTGTCTTCCAAATACACTCTCCTGAGTTGCCTAGTGCATGCTGAAATAGATGGGATTTTTTGGCCATCTGGGCAAACCTCAGGAGGACTGCAATGTAGGAGTATTGACGACACACTAACTATTATATAGATCGGAAGTGCCAATTACAGTATTAAGAGATTGTATTCGATTTAGGATGTATATCATTACTTTATTAGGAAATGGTATATACTTCACCCTAGAACCAAAGCTATATCCCACTACAAAGAGCAATGCAACTTAAAGCCCCCTGAAGACGGCACGCATGTGTACAATGCATTCAGTTGAAAGTAAAATGTGTTCCGGTTAAGAATAGACGGTGTCAACGATGTGCGAGACTCGACCGACACTGTGCTTTTCCAAACGGCTCGCGTAGGAATACAAGCATCAGATTAGCCCAATGACCATATACAGCTATCGGGTAACCTTCTCTCCCTCTCTCCAGAAATAGCTGTATCGATGTTATCCGGCATCAGATCGATATACTTGCTGCTCAATTATATACTGATAAGGTATCCTAGTTCAAACTGATACCCCCCCTTCCCAGCCAGAAGATTATCTCAACTATATCAACTAGGGCCCGAGGGGGGCTGTCACCTATACCAGAAATGCCATCCCCTTCTACAACCAGCAATACTTCGTTACAGCCTAGCCCTGTACCTGAACCGTTCAACGATTTTACTACCCCGGGACTTCTCAATATTACTGGAGGTGAAGAACTTCTCTTGAAGTTCTGCACTGACTTGATGCCCCTGTTTCCACTCGTTATTATTAAACGTTTCCAAATGAAGTAAGCAGTATACAACCATGATACTGTGTTTGAATATAGGCATGAAAGGTGAAAAGTGCAAAAGATACCATCGCTGTGCAAGGCGTTTGGGTCCTACATACAACAGAAGTCATATGTCAGAGCCTATGGGAGCTACTTCAGAGTCTGGAAAGAGATTCCAAGCAAACAATCCATCAGCTACCAGTCATTCAATCGAGATTAACATTGATTCTGTGTGACAAGTGGATTTTGCCAATTTCTACTATTTCCAATTCGCAGCGGGCACATATTCAGACTTCAAATTGTACTCTGCGACGTCTTCGACTTAGGTTGTTTTGAGAACCATTCCATAGCTACAAGATTTTGGAACAGAAGTATTGTTCAGCCCAAGGGCTCTTCGAAGCCATCTGACAGCTTTCGGGATAATCAATGCGAAGGAAGAAAAAGCGTTCGTTTTTCAGACGAACAGCGAGTGATATCACGATGCTAATGAGACGAGGCCAATGCAAATATTGAGTTCAGCATTGTTTTGTCGTTCAGAACATGCAAGGAAAGAGTCAGTGACAGTAAAAGTCACACTCGATTTGCGGAAAAGGTTTTGGCAATGGCTTCTCTCTAAGGTCTTTGCTGGAGAAATAAGTTAGCGGCCGATGTATCCTCTCCAAAATCAGTGTGAGTATAACAAGGGATACCGACCATCACATACATTGAGAAACAGTAAGCTTGGTCATCTCGTAACCTCAGCAAGCACAGCGAACAAAACCTGATTATCGACCCTGCAGCCTTCCCATTGAAACCGCGCGCTTCTATACCCGCATCGTAGCCGCATATCAAGCTCCGAAATGCTTAGATTCTTTGTGTTGTAATTCATAACTAGCTCCAGGGCCACAGCACACACGGTTGTATCTTGGTACTCGTTCCTCGATACATTTGTGCTTAGAGTTGTGTCTATTACATCCTGCTCCGGTAGAAGTAAGGATTCCGAATCAGGCTCGATTTCAGGAAGGGTTGGGAGACAGCTAGTATCCTGGAGGAAATCTTTGAGCTTATTGGGAGATATGGATACTGGTGGATCGAAGCCGAATTGGGGAATATCTTCTAGAATTGTGCTCTCTGTAGGCCCTAGTAAGTATCCAGTCATGTCAGATATGGGACCAAGAATATGATGGGTCGATAACATCATATGCGTGCGGTGCAAAAACTATGGCAGACCCAGACCCTACCCAAGAGAGGTCTATCCCCAAAGGGGACGAGATCACTGGTCATATCTCTTAATGCGTTGTTCTCGCTCTCCGTCTGTCTGTTAGGTCTAATAAAACTGGAATCAGCGCCCCCTGCATAGAGTAACGCTGTCAACCTCTCATTATCTTGGCGAAGCTCATCCGTAATAGACTGCAGTCTCCGTATCTCTCGAGAAGTAGTGTCCTCGATGGATGCAAGTCTCCGCTCTAGTTCCGATACATAATCTCTTTTTCGCTGTCTGCAGCGACGCTGGTTGTTGCGGACACGGGTGAGATTATCTTCCTAGCTGAGGGATTAGATATGACGCACGGAGTGAGTATAAAAGTGACATCTTCATACTTTGGTTTTCTGCTTGACGCGTGGCATGGCGGAAGCTTGGGGTGTGCCGGTTCGAGTCTTGCCACGTTATGTTGATTATATTATCACGGAAAAATCTCAAGCTCGAGTTACTCGTCACTGATGACTTCTGTTATTTTATAGCGTTGAATACGATGCATCGAGGGTAATATCTGTGGGAACATGTGGAAAGGAAAGCGTCGGAACAGCTTCATCTTTGCCCAATTTAATTTATTAAACAACCCAGTATTACTAAATTCCCCGCACTCGGATCCCAACTCCGAATGTGGTGACATACCACTTTCCCATGTTCTTTAAGTTGTGCTTAAAATGGTGACATATCGGCCATCCACTCAGCAAGGAACATGACGAATGTTGTCATATTTGCTCACATTTAATCAAATGTTAATTAAGAAGTATCGTGGATATAAATACAGTTGAACGTCTCCCGTCTACCCTTCGGAGAGCTAGCTCATCATATTATCGGTCTTAACCAGCGTAAATCCAATAACCCCCATCAACCTTTCCCTAACCCCTTGACATATATGGTTCTATCGTGTACAAATCTTCTACAATATGTGCGACAATACTTACAACCTTGTTCAGTCCCGTTACGGACACATCGCCAAGCAAAGTAGCGACGTCCAGCAGCACGACAAGGAAGAGGAAATTGCTAGGGCGTTTGGCTACAGTGCGGAAGATCTGAGTTCGCTGCCAGGGAAGACCAATCTTGGCTTGAGCTGTGGAAATCCCGTGGGATTTGCCAATGTGAAAGAGGTCCGTCCTTTCCCTTGACAGATCCTTTTCCCCGATAGTAACGAAGCCTCTAACCTTCTAGCAGGGTGAAACAGTTCTAGACCTTGGCAGCGGTAGCGGTATTGATGTGCTCCTGGCGGCTCGTAAAGTCGGGCCCAATGGACAGGCCATCGGCGTTGATATGACAAAAGTGAGTTTTCTGAGGCCTTTACACCGTAGAGACAGGGCTGATAGGAGATGAAGAGCATGGTTGAACTCGCCGAGAAAAATATCCAAGAGGCGGGGATCTCCAATGCAACAGTCATCCAAGCAAATATCAACTGCATACCGCTACAAGACTTCAGTGTCGACTGCATCATTAGTAACTGCGTGATCAATCTTGTCCCAGCTACCGACAAAGCGGCTGTCTTCAAAGAGATCGCCCGCCTCCTGAAGCCTGGCGGAAGGGTCGCGATCAGCGATATTCTAGCGAGAAGGCCGCTTCCGGATCATATCACTAACAATATGGCGCTATATGTTGGGTGTGTTGCTGGTGCTAGTCAGGTTGGGCAGTATGAGGCGTATCTGAAGCAGGCTGGATTCCAAGGCATGTACACCCGCTATAAAGAGAGACTTGATACTAACCTGCCCCTAGACGCGTTTATTGTCGATACGAAGTCGGACCTTAATCTCTATAAAGGGTCCTCGTATTTGCCTCAGGGATCGTGTTGTGGCGGTAGTCCTGGGCATAATACGGCTGCGAGTGATGTTGCAGCGTTGGATTTTAATGAGTGGGTCGGTCAGTTACTCTCCTCTATCCTGACTTAATTGTGCTGTTGACCATGTTGACTGTTTGGCCAGGTTCTTTCCAGATCTATGCTACTAAGGCCTAGACAATTTACTTCATATATCATCCCATATGATCTCGGATTTACTGCATAGTCTCGCCCCACCGGCCGTATTCTGGTGAGTTGTTGATGTGGTTGGAGCTCTAAAAATACCTTAGCACCAGAATGCATCAAGACAAGTCTGTGGGCATTAGTCTTATCATTTATGTTGAATAATTTGCCTGTGGTATAAGTCACTTAGTAGCGCTATAGGAACTCTATCGATCACATCCAGGTATTGACTGCCCGAGGTATATATCTCTAGTTTTCCCTTGAACTTTACCGCTTCACATAATTGATATCTTTTGTAAAAATGAATAATAAATAAACAAAATAAAAAATAAGTAGCCTACAACTACTGCCCAATTATCTCAATTGTTTTCTCGTATTAATACTATAATGTCGGTTTATATATGGCCACAGACCTGATAACCAACTGGTTCATATTTCAGAGCCTAGAGACTACTAGTAGAACCTCCCCTACTTAAACTCCCCAGGCCCCGGACCAAAATGGCCTCCCTCAGAGACCTTCAGGTAAGGAACGGACTGCGTATCATAAGTATTAGACCCAACGTTATTGCCCCACCAGCTAAGCTTGGTACCGGTATAGCTAAGTGCGAAGAAAATGAGGATGGTAGCCAGGGCAGTGCCCGTATCCATCGCAGCTTGGAGGAGGTCTGTGTTTAATGGTTAATATCAATGCATGCATTGTATGAAAATTGGGTGAAAGAAAACTGACAATTGTATCGCTTCCACCACTGGAAGGCACGTCGACGGATCCAGAAATTGAAAATGAAGCCGACAATGAACCAGAGGGAGTATTGCGCTGAGACAGGTTAGTCACTTGAAAAATCCTGAAAAGAATGAAATTCTTCACTTACTCGTAGTCGCAGGTGGGATATTGCCGGCGGCATTAAAGAAGATTGGTACGTTCACGTACTTCAGCCAGCTATTAGGATATCGCCGATAAAGTAAGTAAACGATGACGGTGACAACCGGCTTGGTAAGAGTTAGCCCAGGGAAATATGATGTATTTTCGACAGAGTGCTAACATACCCCGATTAAGAAAAAGTACATGAGGCCGTTGTAGACTTGTCCTTGTTGAAACATTCTTTGGGGACCGACTGTTCCCCAGATGATGGATGCATTGTACATCACCTTGGAGCCGTTGCAGGTAAAGCGATTCGGATTCTTGGGGTCACAGAGCCGGGATATATGGCCAAGCATCCAGCGTAAAACTGCGTGTTTCTGTTAGTGGATTTGACATATTGTCCGATAAGAATAACGAAGCGCACCTCCCGTTTGAGTCATGGTTGCGATAATGGATGCATATATTTGGCCGGCGAAGAGCGCACGAGGCGGGATTTTCTGAAACGCAGATTCGTTAGTCTTAAGTAAAAGGGGGTTATTGACGCATGAACGCACCATATACTGTCCCATCTTGAGGTCTTGGGCAAAGTCCATGGCGTGCTTTATTGAGTTATACCCATAACACTTGACCATGGTGTTGGCGATCGCGCTGCCAGGGTATGCGTATCCCGCAATGAGCTCCGTGATAATATTCAGGAAGACACGCTGATTAGTTGTTCCTTGTAAGATTCCTTCTGGCAGGATCAAAACAAGGCCCATGCCAAAGCAGACGACGAGGAATCCCCAGACGGGCAACTCGGTGTCCCAGTATCGCACGGTGAGAACACCCAATCCCAGCACAATAACGGTCAATATTCCGTACCACCAGTCCGGGACGTCATTGTAGGCATGCATTAGTCGACGATGAATGTCCTCGCCACCGGCACGGGCGTTTTTGAATTTGGCCCAGATTTCGCGACCGTTGTAGAGATAGGTATGCACAATCACGGCTGTCACTGCTGCAAAGCCCAGGCCGTAAGTAAGTGCGTACCCCACTGAGATGTACATCGGAGAGTAGGCTTGATATTTGCTTTCGACGAAGTTTAAATTCGCATCCACCACTCGTGTGATGTTATAGGACTGGCCGGTGTTGTCAAACGTGTTCGACGATAGGAGCGGTAGGCTGGCAACCAGGTTAGAAACCGAGTCTCGCAAATCAGTAAGAATCAGATCCACTTACTAAGCACTATTCCAGACATTGGTATAGTACAGGATCGGTGAAAGGAAGAAATAGAATAATACAATCGTTGCGAAGGCATTACAGGTGATGTAGAAAGGGGTGGTCAGTGGAAAGCCGGCGTAGTTTATCTCGGTCCAGTCGAGGCTAATGGGCAGAAGCCCTAAGCCCGAGTTCATCTGTAATACCACAAGCGTTAGACTATGGCAATGAAGCTAGCATAGGCTATCGAGGGGCCTCACTCCGAACAATGTGTTGACCACCTGGTTGTAAGGCACAATCCATGTGATAAACGCAAAACTACTGAGACTGGTCCATATATAATCGGGAAACCAGAACAGCACGAAACCAAAAATTGAAAAATAAGCGAAGAAGCGGTATCGAGTAATTGTCCACCCATTTGCAGGAGAATGATCTTCACGCTCGTGAAGAGCGCGAAAGAGAACGGTGGAGGAAAGAGATGTGGGCCAGATGAGGGCGGCTGGGTAGACAATCCACCGGCGAGCAAGACCGGCCAGGCCGAAGCTGAGGAATGTTAGTATTAGGGTACTGGACTTGAGAGAGGCCTTTTTAGACCCAAATCACTTACCCGATCATTTGGGTGGTCAGAAGGTACAGAAAAGAGAAGCCTGCTCCGAAGTCACGGCCCCAGTACTGAGGGTGGATAATTGCCACTAGTGATCCTTGTGCATAAGGTGTAGAAGCGCTGATATTGACACACTATATTCATTATTGGGTGAGCCAGTAGATCAAAGATGCGCATGCGGAATGGATGACTGACAATGACAATAAAGGCATGCTCCTTGACGGTGAACTTTCCTGGATTGAAATCGAATGATAGCTTTCCCAACGGTACCCTCCAACGGGGAAGCTTTTCCCATGCCCGACCGATAGGGAAAACGAGCAGTTGGGCTACGACATAGCCGATAGTGAGAGAAGGCTTAGTGCGGTCAGCATCGAAGCCTTATTCTGTCCACGCCAGTTTGAGATTCAAGGGTCCGCAACATACGTATCGCAGGCCGAAGAATTGGTTAACACCCGAAAATAAAACGACAAAAATTGTCATGAGGATCCATGCTCGAACAGCTGGGATAAAGTCAGTAAACGCGACCGGCGGAAAAAGTCTGCCACTCACTGTTGCAGAGCATGGTTGGATCATCCGTGTTAGACACGCAGGCGGCCACTTCAGGGACTACAAAATTCCCAGTTAATTAATTAACACATGGTTCACAGCTAAGATTTGTCCTTGGGCTACCCACACGGTGATTGATCCCCATCGACATTCCATTTAAAGGCTTCCACTGGGGGTAATTCGGTTGTCTCCCCGGGTTTTCGCATCTCATCTACCCCTTTGTCCGACTCTAAATCTGTCGTATGAGCCTCGACAGTAGGCCCGCCCTTGTGATCATCTTGGCCATTTTGGGCTTTAGTATCTGAAGAGCTCTCAGAAGGCATGGCGGAATTAAGGCAAGTCCGATACTTTGCCCAGTGAACACAGTATTGGCCCTCAACAGAATATTCCAGAGAACTACGGCGAGAATTTGCCAGCAAATATAATGCAAGGGGTTGTCTAGAGTACAGGCTCTTACGAGGAAGGATCATAACAGACCCACAAAACATGGAAGGTTGTCTATCACGCTATCGAACATGGTATATCACATCATAACACTAGTGTAATGGAACACACCTGTTGTAAGGGCTTGAAATAGCTTATGTTGCATGTGGAGCTGATCCAGTGGAGCTTCAACAGTCTATGATATCACCAACTGAACAATTCTCAGGCGCGATATCTGATGTGACTATCGTTCGAATGGAATGAAGAATTTGAAAATTTAAATAGCGATAAATCAAATCTCACAGTATATTCCACATAAGAATATATCAAATGAAAGAGATAAACGTGGGATGGCAACGTACTGAATTGCTTTCATTTTCTAAGGCGCAAGCGGTGAGGAACTAATGTACTCACTGTTTAAACATGCCGGACTCGAGATATCTAGAACTGACAGCCACTTTGTATCCTGCATGGTGAAAGAAAAGTAGATAAAGCAGAATCAAACTCAGGTCCAACCCGAAGCTTGCCCATTGATAGACTGAAATACAAGCATTTCAATTGGATGCTTGGACATGCTTATCGAGAAATATTTGCGGCGTCGGTCCGGGCCGAGTTCGAGAACCAACTGATGACATGCAATCATCGGTTACTTTCTTTTGTTCATTCTTACTAGTCCATTGGCAAAGAATTAGCGTGGCTGACGTTCAAACTAGAGATGTTTGCGGTGGCCATGCGAACGGAACGGCGTAAACCCAAAACAGAGATAACGGGCACCAAGTTAACCGACCATCTCAGGAAATGCCGACCGTGTCATCTAACACGATCGAGGCCCATTTTACTTCTATAGCATAGTCATTGTATGCAGAGTATAGTTGCAGGTGTCAAGTGAACGGTATCCTTGGGTTGATACTAAGGTTTGCAAGCCGAATGCCAATTCGTGCCCTAAGTTGCGTGATCGCCACCACCCCACTTCGGTGAACGATCGTGCCTCTGACGCGAGCTTGTATGCATCAGACGTGATAGTAGGGCTTATGTATGTACCTGACATCAAGACCGGTAAAACATCGGGGATTATTGAAGATTTAAGCTTGTCATGGAAACTAGCCAGCGGACAATTCTCGAGCTCATGCACCGTCCAGACACAGGGCATTATCGATTGCGCAATGGGCCCGGTGAGCCACCTTCTTTCTACGTGTTTTACTCCACAATCCTTTATTCTATTAATTTCATACACACTCTCGTGAGTGCCCGTTCCAATAACTATAGCATCCTTCATTAAACAATCTCTGGGAAGGCACAAGTATCATGACACCTGGGAATGGTTGTAGGATCGTATGGACGAATCTTTCATCGCTGCGGTAAAACATTGTTGTAGGATATTATGTACAAGGTCTTATATTCCAACCTTTGTTCAGGAGAGGAAATGGCCAGCCTCTTATACTATTCCAATTTTTGATTGTTCCCCTCCCCTCTGTACAATAGGATGCATCGGGGCATCCATGGAAGTTTCTAAAAGGGGAACTCTCAACCTTCCATGTGTTTGGATCTAGTATTTGTGATTATATTAGCATATGCCTGTACTTGAGTCGGGCATTCAGTACAACCTAAAACCCATGCAATATCAACTGACGTGCACTTTTGTCGACAGGCTCAAGTGCGCCCGACTCAAGGATATGACGGAGCAATTGTCGGATCACCTCCACTGTACGATCGGAGGAGTTGGCGGGCAAGAAACTATGATGACTTCATTTGCTGTACAGGCCTTGCGTCCGCTTGAAGATTATAAAGCAATGTCGTTCGATTATTTTCCAAGCGTTCAGTACATCAGCTTGCCCCTCGCAGATTAGGTCGAACATCATGGCTTTCAGGGCTACATTGACTACACTCTTCCTCCTGCAATGGGTCACCGCTTCACCGGCCCTAAATAGCAGCATAATCACATATAAATTTCCAGAAGGATTGGACCGGGCACAGTCCTACGTCATTCAGGTTAAGCAACCTACTGGGGGTTTGCATACTGTCGAATCCTACAACGCCATCGTATCAGAAGCCAATACGACGTCCGGAAAGGGAATCGAGCACAATACTTCCTTTGCCTTGTTCGACTTTGAAGGACCTGTTGAGCTCTCCGTCACCTACAACAATGGGCCTGTCAAATCTGCGGTCATAAGGCCATACTCATATGGCATTAAGCCGACCGTTAAAGGAAATACGGTCTCATTTATGTTGGACCGGCCACGCAACGTCGTAGTCCAAGTGAACGACGATGTATTTGACACGTTACAGCTTTTCACAAATGCCCTGGAGACCGACATTCCAAGTCAACGCGATCCGAACGTGGTTTACTTTGGACCCGGCATCGACAATGGCCCCTCCTCCAAGAATGGAACACTGGTCGTGCCATCCGGTAAAATTGTATATCTTGCTCCCGGTGCAATTGTCACTTCCCGACTGGCCTTTCAGAATGCGACCAGCGGTTCAATCCAGGGTCGGGGCGTGATCAATCCGAGCTCATCGGGCGGTATACTTATCGAATGGTCCAGCAATATCCTGGTCAAGGATATTCTCATTCTCGGAGCAAAAGGGTTCTCCGTCACGACGGGTACATCGAAAAACATTACTATGTCGAGAATCCGTTCGATGTCTTCCACCGGCAATGGCGATGGGATTGACTTCTTCTGCAGCGAGGATGTGCTGATTGATGGAGTGTTTCTTCGCAACTCCGACGATAATATCGCTCTTTATCAGCACCGCTGGAACTACTACGGGAACTCTAAAAATATCACCGTGCAGAACTCATCCCTCTGGGCTGATTGGGCTCATCCCATAAATATCGGCACGCATGGCAATACCGAGAACCCCGAGACAATGGATGGCGTCACGATCCGCAATATTGACATTCTTGATCACCGCGAGCCGCAACTGTGGTACCAGGGATGCATTGCCATTAATCCCGGAGATAGTAATTTGATTCAAAACATCCATATTGAAGACATACGAGTCGAGGATTTTCGCTTGGGCCAGTTACTCAATTTCCGGGTGATGTATAACTCCAAGTATAACACGTCCCCTGGCAGAGGCATTCGGAATGTCTACGTTAAGGACCTGGTGTACAATGGGTCCCATGCCAACCCTTCATTGTTTTTGGGATATGATAAAGATCGGAAGATTTCCAATGTCACGTTTGTCGACCTACGGATTAACGACAAGTTGATCGATGATAATATGGCTAAGCCATCCTGGTACTATACGGCGGATTTTGTTCCCATGTTTGCGAATGAATATGTAGAGGGATTGAACTTTACGAGCGAGCAATAGCAAACGAGAGGGCGCCCACGTCGTCATGGTCACAGCAGATAGGTTCCAGTCCTCTTGATAACCCTAAGCTTAGCACGGAGATTCTTCCCCACGGACCGCGATTTGACCTGACATAGAGCTGTACTCCGTATTACTATTCTCTAATCAAATAGTACTTACCCCAGATTCTTGACAAAATAAGTTTAATAACACGGAAAGGTAATAAGCATTGTGAGTAGCAGGAGCACCGAATAGGCCAACCGGGAAATTACCCAAAAGGAAAAATCCTGAACATATTATATCAGCTGATTGGTTCCATGCGGTGTTGATCTTCGCGTGAGCTCCACCCGATGAAGGCTTCGGAGAGACTCCGGTACTTCATCCGGCGCTACTTTTCTCCCTTCCATGCGGGGGAAAAGGCAAACTCCGCAATCATGCAACAGTTTGCCCCGTGGGGAGGATGTATCTAAGCCGTCAGTAAGGCAGTTGATATGGCGTCAATATCACAAGTGACCAGTATTAGCAGTTTGAAACCTCGCCAGAATGCGGTCTAAAGGAAACGGCCGGTCCGCGCAGGACCAACGACCGCAACAGTCACAACAAGACCAGGACGCCTCCAAGCCAGAAGACGATATCCCCGCTTGTCAGTCCTGCCGAAAGAAAAAGGCACGATGTAGTCGTGAGCAACCATGTTCACAATGCGTGCGCTTTGATGTCGCATGCGTTTACGATGACCGTCGGTTGAAGCCTGGGTTACGCGCAGGGGCAGTTGACCAGCTCTATCGCCGCATTGATACACTGGAGAACATGTTTCTCGGGCAAAGTGTTTTATGGAAGCAGGTCTGGGAGGCGCTCCACCCTAATTCTGCCTTTCCTGGCGCCGCAGATGAGGATGGCCACAATGAGGAATCCCCGGGTAGACAATTTGTTCACGCCCGGGAAGCCATAAAGAAGTCAATGCTACAGCTGGCTGAGACCAAGAAAACGGCAGGGTCTTTGATAGAGGCAGAACACAACGATGATGGTGATTTTAGGTCGTCAAAGCGACGAAAGGTCGATGTGGTGTCGACGACACAGCAGCCGGTACGGAACGGGACAGACTTCGACATCCTCAACTCTGACATAGTGAACGATCTCGTTGAATTTTACTTTGCGAATATCCATCATTGGATTCCAATTCTACATGTTCGAATATTTCGTGAACAGATTCAGACTTACAAGGGACGCCAGAAGGCGATATATATCTTGCATGCTATTGTGGCATTGTGTAGCCGATTCTCTGATGACAGTCGCCTGGGAAACGATGCAGAGAAAGCCGAACTAGCAGAAACAAGTAGGCAGAAGGTTATCTTGAGCAGCATGGAATCATTCTCGGTTGAGAACTTACAGGCTTTAGTAATCATTGCTTTTGACACAGTAAGCTGATCGTGCCTTTCACCGTCCGCAAAGTTGCTAATGTCCGTACTGATCGGTCGTGGACGCGGTCCGTCCTCATGGTCCATCGTAGGAGGTATGGCTCGCACAGTAGAGCAGCTTCAGCTAAGCGTCGAAGAGGAGCATCTTTCAAGTCATTCCCAATCTGGCGAGACATTAATACGACGCATGGCGTTTCTGAAGCCATCCACCTCTTGGAGAGAAGCGGAAGAAAGGCGACGTGTGTTCTGGACAGTGTTCTTAATGGATCGCTTCTGCAGCGTATCCACCGGTTGGAATATCAGTCTGACCAGTGCAGATGTCAAACGGCGACTACCTTGCGAAGGAGCACTCTGGGAGCAGGAAAATGAAGTAAAGCCGCCATACTTTGGCATCTCGGATGCAAAGGCCGCTAGCCCCCATCGCCCTTTACTGACAGAGAATCGAATGACGGCTGATCCGAAAGAGCAAGATTGTATCGGAGGGTTCGCTTACTGCATCGAAGCCACCGAGTCTCTAGCATTAGTCACCAACTTCTTTCTTCACCACGCCCTTGACATCCGGGATGTAGACAAAGCACAATTCTGGCTCATGCGATTCAAGGAGCTCGATCTCCGGATGGTCCAGTAAGTGTTCTTTCCCAGTTAAATCGACCTAGGGCAAGCATTGACCATTCTTCAGATGGAAGCTTTTTCTACCACCAAAGTGGCGGGACGCGTCAGTTCTTAACGCAGACGGAATCATGGACCCTAATCTTACTCTTGCGCATACAACACATAATACAGCTGTAATACTCCTCCACCAAGGGATCGCCTATCCGCCCTTACACTGGCAGTCCTGCCCCGTCAAACTACCTTCAACATCATCGGCAGAAACATGTCTCGAAGCTGCTTCGGAGATCAGTACGATTGGCCAGCAGTTTCTTCTTTGCTCTCCCATCCTCACCAACCCCCAGTTCTCCTTCTGCCTTTTCATTGCCGGTAGGATGCTTCTCACGCATTCTAAATACTACGCTACTCCGATACCCAATTCGTTGGATTCACTTATTGACAGCTTGTTCGAAATCTCCCGGCGATGGGCAGGGCCCCAGAATGTACACGACAGCCAAAAGGATAACCTCGCCTCAGGCTTTGCTAAGCGATTGGTTTCCGCAAAGGACAACCTCCCTGCACTATCGAAACCTAGCTTAGATATCCGACAGACAGCATACTCTGAAGGTACTGATGATAGAGCACCTTCCAAGCATGTAGAAACCGTCTCTACACCAACAGTACTCGAACGCTCCTCGGTGCTACCAAGCAATACGTACGGTGAACCAGAGCCCCCACTGCCTATACCCGATAATCACTCTGACACCTCGGTTGGCTTGGCGTTTCCTCCTCTTCCCTTGTCATTCCAACAAACTCTCCAGAGTTTTACCGATGTAGATCCGTTTGGTATTTCGTTAACGGACCGGGACCAGTTTAACCCTCAGCCGTCCCATGTGCCGATCTGGAACAATGCGACAAGTCCTATATACACTAATGCCCCCATTTCATTTGGCTGCGTATCACCGGAGCATCTACAGACAACCCTCAGCCCTGGACAGAGGATCAGTCGCTATGGTGCAGTGGAAGTGGACCAAGCTGCTGCCATGGGAGAGAATTCCAGACATCTTGGGCACAGTAGTTAGGGAGCAGGTTCTCCTCTTACTGCTCTTGTATGCCTGCAAATAGAGTAAGAACCGGAGGAAGCCTCAACAATGTATAGTCTATTGCGTATACCTCTATTATAACAAATGCTCCCCATGGATAACAAACCTTGTCCCGCTAACTAGTCCCAGCTCTAAGAGCATGTTTCCCATCAACATAAAATAATAATCGGCATAGACAAGACCATGGTCCGCCCAACGACGAGTAGCAAACTCATAGTTATTTATCGTCGCACCATCGAGGATGGTTTCCGGTATCTTCCTGCAAGTACCATTCCCATTTTGCGCCGGTCGAGAATCTATAGCCCGAAGTGCCCCCGATTGCCTCTTGTCGTGCTCTGGTAGATCGGCAGGATACGTCGGCACCACGGTATCAGACGCCTCAACCTCGAACCTCAGAGTGCCAGGAGTCAAGAAACTGTCCACCGTACCCTTCAAGATCCTCAGTGCAGACGTCAAATAAAATTCCGAAGCATCCTCATCCACGCCCCTCAACGCCTTATAAATCAATAACAGCCCACAGCCCGCCACCATACCTGCAGATGTATCTCTCGGGCAAGACGAGTCCACAGGAGCATCAAAATCCCAATATGGCACCCCATCATCAGGTAACCGACGGATAAAATAATCACCCAAGCTTCGCGCCGTAGTGAGAAATTCCATCTGCCTGGTCCACTCGAACGTTTGCATGAATCCCAAGATTCCCCAAGCCTGGCCACGAGCCCAACAGCTCTCATCGCTATACCCCTGGTGCGTGAACTTCGACTTCGGTAACCCAGTCTTCGTATCATAATTAACCACATGGACGGTTCCGTTATCAGATCGGATGTGGTGTTTCGCCGTGGTGCACGCATGCGCAACTGCGATATCATAAAACTTTGCATTTCCCGTCTCCTTCGCAGCCCAGAACAACAGGTCAAGATTCAACATGTTATCGATAATCACTAGGAAATCCTTCCCGGGGTCTGTGAATGAATACCGCTTAGTGTGGCAAACGTCCCAGCTTCGCAACGACTGAACGCGCTCATCGAACCGACTAGCCAGAGAGTGCGCAGCTAGGACTAAACTGTTGTAGGCCTGCGGATCGCGGTTCAGAGACCATGCCTTCATTGCCCATGGCGCCATCATGAAACCCAGATCGTGGGTATCTCGCTTCGCGGCGTTGGCGTGTAGATTGGCTGTCCACCATTGGCAGAGGTACTGAAGCTGAAGTTTATGGGGCAGTGGGCCTTTCTTACTGAGTCGCCATGGGACGTCATAGAAAGCTGGATAAAGGCTCTGCCGTTCAAGGAGGAGATACAGTGAGCCGGGGAAGAAACCTGATGTCCAGAAATCGAGAGTGCGGTAGACGTAGGTGACACCGTCTGCGCCGGAGTACTCTGGGTAGAGGGTTGGAGGCGCTGCACTGTCCAGTGCCTTATTTGCCACATTCCAGAGCTTTGCTGTTGCGGATTCCGAGTAGAGTGCTTTGACTAACGGGGAGGCTGTGGCTTCGGAATGTAATTCGTCGGTTTTAGGCTTTTTGGATGACTGTGGTTGTTAATATATTCTCTTGTTGATTACTGAAAAGGTAGGTAGTCCTACGTTTGTTCCATTTTGCCACAATTGTAGCCCTCGTTTCGCTGATATTGAGGTGTTTTCGTGCATTTTATACTGCTCCAATCGTGGATGGTTGAATGACAAGATATATTTAATTCAAAGTATAGAACCCAGGCACAAAATGAAATTCTATGAGCACTAAAATCCAAACACTCAATACCCACGTTCCATAGAATTGTGCATTGTTATAACGTATAGAGAACGGTCAGATACTGATCAAGTAGGGCACGGCAGCGGAGGAATAGCCGGCGCATCGCCGGTCATCCCTCGGCCACTTGACAGCATGAGAGTCTCGGACTAGCTGCCGGACCTCGTCCGACGGCACCCTGCTTCCCCAGATTCCTTCTCCACAACTGCGAATTGGGTATGATACAGTGTTCATAATGACCCTCTGTAACGGTGCTCCGAGTTTAGGGTGAAACGATATACGACTTTCCATACACAAATGTCCCCATATATCCAGTATTTCACGACTATATCCCATTGTTATCAACGTTAACCCGGGCATACTCACCCACAATGACGGACATCCAAGCAGACCGTAAAGGCATTTCCTCCCAGCATGAGCATATTGACCCACCTGAGAAACCTCAATACCTGGCTGGGGTCGATGCAGAAACCGCAGCCTATGCAACTGGCCCTCCTGTTGAGATCGACAAAGCTACCGATCGACGGCTCTTCTGGAAAGTCAATAAACGGATACTCGTCTGCATGGTTGGGGTATGTTTCATGTACTGACGACAGGCGGTTACTGTCGCTAATGGTATGGTCCAGACCTACTTCTGCCAAGCTCTTGATAAGGGCACTCTAGGGTTCAGCTCGATCATGGGTATTCAGGAGGATGCAGGTCTGGATAGCAACAAATATAACTGGCTCGGGACGATTCTATACATTGGAGTGCTTGTGGGGGAATATCCGACCAACTTCCTAGCTCAGAAACTACCGGTCGCTAAGTATCTTGCAGCGAAGTGAGTTTTTGTCTGATATATGAAGACAATGATTGACTGAAATAGTGTATTTCTCTGGGGAGTGGTCATCGCAGTATGTTCAGCATGATGTCGCTACGGCTTGACAGCAACTGACATATTCCAGTGCAGTGCGGCCGCTACGAACTTCCCTGGATTGATGGTTGTTCGATTCCTCCTGGGGTTTGTCTACCATTTCCATAGCATGGTGTCACTCTAACCTCCTACTAGCTGCTTTGAATCATGCGTCCAGCCAATCTTTATTCAGATGACGTCCATGTGGTATACCCGGAAGGAACAGCCAATTTTAACAAGCCTGTGGAATTGCAGTAAGTACTATCCTACCTGCTAGCATTATCCAAGGCTAACCGTTGCAGTGATGGGCGTTCAAATGATGGTACTTTTCCCCTCGCCCACATATAGACCACTCTAATGTCACATAGGTAGGAGGCATTATGGCCTGGGGTACCAGCCATTACATAGGCCATGCCATCAGATCCTGGCAATTACTCTTCCTCGTCCTCGGCGTGGCGACTTGTGTCTGGGCTGCATTTCTAGCCTGGTACCTCCCCGACAGCCCAATGAAAGCAAAGTGCTTCACCGAGGACGACAAACGCTTGCTTGTGGAACGGGTGCGGGCCAATGAAACTGGTATCCAAAACAAGACCTTCAAGAGATACCAGCTGGTAGAAGCCCTGACCGACCCTATCATCTGGCTTTATGTCCTCATGCAGGTGTCAAGTACACTAGTGCTTGGTGGATTGGGCGTGTTCTCCAATATCATCATCAAAAGCTTCGGATTTACCACGCTGCAAACACAACTGCTCAATATCGCACAGGGTGCTGTCACCAGCGCCGTCATGGTGGGCGGAGCTTCGTTGTCATCTTGGACGGACCAAACCATCTGGATCATGCACTTGTGGACAATGTAAGTGCAATCCTATTCCCAATAGTATATACTGATAAAAGTTTCCAGCCCTCCCATAATCGGCACCGCCATCATTTTCACTATTGCGCCAACTGAGTCCACAAGAGTCGGCCTTTTGATCGCATTCTACTGCACGCAGTTCATCTGGGCCGAAGGAAACCTTCTATTCTCGCTGATCTCCCGCAATGTCGCTGGCCAAACGAAGAAGTCGACTGTACTCGCCATGACATTCATCGCCTGGGCCGCTGGGAATGCGACCGCACCGCAGGTATATACTATCTCCCCTTGACCACCGATATGGTCCAGCTCAACTAACAAAAAAAAAAGATCTTCCAATCCTCCGATGCACCGCGCTATACTAAGGGCTTCACAGCCCATTTCTGTCTCTATGGAATCATGAATGGCACCTTACTCGTTACACGATGGTTACTTGTCCGTCGGAATCAAGGCAAAGAAAACGCCACTGCTGTTGCTGAGAATGGTAATCCCGAAGATATTGGTCACTCAGGCGCTTTCTTGGATATGACGGATAGGGAGAATCCAGACTTTCGAGTAAGTAAGCTGAGAAACTCTGTTTGGCTGGTAACTAATGGTCGTAGTATGTATACTAGATTTATGATTCACATGAACACTATGTGATGGCTTTGGGGGCTTGCGGCTTGAGGCGTGAGGGTTTATATGTTTAGTATTCCAATTTAAGTTTCATGGCCCAGAAACGCTCCCTGTCACGTAGGCCACGTAGCTATTTTCCCATTATAAACTAAAGCAAAACTAGAGGCGTGATTCAGAGGATGGATTTACAGCGATAAGCAATTCCGAAACAGGATCAGTTCAGGAGATTCCCTACCACGCCGCTTTGGATTATCGCTCTTTAGAAGGTCCCTTATCCCCAAATGCGCCCCAGCAGCCTACTGCAAAAGGCCTGTAGTACATATGTACACTATCGAATGTAAACAAGCCAGGCAAAGCTTGCAGTTGACCGATATGATGCGATATAACCTCGCTTTCCGTAGCCCGGCCAACCCCTCACATTTCTCCGGGTCTATCGACGCACGGAACCCCAAGCTTTTCCTTCAAAAAGCACACAACATCATCAATCTCGTCTGGCACTTTATACCAGTGTCCAAACTCTTCATACGCTTTCCAGGTCACATCCATCTCAAACCCATTGGAGAGGATAGACGCCATTCGTTGCCCAAGTTTCACCGACACCTTAGGGTCTGCCAACCCATGACCCAGGAAGACAGGTATATCTACATAGGACAGGGAAGACTGCTGCAAAGCCGGCATATTAAGAACGTCCCGGACATGATTGATCGCCTGGACATGCGCAGGGATATCCTCATCCTCTTCATCATCATGAGAGAAAGGATCATCATCTTCCATGTCAGACTCGCTTCCACCAGATTCTAAGAGTCCCGAGATCTCTCGTTCCAAAGGCAGCCACCCGCTCATTCCAATAAATCCGCCAAGCGGTTTGATCTTGTCTTCAGGAAAGCCTCCAAGAAGACAGAAGATAGATGTCGCACAGCCTTGACTCAATCCTCCGATGATGACGCGACTGTATTCACCATCCAAAAGGCGTGCCTCCTCGTCAATCAACCCGCGCAGAAAGCGACTACTTTCCTCGAGTCCGTCAAACTGTAGCTCTGTCCGGGTATTTGGATCTTCCAATGAGTAATTGTCAAACCACTGGTTGATAGGAATCCTTTTCAGAACCGTGGACCGACGTTTCCTGGCGGTGGGGAAGACGAACTTCACTGTTGGGAGACGTCGCGCAATGTCGGTGGACTCGAGGAAGACCTGGCCAAAGCGCTCACCATTGCTGCCGCGCCCGTGGAGGAGAATGATTGTATGGGTATTTTGGTTGCTCTTCAGAGGTGCGGCCACCAAAGGAGCGGGGTAAGGCTTGGAACCCGGCATGTTGAAACAGATTGAATTGTAAAACAAAAAGCCGGCGGTTACATTCTTGAAGTCATGGACACGTGAACTGGGTCGAGCCCTAGCTGGAAGCTGAACGTTCGAGTTATTAAGTAGGATTTGATTGTTCACATTACTTATTTTCTATATTTTACGCAAAGCCACTTCATTGTACTAGCAGATGAGCTCAGTCTATTCTTTTCTTTAAAAGTCAAGCCAACCTAAAGGGCACTCTTGTTCATGCACCCATGAGATCTGCATGCCGTTCAACATACCATACTCGGATTCATTCGTCAGTAGCCCATTGATTTGCTATTTCCGGTAGGACTCCCACTGGAAAGTCCATTTTCTAACAGCGGGGGCTGGTCGACGCGAACCTCAAGCTTACCGACCGGGCCGAACCTATCTCAGCTCAACTGAAGCTTTGGGTGGACGCATCCCAGCATTCAACATCGCTGTTATGTATGTCTCATGGAATCACCGGCCTCCCTTTATAGTTAAAGAAATTGTCACAGTAGTACTCGTTGTAGCGTATCTGATAATTGTCTGGATAAGTACGAGCGGATGAAGCAATTCTTGGATGTTGCCGCACGAATTTACAGCAGTATCGTTATGATGGACAAATGTCCATGGCTTTATGTAATTTAAGTAGCGAAACCCAGTGGAACAAGTGACAGGGAGAGCGAGGAATGTCAGTCTTGGATTGGGAGAAAATAGTTCCATCTTCTAACTGGTAGATCATGTTATACAGACATTCTTGGGATCCACATAGAAGAATTTTAGGACGAGCTGAGAATAAATTGTGACCGCTACCTAAACAGTCCGAAGGATCTCCATATTCCATCCGCGGTTGAAGTCAAGATGGGTATAGGGCGAGCTCGTGGGATCCACCGCTTTTAAATGTCATGCTGGTCCATGTCCGTTCATGGCCCCAATAGTGTCGTACCCAATAGGGTTGAATACCTTGTTGCATTCGGATTTCTGAACGTCATGAACAGCCATAACCCTACTCAGATACAGTGTTGCACCGCGGGTGGACCTCCTCGTATGATACCATATTCTTGGGGATGTAACCGATCTCTAACACCCTATCCTCTTGTGCATTATGAACTATCGCATGCATACAGGGTAGTCGTGCTTCAAGCCACATAAACTGCGCTCCATCCGTTCTACTATTCTCTTTTCTCTATTCTTCAACCATTCTATGTGCTTCTGAAATTCCCCCTCCGCCCTTTTCTTTATCTTTTTTTTTTTTTCTACCGTAGGGGGCTGGCTATATTCAGCTAACTTACAGTACCAGCCGCCTCGTACCAAGGAGTACTGATCAAGCTGTGAGATGTCTAGAGTAAGACAAGCAGCGATAGCAGCAGCCAGCGCAGCTGCAGGTGCAGGTGCAGCGCTTTTATACGCGTCAACCGCTCAACCACGTCAGCCCGAATCGACGCTCGAGATCATTGCTCCCGATTCACCAGGTATCTCCCCGCTACCCGATATACGAACCAAAAGTCTTCCCGTCCAAGCTCCCCCTCCCGGTCTTGCTATCACACCCTTTAGCCTTCTCGAAATCGATCCAACGGGGATTTTAACATACGGCCACCCCGGCCCAGTCGCCGACGAATTGAAAGCTCTTTCGTTCTATGGTGCATACGACCGTCGCACGCGGAATCCACTATGGGTCGCAGAACACATCACCCCGGAATCCATGGCTCAGGTCATCGGAACGCGAAAGAACAACTTTCGGGAAGACCGAAGTATCCCCAAGATATTTCGCGCCAAGGTGAGCGACTACGCCAGGTGCGGGTATGACCGTGGCCATCAAGTCCCCGCGCAAGATGCGAGATGGTCGCAAAAGGCGATCGACGACACCTTCAAGATGTCCAACATGTGTCCACAGGTGGGCAACGGGTTTAACAGTGGGTACTGGCGGTACTTGGAAGAGTTTTGCCGGAATTTGACCACAACGTATCCTTCTGTGCGGATCGTGACGGGTCCTTTGTACTTGCCACGTCAAGGTGATGATGGCAAGTGGCGCGTTAGCTATGAGGTTATTGGCTCCAGTGAGGTTCCTGGCGCAGAGGAAATCAGCGCTAGGGAGGATAACAACTTTGCGCCGAATGTTGCCGTCCCTACGCATTTCTTCAAGATTATTTATGGTGAGAAAGAACCCCGGGATGAAGACGGGAATGAGTGTTCCACGGGGGAAGTTGCGCTTGGGGCGTTCGTCCTGCCAAACGCTGTGATAGCCTCGAATAAAAAGCTGGCAGACTTTGAGGTCGACGTTGCCCACATCGAGCGTGCCAGTGGTCTAGAGTTCGTGAAGAATTTGGACCCCAAGCGACGGACACGGCTGTGTGAGGAGGTTGAGTGCGGTGTCCTGGTTAAGGAAATGAACAACAAGATGAAATCCAAGCTGTGATGAACACTATCGTACTTTGTGTCTCTTTCCTGTACTTCTGTTGTCCTCGATGATCGCCAGTGTGAATCGCGTTTACAGTGGGAAATATTGAGTATAGTTAGCCACCCAGGCACACTCTCTTCCCTACATAAGTTGTTTTCCATATCCTAGAGTCTTAGTTTACCGATTGCCAGTTGGTGTAGAGCAGCCTTTAGTCCCCATACTCATCATCGGACAACCCAAGGCAATTGTTATCGGGACATCGCTATTTTGCCTCTGTGCTACGTATATCCTTCCACCACCAGCTAAGATTCTTTATAATATTCACCTTCTCTGCGTAACCTGAATGATACCAAGCAGAAAATCATTTCCGTCTGTCGCCCACCTATCGAAATGACCTCCGAGACCTCGTCTGAAAATAACAAATCTGCCGGACGTCGATGGACATATTTTTCTTCCCTAGGTGACGGTCCTCTACGCCCGTAAACATGTTCTTATTTGCGTGAGCATTTTTAATGATTTATCTCTTAATTTCAAAACTCACCTTCGTTCTCGTCCATCTTGCTTTGCCACAGGCTTCAATACTCACTATTTAGGCGTCGCATATGTCAACCAATCTGACATTACCACGGTCATCTTATTCATTTACATCAGAGTGGTAGACATCGAGCGAGTTATCCGGCCACCTACGAAACTAAGGCTTTTCCCATAGTACCCTAATGAATAGCCTATCGAAGCCGGGTGTATCGAGATTCCGTAGATATGTTAACCCCCAGGCTTGAACCACATTCAGTGTTGAGACCCACAAAACCAAGAACCTATGCATTTGAGTACACACAACCATACATAGTGGTGTATATTTTTAGGTGTGGGTCCACGAGAGAGCCACAGAAATAGTGCCAAACCAGTGTTTGGCAACCAATGAAGTTGAATATGTTTCACGATAACAGGCTCCACACAGAAACAACAGAAATGGTAACTACTAAATGCTTTGCCCAGTGTCTTGTATGGCCCCCAAACTCGAATCCGTGACTCTTCGTGTCCGTGATTATTCTAACTAGTTCTTAGTAAATAAAAGTGGGCTATGCGCTCAACCTTCTAAAGTCTAACCACGAGAGATGGATGTCTGCATGGTGAGATTATAGTGTAGTTTAGTAAAGGTTGTTATCGAATCGTCTTCTACCCCTCCCTTCCTCCGGGAAGCTAAGCAACGATCTTACCGCCTTGCGCAGCTTCGTTTGACCTCCCAGTACTTTTCCCTATAAATCTTTACCAACACATCGTCAACGAACCCTACAAGTCTAGATTGTTCGTCATAACTACAGCCCTACCACGCTATAGAAAATGTCCGACTTCGACGCCCTCCTCGCTGAGTATACTGCGAAAGAAAACCCCAAGGTACACGGAGTAATATGCAAATGCGTAGATAAGAACGGTAACCCATGTTCACAATAACATTCCTTCCTCCTCAGATCTCCTAACATAAACCCCCAGGAAACGAAATTTACAATAAAATAGCCGGCTACAGCTCCCTCTCCACAGACGCCTCACCCCTCGACGAATCGGCCGTCCTCAAACTCGCTAGCGCCACGAAACTCATCACCAGCATCGCACTCCTCCAATGCATCGAAAAAGGCCTCCTCACCCTCGACTCGCCCCTCACCAACATCCTCCCCGAGTTCGCCGACATCCAAATCCTCACCGACGTCTCGGGATCGGACTTCACCTTCGAGCCGAGCAAAACCCCAATTACGGCGCGACATCTTCTGGCTCATACTTCCGGATTGGGATATCCGTTTACGGATCGACTCCTGGGTCTGAGGGCACAGGCTAGACAGCATATCAAACCGTCGCTCCGTGTTACAGAGAAATATAAGTATCCGTTAGTGTTCGAACCGGGGAGTGGTTGGTTATACGGCTGTAGCCTAGACTGGGCCGGTGTGGTTGTCAGTCGACTACACGATGGAATGTCCTTAGAGGAGTACATGATAGAGAATATCTGGAAGGAAGTAGGCCTTTCGGCTCCCTTCCCACGCTTCAACATCTCAACGCACCCCGAATACAACGCACGGATAATGCACAGCGCCGTCCAAACCAGTGACGGACGACTGGAGCCCTACGATAGCTGGGCATTCGATAACCCCGAAGATCAAGAGGGTGGGAGCGGTCTCTCCTCCACCGCGAAAGACTTTCTTGCCGTGTTGGCAGATTTGATCTCGGAGTCCCCGAAGCTGTTGAAACCGGAGACCATCTCGGAGATGTTTACGCCCCAGCTTGTGCCTGGTTCGGCCAGTGTGAAAATGCTCTTGGAGTTACGGCCTGCGTGGGCGATTGTTGCTGGGCCTGTGGCGGATGATGCGGTGAATCATGGGTTGGGTGGCGTGTTGTGTACTAGGCCGGTGCCTGAGATAGGGCAACCGGGGAATGTGCTGTCGTGGGGTGGGGCGACGAATATTGTGTGGTGGGTGAGTCGGGAGTTCGGTGTTGCGGGCTTTTTTGCGACGCAGCAGGCTCCGTTTGGGAATCCGACGGTGACGGGGCTTGTTGATGCGTGGAAGAGGGATTTTTGGATGGGGTTTAATCAAGTGAATCATCTCTAGGTAGGGTTTTGTTGACTGGGAGTATTCTTAGAATGACATTGAAGCTATGAACTGTCTGACACGATCCAAATTGGTAGTGGAACGCGTCGGACGTTCCATTGTTAGTTAGTTATGGGGTTATTATAATTATGTAATAAATATAAGAGGAGGCTATAAGATGGACATTAAAATGGCTCAAGGTCGGAGCAAGTGCCGGCGCAGCTCCGGGTTGCAGGATCCCCGTGGGGAAGATGTCGGAGATACTTCATCTGCGAAACAATCGGAGCACCGCGAATAATATAACCAACTAAGCGGTGGGGTCAATGGATCCGGTGCATTAAAAAACCTGGTGCGGCGGGTTAGTTAGAACGACAGTTGGCAATCGATTCACAAGGTCCAGGAAGATGCTGCTAGTAAGCTCCCATCCCCGATTTCTTTCATTCTGTTAGCTGATGTGGGCCCAATCTCAGAATAAAATAACAATCGTATACGCGGCAATTCTCGCCCTCAGTATTGGCTCGGCTCAGGCGACCGTATATGATATACCTGGCATATTCCCGGCCATCCCTGCCGTGGCCCCATTCGAGTCCATCGACACGGCACAGTATTTCAAAAGAAACCCTGGAGACTTTGTCCATCCCGGGATTTGGCATACGCACGAGGACCTCGAGCGCATGCGGGACAATGTGCTCCGTAACAAAGAACCCTGGGCATCGGCGTACCAACGCTTCCGGGCCGACCAGTACTCCCTCGCCAATTACACGATGGCAGGACCCGCCACTGTGATTTCCCGGGGTAAGGTCAGTAACTACTCCTCGTTTGCGCATGACGCGCGAGCCGCGTGGCAGAACGCTCTGATGTGGTATATCACCCGCGACCAATCGCATTGGGGCCGCAGTACCAGCATCCTGGACGCGTGGGGGTCAAATCTGACGGATATCATCGGTATTGACCGGTCGCTGCTCATCGGTCTGGATGGAGACCTGTTTGTCAACGCCGCCGAGATCATGCGATGGGAAGGGAACTGGACGGAGTCCGGTAGTAGATGGCAGGGCGGCACTGGGTTCAGCAACCAGCTGTACTGGCTGTTTTCCCGGCAGTCTGTCGCCATTGGGCAGGCGAACTACGGGATGGCCAGCATTAAGGCATTGATGAGTTTCGCGGTGTACCTGGACGATGTACAATTGTATAATTATGCCGTTCATGCGTTCATCCACGATCGCTGCGCCGGGGTATTGGCCATGTATCACCCCGAGACGGGGCAGTCGGTGGAGGCTGGGCGTGATCAAGGTACAGTACATCGTTACCTTAGGCTGATTCATACCGACCGGTAGTTACTTCAGGCAGGCATGCTGACATAGCATCAGGCCACACCATGTCGGGCATCGGGTGGACGGCGTACGGCGCTCGCGTCGGGCAAAGCCAAGGCAGCGATCTTTATAGTCTCGGAGGTGGGTTGTTACTCAAAGCGGCCGAATACGCCGCGAAGTATAATCTGAACCACACCGTCTTTTATGATCCCCAATGGTACCGGTGTGAAGCCGTGCTGGTCAATGGTCCCTGGCGAAACATATCCGAGGCCAGTCGTGGAGTCACAAACAAGAACCCTATGTGGGATATTCTATTTTATGAATATGTGGTGACGCGGGGAAATGATGGGCCCTGGACCACGGCAGCAAAGGAGACCCAGGGGTTCGCCGGTGGAGTTTCCTCCAACGACCACCCCAGTTGGGGAGATCTGATCTGGGCACGGTAATTCGTTAGTCCCATGCGGGGTTAGTTGGGTATCCCGACGGAGTTCCTTGCGAGGTAGTACGAGTCTAAGGCCTGGAGAGGAAGTCCTTCCGGATGTCACCTTGTGCTGCAAGCAAGGTGGTGATACACGCAAGATGACATGAGATAATAATTACTATTATTCATTTCCGTTCCGTTCCGAGATGATCAACCAGGATTGTGTCAGATCCCATCTGTCCATGACCACACGGTCAGATCAAATCAGTATGGAACAAAATGTAAACATCGTAACAAGTACCAGAGCATTGTTTTGTGGCGACATGAGTGTCATACTGTTCAATCTCGACCTACAGTTTTGTCAGGGTTCAGCTCTAGACCACGTGTCGGCAACTCGGAGCCGAGAAGACACTAAGACCGAAAGCGGGAACCGCGTAGAAGATTCCCTTTTGAGCATGCGGAGAGAAGTTCCAAGAAAAAGTGCCCAGACTCAAACCTGATCAGCACGACGTCACGTGGTGCCCCGATTAGAGTTGCGCCACCGCCGCATCCGTTGAAAAACCTTAAAACCTTGGGGGATCCGTTTAGATGAACACGTGCCGTTTCTGGGGTCGACAGCTTGAAGAATTCATGACATTTTAAAATGAGTAGGAGACAGTGGACACTAGTTTACAATAGGTAGGTGATTCGACTTCTTATGAATAACATCTGTCCATTTCTTTTTTTTCCCCTCGGTGCCTGTTTTCTCTGAGTCACACTAACAATGACGAAGTGGAGCCAACAGCGGCTCTAATGCAGGTTACGCCCCCGACATCGGACCAGTCGGACGGAAAACTCTTAATTTGCCTTCCGATTTGCCAATCATCGCCCGCTATTAACTAACGCATTCCTCCCGCGTTCCCGTTTCGCCTTCTTAGTTCCTTTCTTTCTCTCTCTTTCCTTTATATTTATTTACTACTTTAACAATCCTTTCCCCCTCGCACACACATCTTCAACACCGTGTGTGCACTTGGTTTGCGACAATCATGGCGTCGTCTGATGTCAAAGATATTGAACATGGCCTGAATCGGAGGGAGAATGACTCCGAGAAGCCTCCTTTTGAGGACAACCTGAAGGAGGAGCCTCCCCAGCTGGAAGTGGACGCTTTCGGCGCTGAAGAGACGGCGGAAGTCAAGTACAAGACTTTGGACTGGTGGTATGTGTGATCGACATTCCCAGGAATCCTTCTAGAAGCCTGACTGACCAACAATGCTCGGATAGGCAATGTGGAATCCGTACGACTCCCCGCGCAGAATGACGAAATACTTCCCCCAATCAGTATACTAACCCATACAATAGTCATGATCGCTGAAACGGTCTCTGTTGGTGTCTTGTCACTGCCGGCCACTCTCGCATCCATTGGTCTTATTCCGTAAGCATTGCACCACGTTCAATTCGCCCCACACCATCGTTACTGACTCCATGGGCTAGGGCAATCATTCTCATCGTCGGTCTCGGTATTGTCACCACCTACTCCGGTTATACCATCGCACAATTCCGACATAAGTATCCCTACGTCCATAGCATGGCCGATGCAGGTTTTATCCTCATGGGTCCTATCGGTCGCCACATCATCGAAGTTGGACAGCTGCTGTTCTTCCTGTTCGCTTGTGGTAGTCACCTGTTGACCTTCACCGTCATGATGAACACCTTGACCGACCACGGCACATGTTCCATTGTGTTCGGTGTCGTCGGCTTGGTTCTCTCGTTGATCTTCTCCTTGCCCCGAACCATGAAGAACGTCTCCTGGCTCGCCGTGACCTGTAAGAACCCATTTGTCTCCTGGCCATGATATGAGTCGCTGGCTAACCCATGGAATTCTAGCCTTCCTGAGTATCTTCAGTGCCGTCGTCATCACGATGATTGGTGTGGGCATCGAGCGCCCCGGATATGACGAGTTCCAGCTCACTCGCAAGACCAGCTTCGTCAACGGTTTCACCGCCGTCACCAACATTGTTTTTGCCTACTGTGGGTTTTCTCGGATAATTCTTTATGTAACAACACGTGACTAACATGTGCGCGCAGGTGGTCATCCCGCTTTCTTTGGTTTCATCGCGGAGATGAAGAATCCACATGATTTCCCCAAGTCCCTGTGCATGCTACAGGGCTTCGAAATCATCCTGTACACCGTCGCATCAGCCGTCATCTACCGTTACGCCGGACAGAACGTCGCCTCTCCCGCACTGGGCTCCGCTGGTCCAGTGGTGCGGAAAGTCGCCTACGGTATTGCCATCCCAACCATTGTCATTGCCGGTGTGGTTCTGGGCCACGTGGCTATCAAGAACGTTTACGTGCGCATGCTTCGTGGAACCGAGTTGATGCACAAGCGGAACTGGCAGAGCATTGGTGTCTGGATTGGTCTGGCCGTAGTCTTCTGGGTCATTGCCTGGGTCATTGCCGAGGCCATCCCCGTGTTCAGCAACCTGCTCAGTCTGGTCAGCGCTCTCTTCGTCAGTTGGTTCACCTTCGGTCTTCCCGGTGTCTTCTGGCTTTACATCTATAAGGGCCAGTATTTCGCCTCACCGATGAAGATTTTCCTCACTCTGTGCAACGTGTGCTTGTTTATTTTCGGTGTCCTGATCTGTGCGCTGGGCCTCTGGGTATCCGGTGTGGCCATCCACAACGATAAATCCCACGGCAGCTTTACCTGCGCCAATAACGCCATCTAAACCCCGGTGGTTTACGTTTTTCTTTTAATCTCCTAATCGGCCCATCATTCAAGACCCTACTCCCACCAAACTTCCACCGTCCCATGCGCGACCGTTCTTCTCTTGAGAAACCACGACGATGCATCATCCCGTCGTTTTTTCGCCATACATTATATAGACCCACATACCAACATCCGCCTCGCGATTATATCTATGAGCCTGAGAAACGGACATTTTTTTTCGCAATTGCGGTTGTACCGAATCAAGGGACACGCCCTACCGTGTCTATACCGAGCCCGCCCGAGCTCATTCATCATCGGGTACGATATTAACATCATACTCCCTGCATCACGGCGTGGATGGGATTTAGAGTTGGGAGCATCGGAGTTTGCTTGAGTTTTGATTGTGGCCATTGTACAGTCGACCAATGTATTGTATTATAGATTATGCATCACAATTATACCCCCATATATTTTTATCTCGAAATCTGTAACTCCCAATTTTCTATATGTCCTGTGGAGCTTCTAAATCTAGCCGTACGATTAGATTCTTCAACTGATCTCGCGTCCCTTGGTTCACCCTATGCTGCAAGGGCGATAGGCGGTACTTTAATCACGACGGTCATCGATCGCCGAACCTTAATAGATTAACATTCGGTTGGTCGGATCTGCCACTTACCCTATTCGGAGATAAGTTTATCTCCAGGGTTTTGTGCAAAAGCTAAATTTATACTCCTCCCCGGCGAACCACAGTTCAACCATGGCATCTTGTTCAGAAACTAGGCAAGCTACTAACTACTCTGTAGAGACCAGAAAGTGCTTATTCTGGAACTCTCAATGTTACTCTATGAATTCACTTATACTCGTAGTTCTGTGGGTAGAACCGTTTTGATTAGGTTGAATGTCACATTATATATATTATCCCGCGACAGACATAAGAACAATTATATACGGGCCACAAAAGCGAATTTGTTCCAGTACAACAGCCATAGAATTTAACTTCTCATCGCCAAACTCACATTATGCCTTCTATCATCATCGAACGGTCCAGTGTGGGTATTCCGTTCGGGTACCTGGTGCCTGGTATGTGCCTGACGTTTTCCGCACGGATGGTCCGTATCTAGTTAGGAAACAGAACCACACAGCCCACACTACTTCATACACAACTAAAAAAAAATCTCAAATTTAACAGCAGCATATGGCCCTCTCGTTCGATGCCTTAAGTCGAAGTAAAAAAGATGTGTGCAAAAAGTGATGCGGTGAGCCGGGATTGAACCGGCGACCTTTAGATAACCCGAATGGGTCTATCTGATGAAGTGAACTTCAGTCTAACGCTCTCCCAACTGAGCTATCCCCGCAATTGATGGAAACTCAATCAATATTCTGCCATTATAATGGTGATTAAATCCGTGCTCTTCCTTTTCCAATTTTTTATGTACGTATCATCTGCAGAATATCCAACACTAAAATTTGGAAGAAATCAAGTATGAATACGGTGCGTTGTATACATAAGGCCACACTCTCAATGGGCTACAGTGAGAAAACTACAGGGAGAATGATACCCACCCCTGCATATCAACGGGGATGGCTATAACTAGATTATGTACTTTCAGAGCGGTACACTGGGATGACTGGTGCAGGCGTCGCGTCTGACATATATAGCCTCTATGACTGATCAGATAGGGTTGATTGTCTTTGATGATGTTGGCGGCACTGGGTACACTACGCTGAAGAGACAAAGTAGCAGAGAAACGTATCGCTCCCGAAGTGGCGAAAATATCACAGCAGTCTCGTCGTACCTCCAAGACTTATCCAGCGAACCCCGTTTTGCCGATGGTAATGTACCCATAATCACAGGCCATGGTAGCCCTGCCGCGCCTCCCATGCTGCCTTGATGGCTGGGGCGGCGCGGATTAGGCCCTCTTCAGTAACGCAGTCGGCTATACTGTCGAGAGCTTTCTCGACAACAGAGATAGGGTTTGCATCTCTCTTGTCATTGCGGAGACGGTAGAAGCGCCAGTGAGACTGGTCGTCTTTGTAGCATTCGATGATAGTACCCTCTAATGGAGTACGCATTACTCTTAGGTCGTCCCATTCTTCCCAAGTGAGGTACATCTCGCCAAAAGGGAGATTCTCCTGTGGGGAGAGCATGACAGACAAATGGCGGATAGGTATGGAGTCGTAATCTGAATCTGTGACACCGTTGATCTTGTCTTCGGGATCTGGCTCCGGAACCGGGAATTGTAGATGCAGGCGGAAGTCAACCGTGTTGTCCGAAGCAGGCTTCCATTTGAGGATATGCTCGTCTAGGCCGATATAGTAAGATGTACTACAACAGACGAAGATGAGGCCGCCATTCCCACGAATGCGCTTGACCTTTGGGATAATATCACGGAACATCATTTCAATGTTGTAGCTGAAATGCATCGACTTATCTTCGACAATAAATGGCCGGCCTTCCTCAGAGAATTTCGGCACATCTTCTTATAAGGCTCAAGTACTTCCTCATTGAGATATACTAAGCGCTTGTCGAATGGATCATGCATTACTCTGTGTCCGCCTAATGTTAGTATGTCAAATACTAGGTACTTCAGCTGCTGCGAGCCGTCCTCATAGGTATCGAGGACAAGTTCACCGTCTATAATGGTATTGTGATGGATTGACAGGAAAGTTTCATCATCGGGCTTAGGAAAGTGCAGCCCAGGTACATGGCGGTAGTGGTTTTTGCGGTCGATCAGGTAGTGCATCTCTGATATTTCAGAGTCGGCGGACCCGCGCTCCATGTACATTAGACACCGGATTCCATCCGTCTTCTCACAAACATAATAGTCTTTTTGCTGTAGCTCTGCCAGATGTTGTGACGAGAAGCTAACGGGGGCGGCACCAGGGTAGCCGACCTTGGTTTGGCCGAGCAGGCTCGCAACCTTGCGGCGGAGATTCTCAGCTTTCTCGGGCTCGACTTTGATGCCAACCACATCTAGGTCGGGGAAAGAGGGACTCATCATTGAGGCACCGGGAGATGTCTAAAGAGAAGTTGGGAGGTGTGTACATGCAATGACAAACAGAAGCTTGACCCCCCCTTTTGCCTGAAATGTTACGGCTGTGGAAGAGGCTGAAAGTCCGAAGGTGGGGGGTAGCAGTGGATCTCGATCTCCAGTGGGTGAAATACTAGTTAGTACTCCGTACTCCGCATACTTAATAGTGGTTTTTGCTAACCACACTCCGGAGTTATACTCGAACTAAGGGAGGTAATTTTCCTGAATTGAGAATCAAATTTCATTTGTTACCCCTAGCTCGAACTCACGCTAAGTGGTGGTCACTAATTCGATCCCATAATTGGAGATTGGGAAGGCAACAAGACTTCTTGTGTAGTCTATGCGGAGAAGCAGCACATAGTAACTGTCACGTGACTCGAGGTCGACTAGGTATGATAAATTTCTATTTTATCAAACTTATATAGTAGTGATAGATCAATTTTTTTTATTGTTATTTTAAGAGAAAAAAGCAAAAAGCTATTCAGAATAGGGGTCAAAACCCCTATTCTATACTTCTGGGAGCTAAATGCCAAACTATCTTGCAGATCCTTACTTTTAGGGCGCCGGACCCCACTCATGAACTGGTGCTCTTTGACACCTGGAGCATGAAAATTTTGACCCAGTGAAGTATCGCTCCGTATATAACGATTGACCCCGTGGACTTTCCACTGGTTTTCATGTTGATATTTGTCTCCCCCTCTACTCATTAGGAGCGCTCCTACCCCTCAGAAAATGTACAGACCCACTAGTAAGAATGAGTGGTGGTTTTGTGGGCCTCTTCTAGTGCAAGCGGTACTGGTCATTATCTTGGAAATGTCAGTGTAATTGTCTAGAGACAGTGATTTTTAACTCGGCTCACGAGTAACAGATACATTCTCGTTCAGTGGCAATCTTGGGTCAATCCCAATATCGTCCAAATTACGCCTTCATATGTGATTCCTGTGGGTATGGGCATTGTGGTTTTTGCATGCATTTACGAAGTCGTTCTCTCGCTGGATGCAATCCACCACAAAAACAATATTTCCTTGCTTGCCATATGCCTCACCAACGTCTGCATTGTCGTGTATGCGGTCATGCAGTACATTAAAATGCGAGATATTACCCATTCACTGCAGGGGACAGCTGACGGGATGGGCGATCCACTCGTGGATTGGTCTCGGGATATCTGGCCATCAATGCGACCGGCAGAAGTCGCTATTCCGGCTATTCTAACCATCTGTTCGCTCGTTATCATACCTTTTGCCTATCGGCTACACACGGACTACGCCTGGGCAATATATAAATGCATCCACGGCAGTCCAGAGCTCCGGTTGCGGTATCTAGCCTACGAGGTAAGTATCTCTCATATGCTCTCCTTCGTTCTGACTAACATCCCCCAGATCTATTTGGTCCTAATCAAATTTGATTTCTTTTTCCTAACTGGCTTTATTATCCAATATGATCTGATCGATGTGCATTTTGCGGAGCCTGAATATTCCCTGACAATGGCGCTCATTCCCGCTTCGTTACTGGTGATGGTCGCCGGCATTTACTGTGTCAAATGTGGGCTCAAAATTGCCCTGATGGTTGTTATTGTGGGTCTCCCTTCCTTTCGTCAAGTGTCGTTTCCTGACGATGAACAGGCGTGCTACCTCGGGTCAATTGCGTATCTGCTTAGTCGGATCGTCTTGCTTTGCGGAAACTCACAGCGTGCCAATACTGTAGGCAAGGAGATGATGTTGTTCTTCGCCGCTGTCGCGCTGGTTCTTATTGTACTAACTGTGGGGTGTGCGGTGCAATGTATCTTGAATCTCAACTACGGGTTGAAAGTCACTCGCCCTGATAATAGTCAGTGGCCACAGAGTTCCTATGCTTTCCATAGACTTGCTGCGCCTATGAGCCCTTCTATTGATACCCGATATCATCGTCGTATGTCACTTGATTAGCTGCAACGGGTAACTGATCCATCTGGGAGCTCTCATCTGGCCGGAGATACTGGAGAAAGGAGACGAACGTGTGGAGTACCGACGGCATTCAAACGGAATTCTAACGGCATCCAAATGGCAACAGTTTTACCGCTAGCTTGTTTTAAAGTCGGACTAGCGCCCAATGGCATTTCCTGATCCCGTAAGGCGGGAAAGCTTCCCACGAGCCGAGTGTCTAAGGGCCAATTGGAGTTCTTCGTCACGCTATGCCAAGGCCGCCGGAGTGGCCCATCCGAAGCCCTAAGCCTATTTCTGTCTTTCTGGAAAAATTTTGGTCTCCAAGCTGTTGCCCGTGATGAGTTAAGTGGTGCAGATCCAGCTGAGCCACTTAACCCCAACATTCCGAGCTGAAATGTTAATACATCTTTCTCTTCCCGCTCAGCAGAAGGCGAGTATCGAAGGATCTGCATTGTGTGAGCCACTGTCATGTGCCCCCTCTAAGACATAATGTGGCACAGGAATAACTTCGGGGTTTTGTTGATCTCACTCTTGCTCCTACGTGTACATGCGGCTTTTATTCGCCGTTTGGACTGCAGCCCCTCCGATGATGCGTTAGTCGATCATATCTTTGAGCCACTTTCCTTGAGAGGCTATCTAGACACTAAACATGCGAACAAAACAATATTGTCCTTAACATTAAGCGGCGATTATGAGTCTCATAATTGTGACGCCTTGGGCGGCGCATTGGCACGTATATCGATTGATGCAAGAGTACTTGGTCGTTCGGTCATTACTGATGACCGCCTGTTGGATTCCAGTGCTGACTGCCCGGAGTTGTCTCCGATCTATTATCCGAGGTACCTATTGCATCCTCCAACAGGAAGCTCTTAACTGATGATCCAGATCCGATCCTCGAACGTACGCAACGTACCGAGCGTCGTACTCATTGGACCATGCGTATCGCATGAACACCTTGGCAACGACCATCCGCCTTCGGTTGAATGACACCGATATTTCTTGTAACGCCGCCAATATCACCCCGTACATTGGCTCAACAGCATCGGGGGTCTTGAAGGGGGTCCCCCTAGCCATTATGATTCTCACCGGGGTCATAAACGGCACCCTCATGATTTGTCGAAGCCGTGGACGGAGAGCTTTCCGGTACGAGCTCGCGAATGCATCTCGAGATCCAGCGGAATCTTATCTCCCGGGGATGGGCGACTGCTTGCAGTACATCCAGTTCATCTTTCTGACTGGATGCCTAACGCTATCTTATCCCGGATACTTTCGCGCATCATTAGGTGAGCTCGCCTGGTCATCACTGATTCTAAGAAATTGGCCCGTCACACATAAATTCATCTATCCTGGGGTTGAGGACAATATATACGCTGTAAATGCAACTTGCGGCTTCGAAGAGATGGCCCAATACCTGGGAGCAACGACAATGAGTGATCTCTGGACCAACGCCATCGTCAACCTAGCCCTAGTGATACTCGGAGTCATAGTGGCAGCCCAACTCGCATGGTTAATCAAATCGGCCTGGCAGCTGTTTCCAACCCGCTGCTCGACTCACATGTTAGACGTTCCAACGGAATTCCTAACTCACATCCAGCACACGGGCTGGAGTGTCGCACGGGTCCTCTTGAACTACTTCCTCCTTCCCATCGTTGCCTTATCTCTCTACCAACCACTCATGGCCACATGGTACCCCGTTTACCGCACATTTCTCGCTGTGTCCTTCGTCGCGGCTCTAGCCGTATCACTGGCCCTCATAGTCCGGTACTTGGTCAAGAACGACCGACAAAACAATTTCTTCCACAAGGGTTCCTACCCGAGAAATTCGTCCCAAGACTGGCTTTCTGATACTTTATACATGGTCCCGTTCCTGAGGGGGTTAGCTATCGGCGCTCTTCAGACCTCCGGCCTCGGTCAGATACTCGTTCTCCTATCGTGTGAGATCTTCATCTTAGCTTGTCTGCTATGGAACTGGCGAGCGCAACGGGCGTGGAGACATGCTTGCTTCGCAACTGTGCGGCTCGTCATCATCGGTATGAGCTGTGCCTTTCTCCCCAGGGCTGGCGTGCGCGAGGGAAACAAGGCCTTAGTTGGGTACTTTATCATATCCCTACACGCCGCCGTCCTGGTCACTGCATTTATCGTCGATTGCCTTTACGAGATGGTCCGCTTTGGCCTGTCTAAGTTGGGCATTCTTGATCCCCGTTCAGCAGACCTGGATAATCACTCCGATAAGGCTCCTGTATGTCTTATTCCCAACATTTTTTTTTTTTTTTTTTTTTAAGAAAAGGGAAATACTAATAAAATCAAGGTCTTTGGAATCGGTCAACTCGCCCGACGCTCAACAAGACGCATGTCATTCGCACGTCTCCCTGCTCTAAACCCAGTCGGTGAGTCCCGGGTCCTTATCGAACATACCTAACAGTACATATATACTAAACCGGACCAGAAATATCAGTCCCTTACACACAACGACCCTCAACCCCTCGCCGACCATCCTTCCTAGGCGACTTGCCAACCAGAGACGAATACCCATCTTTCTTCCGACCCCCCAGATCAGAAACCACCTCCATCCGCTCAGCATGGAGTGTCGTCTCTCCATCGTCACCATCTCAGTCTGAAAGTGAATCCCGTGGGTCTAGCATGGAATCTGTGGAATTGGAGGCTCTTGATTTGGAGTCTAAATCAAGTGAAGGTGTGGATTATTCTTATCGCGAGGCGGACCAGTATTATGGTCGGCCGCCGACTTCTGTACGGGTTGTTCAAGGTGTGGTGCCGAGTCAAGGTGAATCGTCGAACCAGGGGAAGGAGCAGAAGAAGGGACCTTGGAGGTGGAAAAGGAAGCAGAAGGAGAAGGGATTTGAGGTTATTAGGCCGAAGCGGACGGATACTTAGGGATTTTATATTGGTTGTATTATAATACTTATATGCTCGATGAGCTACTAGAAATAATGTTTTATTATTGCTGTTGGTTCGGACCAGACATACTGGGTTACCGTAAAGTAAACTCATGCAACACATGGCCATCCTGCTCACCACCCAGCTCTTCCGGATAATAGTCAAATGAATAGTAGTGCCTACAGGGATAAATGTTTTTGCTCCGATTTTATGATATTCAAACGAGAAGTATGGGCGTCTGCACCATTTGAAACTAGGCATTCCAGTACTGCCGCTTGACCACCTTCCATAGCCACATGAACAGCCGAGCTGAATATCATATTCCATGTCCTTTGCGGACCAATACTTCCATCTATGGGAACATTTACGTCGATATCGGGTCCACTCCGATTTCCAATAACCTTTGGACCAATTTGGGTTGCCTTCAAAGGGTGCCTGTATAACTAACCGGCCCAGCACTGCGTTATAGCATGGGTTCATGCGGGGTCCATCATTCAGCAGATTTAAAATGATGAGTCCCTATAGAAGATCTACTGGAACCAACCAATTTGCACACTTCAGAGTCACCTCTAACAAGTTTGTCGTAGGCGAAGCCCGTCTAACTATTGGCTCAAGCTTACACTATGGCCGCACTGAGTAGCGAGAACACTTTGAGATAACTGCATGTAAAATTATTCATAGATTTAAAAGCATATCCACCGTATGATACAACAGAAACCGCTTAGCTCCATCACTCATTGTATCATTCCTCGTCTAAAGCATACAAGTCCGAAAAGTAACACAGGCCCACATCTCTATTGTACTCAACGGCAGCACAAGCACCAAGAGTCAAATCGAGAACCTAGAGGGATACACAACTCAAGCTAGCAGTGAGAAATATAAAGGTCTGTGCTATCTAAGCTAGATCTCACACATTCACACTCTCCAGCTGCACAACATTCCCAGACTTGAAATTCCTTGGCACAACATTGACCGCGAAGTTCTCATCATACAGATCCCGGCAGACAGCATTCTTCTGGCGAAACACGTATCGTTTGAACCACCACGGTAGCGCCTCAGTCAATTGGTACTTGGCATGTGCGCGGGTTGACACACTGAAGACACGGTCCAACTCCTCGAGAGATCTCTGCTTGGTCTCGGGTAGGAAGAGGAAGATCAGGACTAAGGCCACAATGTTCAGACCCGCGTAGAAACCAAAGGCACCCTGTGGCTTGAACTCTCGCAGGATGTACGGGAATGTGAGCGATAGCACAGCGGCCCAGAAATTGTTCGTTGCGACTGCCCATGCCATGCCGATTTCACGATGGGATACTGGGAAGACTTCGGCGGAGTAGGTGAATGGCACGGGACCTTCACCGGGGGAGTAGAAGATGTTGAAGAGGTAAATGAAAAGTGCGATCCCGCCCAGGTGAGCGCTTTTTTGCTCTTCTGGAATCCAGAAACAGAATCCTGCTGCTAGAAGTGTCCAGCACATGTTGGGGAAGGTGGCGAGCAGGAGCCAGCGACGACCGAAGGTGTCAATGGTCCAGACGGCGGGCCAGGCGAACAGGAAGTTGACGAAGCCGAAGCCGAAGGATGCAAGGAGCGCCTCGATGTTGCTGGCGCCGGCCTTGGCGAAGATCGAAGAGGAGTAGAACGCGATGATGTTGACTGTATACTCGGTTAGTATGATAGCAATGGGAGGTGGGAGTGTGGGGAGATACGCACTGCCGCACATCTGCTGTCCGATCATCACAATACCAGAGGCCTGGGTAGCACGACGGTTTCGTGGAACGGTGAATAGCTCTATGAATCGCACAATCATGTTATCATTCTTAGAGAATTCCTCAGAGGTCTCAATGAGCTTTTTTTCTAATTTCATCTGGGAGTGGATCTTGTAGAGGTCGCGGGCTGCCTGAAGAGGACTGTTCCGCAGTCGCAACAGAGAGTTATATGCCTTGCGAGCTTTGTTCTTTGTCAAAAGCCAACGAGGGGACTCTGGACACCAATACACCCCAAGGAGTAGTGGAACAGCGGGGATAAATGCTGAGCCAAGTTGGAGTCTCCATGCGATCGCACCCGTATTGACGACAACGAGATTGGCGCATGTTCCCAAGAAGATACCGAACGCGGTCCCTGATGAGTGAGGGATATGTTAGATATTGTTAAATTTACCTCCTACGCCAGCATAGAGTACTTACAGATTTGCCAGGACATGACCAGACCTCCACGAACATTAGTAGGGGCATTCTCAGCAGAAAGGACCGGGACCGTCACTTCCTTCAGACCCATTCCGATTCCAAGTAGAACACGACAGGCCATTAGCTGACCCCAAGACTGAGTCACTGCGCACGCGATGGGAGCGACCAAGCTGAACACTGCAGCAATGAAAATGACCCACTTGCGACCAAGCCAATGATTCAGAGGATCAGAAATCCAGCCAGCACTGCGATGTATTGTCAGCTCGCGGGCTCCATAGAAGCCAGTAAGGGGGCTTACTCACAAAATCGCGATCGTCATGTAAGGTACGGCGTTAATGGCGCCGACAATCCACTGGTTGCGACTGCATTCAGCGGGAGATATGCAGTCGGGAGGATCCTGTGGGATTCCGAATTGATGCGCAAAGGTAAGGTTGGCGCCGTTGGATCCTACAAAGGAAGTCAGGGGAATATCTAAAGGCGACCACACCGGTTAGGATTTACCTGTCTGATCCCATCCTTGAATAGCAGCGGCGATGGAATTGAGGATGATGGTGTAATAGAGCGCCCAAGGGTGCTTCCAGCGGTTGGTCGTCTCTTGTCGCAAGTACTGACGATCCTCAGGGCTCAGCTCTGGGATGTCATCGTACTGATCTGGCCTCTGGGCCACCAGGGCTCCCTTCTTCAGGAGAGGGAGGATATCGTTCAAGTCGTATTCTTGCGCATAATCTTCGACATCGCGAAGGAGCTGATCTCGAGGAATACCACTCAATGGGTTCTCGATGCTAAGGTTGAGAGGTCAGTAGACAAGCGACGATCAAAGCATGGGAAGAGAGACAAACTCAATAAGCCCCTGTGCTGTCACGTCTACCTGGCGCTCATGCGCAACATACTTGGCCTCGTCCATTCTATTAAATTAAAATTGTTAGTCGAAAAGCGCAGGGAGGAGGAATATGGCACGACACACATTATCTCAGTATTGCTTCCTGCCGCTGAGTTAAGGCATGCAAGAAGATCATGAAGTTGCTGAATATTCTGAATTACTCTGCAGGAATCAACCGAGTACAAATAGTCTATGTGGATCTGGGGTCGATGATCTGGGGTTTCTGCTGGTTCCAAGGATCGAAGTTCTCAGTCTCCGCAAATATGGAAGAGGAAAATGCCTCCCCCAGACCTCAATTGCCCAATTCACCGTGAACCACTGTTAATCCCGCACACTGGGCAATAGCTGTAGCGCCACGAAAAAAGTTATAGCGGGTTTCAAACCCGACGGTCGTCATTGATGGTTTGTTCGGTGGAATACGGGCTACCCTTTGTTGCTTCAAGCCACCACTAAGTGCCATTGGTAGGGTTGAAGCCAAGCCCCCCATCGAACCCAATAAAAGGCAATCTATGAACTTTTGAATGCTACCCTGGACTAGTCTTTTAGTGCCCGAACCTTAGCTCGCATGCCAACCAAGTTCTTAGCCAGTCGCGTGCCCTGTCATTTTCCGCATCCGGCAAAGATGAAGGCAGATCCATCTTCGCTTACTGGGTGACGGACAGCTCCCCAGTGCGCTAGAATTTCGGGCGATCTTCTGTACAAGCTGAAGCTTGCCTGTCACCTGTTGGTCATTGCGTACAGATCGAAATTAACCTAATCACAGCAGACAGGCAGAGCACTATTTCGCTGTAACGTGCAAGGAACTTATTAATGTTTGGTGCATTAGGGCATCAGCATTAGGCAGCTAGCGAGACGGTACCATTTTAACCTTACCACGAGTTTAAACATATTCACCGTTTCTCTCTCCGCATGGCACTGAACCTAAAACTCGTGGATGGTGTCATGCCGTTTCATCGCCCACCGCTACCGATCCACATCCCTCGTGTCACTCGGTACCACCAGTGATTCACCGGTGCTGAAAATGAGGATAGTCCAGTTCAGAAGTCTTGTTCGACCAAATTCGGTTTCTCTATCGCCACCACAGTGTAAGCCACCAATCCCACCACCAATAAGATCAGTCCTTTCCTCTAGGTCGAGGATGCCCCAATGGACCCCTAACTTACGCCCAGTATTGGCATGACTTGGGAACAAAGACGTTTGCATTATTCGCTATATCAGTGGCGGAAGTTTTTATTAGCCCTATTGGGTTCGTTCTGGCCTAGAATCCCCCAAGAAGCTGTTCAGTGATAGTTTTCTATGTTCCTCGTATAAAGTAAAAGCATACGCCGGATGCAGCATTGACGTAGTTTCAATGTAAACCTAAAAAATACCTAGACTGGTCAGGTGGTGTGATGATTCGATGCATCACCAATGAGCTAGTAAAAAAACTTTTATGCTACTTTCCTTAGTGCCCATAATCATTCTAGAAGCCTTGGCCGAGACTATCTTTCTTTCGGACAATATGTACCTGATCTCGAAGTTTGTACGCTGACTGAATAGATCTGTCCCTATAATGTTGCGCCTATTGACTTTGCTATTGTAGATACTCAGCTGGTATTACAATATGTTTCAGGATCGCCTACTTACATGTGCACCTGCTGAGGGCTCTTATATTAAATCAGTAATGCGATGCAGCTCTTATAAAGTGAGAGAATGTGTACGTGTTCACGACAGTGTTTACTCTTATGCGAGCTCTTGCCAATGTGCGGCAATTATCAGTAACATAGCTCGCCAGCAATAGATTTGCCTTGTCATACCTATAGCCTGAGATGAGTGAAGACCGACCACATCCCACCTCCTCCTTTCCCGGAGGGCTCTCGCTTAGGTCGAGTAATAATACCCTCGTCAACCAGCCACATGACTCGGTCTTTGTCGTTGACTTGGCGTTGTAGGGTCAT